ATCGTGTGTCTTGTTTCTACAAACACTCCAATGAAAGGTAAAACTCAACTTTTCAGTACTGAAAAAATTGACTTTTAAAAGCGTGGTCCCCAATCGTCGTCATTATGGTGTCGTTACACGGAGGTATTTTTTCCACATTTACTATTCTATCAAATAAGCATTATCGCAAATTTTTTTTGAATCTTCGATTTAGTTTTTTCCTACCAAACAAAGGTATTTTTGAAGAAAATCTTTATGAAACCAAACGATTCGATTTTAGGGACAACGGCCGTTGTTTCAGTAGCTGACCGTATTGAAAAAGGGACGAATACTCCTGCACGCTTTGCTTCCTAATTTACTCTACTTATCTAACAGAACAAGAAGAAAAAAGATTCCTTCTTTTCATATTTGCTTTTTTTTTTACTTTAATACATTTTTTTCGGGTCAATGTCAATAGTCAGAGTTTTGAGAGAAAACGCCGTCTTTTTACGCCGTCAAAAAAGCTTTTTTTCAGAGATTTTTTTTAGAGAAACCTTCTAAAGATCTGAAAAGTACCTGTGCCAAGGTTTTAGAGACATAAAATTTAATAGAAGCATAGGGAAGCTCGAACGTATCCCTCATTGACTTGTGGGCAGGTTTTTTTTGCCTTTCACAACTTTCCGAAACTTCGGTTACCAAGAAAATGAGAAGCGAAAATTATTACTCACGTTCATCCTGCGGCAAATGCACCTGCATGGGAAATCGTGATAACCCTGATTAAACAGCTTAGATCTTACTTGCGGCTACCTATGGCTTTTCCTCTTTGTGAAAATGATCTAATCAGCGAAGAAAATCTCAAGTTCATAGAAGCTTTGATTTTTCCGGTAATTATGCTTCTAAATGTTGTCGCATTCTGTAGTATTCTTTTTCTTTCGCCACCGACGATGAAACACTACAAATGGCTCCTATTGAACTATCAATCATGGTCAGGAGGATAGATGCTCTAAAAAAGAACAGCATGGTTTGCAGGGTTATTTGTATGGACATCGTGGTCCCAGTATTGGTTACGCCCATTTTTTATTTTCCAGCGTTGGCCGGATGTTCACTCGGTTGGTTTCAAACCTTGGGAGTTCCATTAATTCTTCAACTTCTCATGGGTGATTTGTCTCTAGCAAGTGAGGACCGTAAATGAGGGTACAGAGTAAACCTTTCTTTTCCAGGTGTTGTTATCTCTATTCTTTTGCTTTTTGAGTATCGCCATCATAACGTCTTGCCGATGAACAGCCCGTTTCGTTTTACAAAAAGGGTCCGCGTGATTCTGGTTATGAGCAATTGTATATTTATATGCGGTGGAATTTCCGCCCTCATAGGAAATTCGCCGGATGATCAGTATGCGGCGAAATTGAGAACTATCGAGGTTAACAAACTCCGCGGCTCTTTTGAACATTATCTTGAAGATTCTTCAATGCGAACCGCCCAATATTTTCACTTCTTGTGCGTTTGTGATGGATTTGTCTACCAAAACCGCTTGGTTCTTTACGATGGTCTCAGTTGTACTCATATCTGAACTTGTGTTCCTTTGTGCACACGGCCTATACATTTTAGAAAACCAAAGTAGTCATATGTCTCTCAAAACGCGTCATCTTCAAAAGACGTTTTTCTACAACTTGTGCGGCCAGGTGAGCTGCAATACTTTCTGTGCTCCTGTTAATTTCCGTTGGGAGCTTCAGAACTTTTGGAATTCAGAACTTAAAAAAAGTAATCTTTGAGTTTTAGGTGAGTATTCCAATGATTTTTCTGTGCCTTCCACTAGTTTTGGTCACCTGGCTTGTTACTACAAATACATCGGTGAACGGTAAATCAGGACTTTTTTTTTTCAAATTCCCCGAAATTTCAGTGTTGTCCCCGATTGTCGTCATCGTGGGATCTTTACATGGCGGGATTTCTTCCATATTCACTGTTATATCTAATAAACATTATCGAAATTTTTTTTTGAAGCCGCAAATGTGTTTTTGCTTATCACAAAGAAATACATATAACCTGTTGTCTAAAGCTATTTATTCGATTTAAGGAACGACGTCCATTGTTCTTGTAGCGGACCGTACAAAAAAAGAAAATTCTCCTGCATTCTTCGTTTCTTGATTCGCTCTAAGTATTTTTAGGATTACAACTATCTATCTTTTCCTTCTGAAGCTTCATTTCGGTATTTGTGAAGAAAAAACTTTATGAACTCCAAGGACTCGATTTTAGGAGCAACGGTCATTGTTTCAGTGGCAGACCGTATTAATTAAGAGACGAATTCTCCTGCATACTTTGCTTCTTGACTGATGTTACTTTTTTTGAATAAAAGTGATAATAGTTTACTGAGAGAACTCTGCCTTCTTCAAAGTTAGATTTCTCAGAAAATTGCTGCAAAATCTTCTGAAGGTGTAAGCGAAAAATAACTGTACTAACTTTGGTTTTGGAAAAGTCGAATTTCAAAGATGCATAAGGAAGCTTGTAGCACAATTCCTCATTTACGTGTAGGCTGTTTTGCTTCTCACAACTTTGCTTAAATCACAAAGAACGCGAGAAGCGAAATGTTGAAATATCACTCACTTTCAACTTACGATGAAAGCACCTGCATGGAAAATCGTGATAACTCCGATTCAACAGCTTGAATTTCACGCACGACCAATCTTGTCTAGCTATGCCTTTTCCTCTTTGTGATGAAGATCTTATCAGCGAAGAAAATCTAAAGTTCATAGAAAGCTTGATTTTCCCGGTGGTTATGTTTCTCAATGTTGTCGCATTCTGTAGTATTCTTTTTCTCTCGCCAGCGACCATGAAGAAATACAAATGGCTACTATTGAACTATCAATCATGGTTAGGAGAATCAATGTTACATAAATGCCAGCATGGTTTGCAGGGTTATTTGTATGGACATCGTGGTCCCAGTATTGGTTACGCCCATTTTTTTATTTTCCAGCGTTGGCGGATGTTCACTCGGTTGGTTTCAAACCTTGGGAGTTCCATTAATTCTTCAACTTCTCATGGGTGATTTGTCTCTAGCAAGTGAGGACCGTAAATGAGGGTACAGAGTAAACCTTTCTTTTTCCAGGTGTTGTTATCTCTATTCTTTTTGCTTTTTTTGAGTATCGCCATCATAACGTCTTGCCGATGAACAGCCCGTTTCGTTTTACAAAAAGGGTCCGCGTGATTCTGGTTATGAGCAATTGTATATTTATATGCGGTGGAATTTCCGCCCTCATAGGAAATTCGCCGGATGATCAGTATGCGGCGAAATTGAGAACTATCGAGGTTAACAAACTCCGCGGCTCTTTTTGAACATTATCTTGAAGATTCTTCAATGCGAACCGCCCAATATTTTTCACTTCTTGTGCGTTTGTGATGGATTTGTCTACCAAAACCGCTTGGTTCTTTACGATGGTCTCAGTTGTACTCATATCTGAACTTGTGTTCCTTTGTGCACACGGCCTATACATTTTAGAAAACCAAAGTAGTCATATGTCTCTCAAAACGCGTCATCTTCAAAAGACGTTTTTCTACAACTTGTGCGGCCAGGTGAGCTGCAATACTTTCTGTGCTCCTGTTAATTTCCGTTGGGAGCTTCAGAACTTTTGGAATTCAGAACTTAAAAAAAGTAATCTTTGAGTTTTAGGTGAGTATTCCAATGATTTTTCTGTGCCTTCCACTAGTTTTGGTCACCTGGCTTGTTACTACAAATACATCGGTGAACGGTAAATCAGGACTTTTTTTTTTCAAATTCCCCGAAATTTCAGTGTTGTCCCCGATTGTCGTCATCGTGGGATCTTTACATGGCGGGATTTCTTCCATATTCACTGTTATATCTAATAAACATTATCGAAATTTTTTTTTGAAGCCGCAAATGTGTTTTTGCTTATCACAAAGAAATACATATAAAACCTGTTGTCTAAAGCTATTTATTCGATTTAAGGAACGACGTCCATTGTTCTTGTAGCGGACCGTACAAAAAAAGAAAATTCTCCTGCATTCTTCGTTTCTTGATTCGCTCTAAGTATTTTTAGGATTACAACTATCTATCTTTTCCTTCTGAAGCTTCATTTCGGTATTTGTGAAGAAAAAACTTTATGAACTCCAAGGACTCGATTTTAGGAGCAACGGTCATTGTTTCAGTGGCAGACCGTATTAATTAAGAGACGAATTCTCCTGCATACTTTGCTTCTTGACTGATGTTACTTTTTTTGAATAAAAGTGATAATAGTTTACTGAGAGAACTCTGCCTTCTTCAAAGTTAGATTTCTCAGAAAATTGCTGCAAAATCTTCTGAAGGTGTAAGCGAAAAATAACTGTACTAACTTTGGTTTTGGAAAAGTCGAATTTCAAAGATGCATAAGGAAGCTTGTAGCACAATTCCTCATTTACGTGTAGGCTGTTTTGCTTCTCACAACTTTGCTTAAATCACAAAGAACGCGAGAAGCGAAATGTTGAAATATCACTCACTTTCAACTTACGATGAAAGCACCTGCATGGAAAATCGTGATAACTCCGATTCAACAGCTTGAATTTCACGCACGACCAATCTTGTCTAGCTATGCCTTTTCCTCTTTGTGATGAAGATCTTATCAGCGAAGAAAATCTAAAGTTCATAGAAAGCTTGATTTTCCCGGTGGTTATGTTTCTCAATGTTGTCGCATTCTGTAGTATTCTTTTTCTCTCGCCAGCGACCATGAAGAAATACAAATGGCTACTATTGAACTATCAATCATGGTTAGGAGAATCAATGTTACATAAATGCCAGCATGGTTTCCAGGGTTATTTGTATGGACATCCTGGTTCCAGTATTGGTTACGCCTATTTTTTATTTTCCAGCCTTGGCGGGATGTTCACTCGGTTGGTTTCAAACCATGGGAGTTCCAGTAATTCTTCAACTTCTCATGGGTGATTGGTCTCTAGCAAGTGAGCTCCGTAAATGATGTTACAGAGTAAATCTTTCTTTTCGAGGTGTTGTTATTTCTATTCTTTTACTTTTTGAGTATCGCCATCATAACGTCTTGCCGATGAACAGCCCGTTCCGTTTTACAAAACGGGTCCGCGTGATTCTGTTCATGAGCAATTGTATATTTCTGTGCGGAGGGATTTCCGCCCTCATATTAAATTCCCCGGAGGATCAATATGCGGCTAAATTGAGGATTATCGAGGTTAACAAACTCCGCGGCTATTTCGAACTCTATCTTGAAGATTCTTCAATGCGAACCGCCTCATGTTTTCACTTCCTGTGCGTTTGTGATGGATTTGTCAACCAAAACCGCTTGGTTCCTAATCATGGTTTCCGTTGTACTGATATTCGAGTTTGCGTTCCTTTGTGCGCACGGCCTGTACATTTTAGAAAACCAAAGTAGTCATATGTCTCTCAAAACGCGTCATCTTCAAAAGACGTTCTTCTACAGCTTGTGTGGCCAGGTGAGCTGTAATAATTTCTCTGCTCCTGTAAATTTGAGTTGCGAGCCTTAAAGCGAGGTCATTCAACTTTGCGTTGGGAATTTCCTGAAAATCGGCCAAAACACTCCTTATTGTACTAGATAAAGATCCTTGAAGTCTCTACCTGCACAACTCCCTAGTTTTCCAGAAACAACGGCTCAAATCCTCGAAATAGCCTATTTTTCAGATTTTGAGAGTCTTCTTTGATTTGAGGGCGTCTTTTCTAAAAAACGAAGAAGTTGTGCAGGTTGGAACTTCCAGAATTTTCCACTGGTACATCAAGGAGCATTCCAGTCAATTTTCAGAAATTCCTAAACCGCAAAGTAAAATGACCTCCTTAGTTAGAATTTTTTAGGTAAGTATTCCAATGATTTTTCTGTGCCTTCCACTAGTTTTGATCACTTGGCTTGTTACTACAAATACATCGGTAAACGGTAAATCAGGACTTATTATTTTCTTCGAATTCCTCGAAATTTCAGTGTTGTCCCCGATTGTCGTCATCGTGGGATCTTTACATGGCGGCATTTCTTCCATATTCACTATTTTATCAAACAAACATTATCGCAACTTTTTTTTGAAGCCACAGAACTGTTTTCCCCTATCAAACAGAGGTGCGTATGAAAAAACAACAGCCCCCGGTCTAACTATTCGAATTAAGAAACGATGTCTACTGTTTCAGTAGCAAACCGTACTAGAAAAGAGAATTCTCCTGCATTCTTTGTTTCCTGATTTGTTCTGAGCATCATTGAGAGCAGGAAAATCTATCTTATACCTTCTGAAGAATCGTTAGAAAACAAGAGATCCTTTTATACACTTTTTTTGAATAAATAATTTGTTTTTTTGGATCAGCGTCGATAATCCGCATCGCAAAGGCAAACGTCGCCGTTTAGAAACACTTCCCCGAATTTTTCATAAAAGTCGTTCGAAATTTTCACGTCTGCTCTAAACTACAGAAAATGCAACTGTTTTTAGAGTCAGGAGTTCAATTTTTTTTCTTTTTTTATTTCAGCTATCTGATAAAAACTTGAGAAATTGAGCTATATTACCTCGGTACTTGGACCAAACATTTTATTAGAAAAGATGGGTTGAAAAATTGCGTCTGTGGCTAGGTACCACCAAGGTCCGCCCACTTTTGGGGCGCTTTTGCTCAGCACAAATGTTTTTTTGCTTTTTTAATCGTGCTATTCCAAAAAGATACCTGAAAACTCATTGGAGTTCATAAAATAAAATGAGAAAAAAATTCTCTCGAAACTCGTGGATTTTATAGTAGAAAAGTAAATGAAAAGTCCAAATCTTCTCTTTGAAATCTTTGTTTCGTTTCAAAACATATGAATGAGCAACTTCCCTATCTTCTGGAAGCCTAAACTTGAAAAAAATGAGGCTTAGCTGAGTTTGTATAAAATAGAAAACTGATGAAAAAAACACGCCTGTTTGAGGTGGCCGGTCGTATTACGGTAGTTTGGATAGGTTTTTCAATAATAAAATGAAATCTTGTGTACTTTTTGTGACGTAGCTTACCTTGTAACCTCGAGAAATAGGTTCTCAACAAATTGCAAAAAAGAAAGAAAATTTAAAAAATTTCCTATCTCCGAAACTGACTGCGCAATATTGACCGGCCACCGGCCGCCGTAGTACTGTCTCAAACATGCGTGAAAACATAAAAAAAAATTAAAGTGTGTGCAGTTCTACGAAGGGGTGCATGCGGAAGGAACAAGTTCGCGCGTCGCGACGCTCTTCGAAGATTCTCTTCTCCGCCTCCCTCGCCTTTAAAGTTGGGAAAATTGACTATACATGAAACTTCTCGAATCGAAAATCTCGATGTATAAAGGTTGCGTGGCATTCGAGGTTTTACAAATTGGAAAACACGGTTTTCAACTTCACCTGCTGTATGGGATATGCAATACTGCATTTTGAAGCAAAAGCCTTAACAAAACTCCGATTTTCTACAGGATAAAATCAAGTTCCCGCCTAACTCACTATGAACTTCCCTCCCTCTGAAGATGACAGCAGATTTATGACCGAAGAAACACTCAAACTTATCGAAAAACTAATGCGGCTACGCGTCTCTAACTTTTGCGTCCTTTTCAGAAAAAAAAAGCTCTGCAATTCAGCAAATCTTTTCACCTGCTAGGCAGTAATGTGAAGGAACATTCATACTTGTATATCTAACTTCCGCCAATTTTATTATCATGTCTTTCCCGCTCTGCGATGAAGACGGCGAAATCATAAACGAAAAAACACTAAAACTCATCGAAACTTCGATTTTCCCGCTCCTAATGGCTATCAATAGCGCCGCCTTTCTGTGTATTCTATTCCTTTCGCCCAAATCCATGAAACACTACAAATGGTTACTGCTAAACTATCAAATTTGGTAGGCTATAGTCTTTGTGCCACGACTTGAATTTCCACGGAACGACATTCCGCTGTTCCGCTGCGTGCGTTCGCGAAGCGTCTTTCGAATCTAGGTCACGCTTTCAATTGATTGTTATTCCTGTGAGAGCACATTAAAGTAAAGAACTTATAAAAGAAAATTTAAAAAAAGTTAAAAGCGCGACCAAGGTTCGCACAGGCGTGCAGCGGCACAGCGGAATGTCGTTTGGTGAAATTTCAAGTCGTGGTACACAGGCTATACATGGCGAAAAACCTTTACAGTGACTTTCCAGGGTAGTTATCTTGGATATTCTCATTCCATTGATGATCGTTCCCATGTTCTATTTGCCAGCTTTGGCTGGACGTGCCGTCGGATGGTTTTCGGAATTAGAAGTTCCGGGGTCTGTTCAATGGACAATAGGCTTTTTTACCTTTGCAAGTCTGCGATTTCAGATAATCAAAAGTATAATGATTTTAGACGTTCTTCTATCAGTTATCATGCTATTTGAACATCGTCATCATTGCTTATTGCCCCTGAATAGCCCATTTCGGCTGAGAAAATCTGCTCGTATTTTATTAATTTTGGGTAATTTCGTGCTTTTGAGCGGTGGGATTCTATTTCTCATAGGAGTTGCACCTGATGATCAAACCGAAGCCAAGCGGAAAGTTGTCGAGGTGGGAACTTTAAATCTGGAAAAAAACTGTGAGTGAATAACGTCAGATTTTGCAATGCGAACCTCCGTTTATATTCACTTCTCATACTTTCGTCATGGATTTGACCTTGAAGACACCTTTATTCGCCTTCATAGCATCAGTTACCGCGATTTCTCAGATGGTTTTCGATGGTGCTCACGGACTCTACGTCTTGAACAATCAAAGTAGTCACATGTCTCTCAAAACTCGCAACCTTCAGAGATCCTTTTTATATATCTTATGCGGTCAGGTATGCACTTGCAAAGATAAATGTGTATCCAGAAAAAGGGTTCAGGTAAGTATTCCATTCTTATTTTTGTTCATTCCAGTATTTGTAATAGCTTATCTCACGACTATAAATGCTCACGTAAAAGGTGAGTTTTAATTAAAATTTTGGCAATAAAACTTGAATATTGGCTTGAAGAGGTCTCCCCATTTTTTATATTCACCGTGTCGTTTCACGGGGCAGTTTCTTCAATCTTCACAATTTTATCGAACAAAAACTACCGGCAATTCTTTTTCAAATCATTACCTTGTCGTCTCAAATGTTTAACATCAAAAATAGGTACAGATTCGACTTGGTAATGGTTTCAAGTCAATAAACTTTCAGGTGAAAGAAATCAAGAAGGAGCAGCAAACCGATTTAAAAATTTCCGCGCTCCTATTGAATGAATCACTTTTTAAGAGAGAAACAACTTATGTTCTACAGCTCATTCCCGGTCGGCTTTGGTCATCGAAAAAGAGCCCTGTCCCAAGCTAGCCCTGGCTATATTTTTCAATTGAAAAAAAAACGAATTTTTTATCGAAGCGTTTTTTTAATGGTGTTCGCTGTGATTTTCGACAGATGAAAAATTTCTCTTTATTAAACTCTGATAATTTTTTTAACACCTGCCATACTGAAATTGATAAGCTTTAATCTTATCCTGAACTGACTAACAGAAACCTGATTCATTCATCGCCTTTATAATTATGATATTTCCTCCCTGCGATGAAGACATCGTTTTCATTGGAGAAGAAAGACTAAAACTAACTGAGAACTTGATTTCTTCATTTTTAATGACTATCAATATCACATCGTTTTTCTGCATTTTGTTCTTGTCACCTGATTCTATGAAAACTTACAAGTGGATTCTTTTAAACTATCAGTTTTGGTGTGCCACCGTGGAGTTACATAATTGCAAGCGGGTTTTTAGGGTCATAATGATGGATATCATGATACCGGTGATGGTGACACCAATTTTTTACTTCCCAGCTCTAGCCGGTTGCTCAATCGGCTGGTTTCAATCAATGGGTCTACCAGTGATCTTGCAACTAACTTCAGGAGCTTTGTCTTTCTCAAGTAAGCTTTTGAAGTTTTGAATCGTTGGTAATACCTCGTCTTCCAGATGTGGCAAACTCCATTTTTCTGTTGTTCGAGTACCGTCATCACATTGTTCTGCCCAAGAGCAGTCCATTCCGATTCCGGAAAAGTGTCCGTGTTTTACTTATTTTATCAAATTGTATCGTATGTAGCGGGGGCGTTTGTGTTAATTTAGCATTTTCTCCGGCTGATCAACTGGCGGCTAAATTGAAAGTCATTGAGGTTTTGAACTTCTTCCGTTCTTTCACTGTTCCTCTTCCAAATCGCTCCACAACCTTGAAATTATTGAAATAGGGCCTTTATTTGACTTCGAATTAGACCAGGGGTCTTTTAACTTGTAGTTTTTCCAAGATCCCTAAGGATCGACCTTTTTTAAAGGCCTCTTCCCTTTTTTTTTGATCTTTCTCTGAATGAGATAAGAATCCCACTCTGCAGATTCTCCAATGTGAACCGCCTCATATCTTTACTTCGTGCGCTTTTGTTGTGGACTTGACTTCGCGGGCCGTATCCTTCGTTCTATTTGTCACAGTTGCATTCACAACTCAAATTTTATTCTTCGGAACTCATGTCCTACATATTCTGAACAGTCAGAGTAGTCATATGTCCAATAGGACTAGACAACTTCAAAAAACTTTCTTTTACAACTTGTGCGCTCAGGTCAGTCCAATGTCTTATTTTCTCATCTTTAAAGCAAGCCTTGTTATTTCAGGTGAGTATTCCATCAATATTCCTACTCCTACCAATTTTTTTTGCTAGTTGGCTTATTGCGATAAACGCTCCGCTAAGAGGTATGGCTTTGGTATAAAATAACTAAAGATTCATTTTGAAGCTGTCTCACCGTTTTTTGTCATCATGGTAACATTCCACGGCGGCGTTTCTTCAACTTTCACGATTTTATCAAATAAACACTATCGAAATTTTTTCTTAAAATCAAGATTTTTTCCTTGGAACTGTGCTTCTTTGAAAAAAGGTAATTTTGAGGGTACTAAAAATTGTCAAAAAAAACTTGTTTTTAGAGAAAGCAAATATTATTTCACCAGTGAATCGTTGTCAGGTTCTGAAAGTTTGACTTCAATTAAGTTAATGAAAAATTTTTCATTTGTAATAATGTGAATAAAAATTTTTTTTCTATCCGAAATGTACAAGAAATAATCGCTTTGGAAATCATTTTTTTGGCGTTTTTTTCGCACTGCCCAAATTGTCCGTTTAATAAATGTGATTTCTTTTTTCTTTTAAAGTTTCTCAGAATTTTAGGATTTTTTTTTTTGCATGATCACACCTGCATTATTCAGCAAGCTAGTTTTTTTCAGTTCGCCGCAACTTTTTCAACAAAAGTTATGGACTACTTTCCTTGTGAGGAAAATACCGAGCTGATCAGTGACAATAATCTCAGGCTTATTGAAAAAGTGGTGTTTCAGAGCACCCTTGTCACATCACATGGTTTAAAATGTTATATAGTCACTAAACATTGGAACACTAACAGCCCGAAGCCGGGAAATTGCCTACATGTTCAGAAAAAGAAAAATCGACATTTGCACCTTGCAAGAAATCCGCTGGAACGGTTCAAAAGCGAAAGGGATAGGAGACACACTAAACGTTGGAGCTCTAACAAGCCGGGACCTATGAGAACTTTTATGTTCTACAGCCCTTTCTCGCCTGGCTTTGCGCATCGAAAAATGGGCTCTCCACTGTCCCAAGCTAGCCACGCAACGGCTATGTTTTTCCATCCTTTTATAAAAGTTCTATGTTTTCTAAGCATTTTTTAATGGTCTTTGGCGCCGCGATTTTTGACAGATGGAAATTTCTCTTTATTAAACACTGACCCTTTGTTTAACACCTGCCGTACTCAGTGATAAGCTTAATTTTATCCTGGTTGACTGCCAAAAACCATATTCATTCATCGCTTTTATAATCATGATATATTCTCCCTGCGATGAAAGCAATTTATTCATTGGAGAAGAAAGACTGAAACTGACTGAAAACCTCATTTCTCCATTTTTGATGACTATCAATATCACAGCGTTCATCTGCATTCTTTTTTTGTCGCCTGATTCAATGAAAAATTACAAGTGGATTCTTTTGAACTACCAGTTTTGGTTAGTCAACGTGGAGTTACATGATCGCAAGCGGGTTTTCAGGGTCATAATGATGGATATCATGATACCGGTGATGGTGACACCAATTTTTTACTTTCCAGCTTTAGCCGGTTGCTCAATCGGCTGGCTTCAAACAATGGGTCTACCAGTATTCTTGCAAGTAGCTTTAGGAGCTTTGTCCTTCTCAAGTAGCTCTTGAGCTTTTGAATGGTTGGTGACATCTCGTTTTACAGATGTTGCGAATTCAATTCTTATGCTGTTCGAGTACCGTCATCACATTGTTCTACCTAGGAGTAGCCCATTCAGATTCAGAAAAAGGGTCCGCGTTTCACTTATTTCATGCAATTTTATCGTATGTAGCGGGCTCGTTTGTGTCAATATAGCGTTTTCTCCGGCTGATCAACTGGCGGCCAAGTTGAAAGTCATCGAGGTTTTGAACTCCTACCATTCATTCACTGTTCCTCTCCCAAATCTATCGGCGATTTTGAAATGTCTGGAAGGGGTCTTTATTTAACCTCGCATTAGACCAGTGCACGTAGATTCCAAATTTTCCGAGATTTTCAAAGGCATAGGGCAGTAAAAATGGGGCTGGAAACTATTATATATATATAGTCATTTTGTAAAGCTCTTCCAAATCTTGATTCGAAGAAAACATCAGGTTATTTCCCACACAATGCGAGTCTAATGACACGTCCGCAACATCGTGCACGGCTACTGTAAACAGTTTTTCGTACACCTATCCAATGCATTTTTTTCAAAAATTAGAAGGTGGAAAAAAATAATATCATGTTTTTTTTCTTCAAAATTAGTCATATCTGTGTTTTTTTGAAAGCACGGCTCGATTAGCAATGAAAATCTTTACAAGATAGTGCTTTCACCTCAAACCCCGTTATTACTGCCCCATGCCTTCGAGGTTCAACGTTTCTAAGGAAGGCCATCTTTCTCCAAAGGAGAAAAAAAAATCCGACTCTGCAGATCCTCCAATGTGAACCGCCTCATATCTTCACTTCTTGCTCTTTTGTTGTGGACTTGACATCGCGGGCCGTCTCGTTGGTTCTAATTGTCACAGTTGCATTCACAACTCAAACTTTATTCTTCGGAGCTCACGGCCTACACATTCTGAACAGCCAAAGTAGTCATATGTCCACTAGGACTCGAAAACTCCAAAAAAGTTTCTTTTACAACTTGTGCGCTCAGGTCAGCCCAACGTCTTATTTTCTCATCTGAGAAAATTTTCCAGATATTTATTCCATCTATCCTCATGCTCCTGCCTCTTTTTTTCAGTAGTTGGCTCATTGCGATAAACGCTCCGCTAGGAGGTATCATTTTTTGCATCGAAGACTTAAAGATTCATTTTGAAGCTGTCTCACCGTTTTTTGTCATCATGGTAACATTTCACGGCAGCGTTTCTTCAACTTTCACGATTTTATCAAATAAACACTATCGAAATTTTTTTTTGAGATCAAAATTTTTTCCTTTGAACTGTGCTTCTTCGAAAAAAGGTAAATTTCGTTGGTAAATCGTCAAAAAACTTATTTGCAGAGAAAACGAATATTATTTCATCAGTCAATCCTCGTCAGTTTCTGCAAGTCTGACATCAGGATTAAATTCCATTTTTGCTTTGTGATCATGTGAATAAAATTTTGCTTTTCGTCGACTTTTACAAGAAATAACCACTTTGGAAACGCTTCGGAAAACTGTTCAAATCCGTTTCTTTCGTAAAATAAAAATTTTTTCTCTCTCCAAGTTTTTGAAAACTTTTGTTGTGTTTTTTTTATGCTATAGCTGATTCACGGCTGGCTTGAGCCATCGAAAAAATGGTCCTGACACGATAATGCACGAGATAGCGCCTGGCTCGTGGAGAGCGCAGACAGGACACGCCCTCTTAGCGTCTCAAGCTAGCCGTGAATCAGCTATAACTCTCGATTACTAGGACGATATGAAAAATCATAGTCGTTTTTCCATTTGCTTCAAACTTGTCTCTCAAATTCACCTGCATTCATGCAAAGCGCCCAGGCTCATTTGTTTCAGTTCGCCGCAACTTTTTCAACCAAAGTCATGGATTATTTCCCTTGTGAAGATAATACCGTACTGATCAGTGACGATAATCTTAGGCTTATTGAAAACCTGATGTTTCCATTTATGATGATCATCAATAGTTCTGCTTTTCTGTGTATTTTATTTCTTTCCCCGCAATCTATGAAACATTACAAATGGCTACTTTTGAATTATCAACTTTGGTATTCGATATTTCTTTTTGATGATACTGATAGTTTTTCAGGATTTTGGTAATGGATATTATGTTTCCAATAATGGTGACGCCAGTGGTTTACTTCCCAGCTTTGGCCGGTTGCTCGATTGGCTGGTTTCAAACCTTGGGACTTCCAATGAGACTTCAAACTGTTTTTGGCGCCGTGTCAATGATGAGTTCGTGTTAAAATGTCCCTCTTCCTCGGCCTTTCGTGAAACTTTGACTAAAAAAGCTCATTTTCACAGATGTTGTGGTTTCGATTGTTCTCCTATTCGAATATCGACATCATACCGTTCTGCCAATAAAAAGTCCCTTCCGATTCAGAAAGAGTATCCGTTTTTTGCTGGTTTCTTCCACCTGCATTCTTTTCAATGGCGGTATATTAACTCTGATTGCGATTGCGCCTGAAGATCAGTTCTTGGCAAAGGAGAAAGTTATTGAGGTTTCAAAAGCAAAAAAATTTGTTATTTGGCTCACAAGAAAGGTCATTTTACTTCGAGGTTTGGAATTTCTTGAAAGTTGGCCAGAACCTTTCTCGATGTAAAAGAAGAAGATTCTAGAAGTCTCAACCAGCAAAACTAGCTCGCTTTTCAAAGACGACGCCTCAATTTCAAATAAAACCCTAGGACCATGAAAATAAGCTGTTTCGGGGCTTCAAGCCCTTATCTCTCGAAAACCAGGAAGTTGTGCAGGTTGAAACTTTCAGGATCATCATCTGTTACATCAAGAAAGGTCAACTAGAAAGGAAATTCCTAACCGCAAAGTAAAATGACTTTCCTCGTCAATGCAGAAAGAAAAATAATTTTTCTTTCACTCACCGAAAACCAATGATTCAGCATAATAGTCTTTTGAAAACTTTGAAAAAAAAGTCAGATTCGTCCTAACTAATAAAATATCACAGGCTCTACAGTGTGAACCGCCTCACATTTTCACGTCATGTGCCTTTGTCTTGGACTTGACGTCGAAGACTGCTTGGTTCATTATTTTCGTCTCCGTTGTTTTTGGCCTTCAACTTGCATTCTTCGGCGCTCACGGCATTCACATTCTGAACAATCAGAGTAGCCATATGTCCGTAAAAACTCGCCAACTTCAAAAGTCCTTCTTCTACAACCTATGCGGCCAGGTGAGCAGATCAGAAGAGCATAGCCTGACCAAAAAACAAATCGAAAAAAAAGAAATTTTTTTCGCTCTCAAGGGTAAAAATACATTTTTCAAAAGTTGAAAAAAAGTTACAAAAAAAAATTTTTCATTCGCCTCTCGTGAAACAAATCCAGTGTGAGCTAAAATTCTGGGACTAGAAAAAATGTTTTCATCTTAAAGATAAATTGATTTTTTCAAGGTGAGCATCCCCTTGACCTTTCTAATAGCTCCGATGGGTTTGGTTGGATGGCTATTCTCTATAAACGCTCCAGTCAGAGGTATTATTCGAAAGATATATCAAAGGTTACAAAAACGCTACAGATAGTTAACTGTAAGACCAAAAAGTTTCTTGAGAAAGTTGTTTCATAATGGAATTGCTAATAAGAAGTTTCAAGAAGTTTTTCGCCAGCCCTCTCTATTTTGCTTTTTCCAGTTGTTCCTAATTTGTAGTGAAAACCTCATCATTTACTGCCTGCGAATCTCAGAAAATCCAGATAATCATCAGTAATCAAATTTTGAAGCGATTTCTCCATTCATCGTCATAATTATAACTGCCCACGGCGGCGCTTCTTCCACCTTTACTATTCTATCAAACAAACACTATCGAGACTTTTTTATGAGGTTTCGAAGCTGCCGGAAGACGTTTAAAAGAAAAGGTACAATCGTTTTTTGGCTTTATTTGAAATCAACTGCTTTTCAGAGACTTCGCCCCAAGGAACGGCTGTCGGTCGCTTCAAAAAATCTTATCATACATGAAAAAATTCTCGATTTTTGCTGTATGAATAAACCGCTTTTCATTCGTAAAATGTTCAAATTACACAAAAAACCCTATTTTACGAGTTCGAACAACCTTTTTCTATAAGTTTGCAATGACGGAAGTTAATCACCATGTTGTCAAAGGTTCCCCCAAAAATAAAGCCTATCGTGGGGCATAATGACATTCTAAACGCCTTCGTTCTTAATTCCAAAAATTGAATAAAGCCGATTTCAGCTGCAGTCCGCCTCTAGACTTGTTCTATGCATACTGACTCCAACAAAATACATTCAAAGCCCCATTTTATTCCTGCGAAAACTTATGGAACGCCAAGATTTCTTAGCAATAAACTATCCCTCCTGTGAAGAGGCCTCAGATTTCTTAAGTAAAGAAAATCTCAGACTGATCGAAACTTTGATTTTCCCTGCTGTACTTGTACCCAACTTTACCGCGTTTTTCTTGGTTCTTTTCGCGTCGCCCGCCAAGATGAAGCATTATAAATGGCTACTTTTGAACTATCAGTCTTGGTTCGTGTCCTAGCAAATTTTTCGCCAAAACTGATGTTTGCAGGATCATATTCATGGACTTTTTGTTTACAATATTGATTACACCATTTTTCTACCTGCCTGTTGTAGGCGGATGTTCGATTGGATGGTTCCAAACTTTGGGAGTACCTATCCAATTTCAAATCGGGATTGGGTTTTGCTCGTTATCGCGTAAGTACTGAAGTTTCATTGGGAACAGACTTTCAATTCGAAAAAGGATCCTCAACTTTTTTAGCCAGTAAGAAGAAACAAAACTTCGCCCTTTAGTTGCTTGTTGCCATTGGAAAAAAAAAGAACTGGAATTTTTTGTTTTCAGAAATTCAATTCTCGATCATCTTGCTCTTCGAGCATCGGCATCACAGCGTTATGCCGCCCAAACATTGGTTTCGATTCAAAAAAAGTGTTCGCATTTCATTATTCATTTGTAATGGTCTAATATGGTGGAGTGGATATTTCACACTTGTCGTTTTGGCGCCCTCCGACCAGAATTCAGCAAAATTAGAAACTATCGAGGTTGGTTAATTTTTTTTTTTAAATCCTGACCCAAATATAAAACTGATATTTGCATTTTACACCTGTTGAACTTCACAACACAGACAAAGTTCAAATAACTTTTAATGGACACCTAAAAAAAAGGTCTTTTCCATAAACCCCTCTTCAGGCTTTTTTCAAATTTGTCCGTAAAAGTTTTGAACTCATCAAGTTAGACACATATTAATTAAACGCAAGAACTGCTCAAACATCAATGTAAATTTCACCTGTCTCATTTTTTTTTTGAAAGAGAAATCATCAACTTTCAAAAAACTTTTGCAAGAAAAAAGTTCAAAAGCTGAAAAGACCGAAAAAAATTGTTTCTTTCAAAACTAAGTGCTTTATGAAATTAATCGTTAGGGCAATTTCATTTTCAGTAGGGACGACACAGTTTTAGTATATTGACCACTTTGGAGTTCCTAAGTATCCGAGTTTTTTTGATTCAAACTCTATTCCAAGTACAGTCAAAACCGTATCAGAAGTTTCACGATTCGGCTTTTTTTCCCGATCAGCTTTCCAAAGATTTATTCCAGCTACTTCGATGCACTCCGCCTCGGATCTTCACATCATGCGCTTATATTCTGGATCTAACATTGAAATCGGCCTGGTTCATAGCCGCCCTCGCGATTTTAGTGATTTTCCAGCTTGGATTTTTCTTCATCCACGGCGTTTACACGTTGAACCAGCGAAGTAGCCAAATGTCGACTGCGACGAAAAATCTTCAAAAAGCTTTTTTCTACAGTTTGTGCGCCCAGGTGAACTGGATTTTTTCAATTTCTGACCTTGGGAGTGTAGGACCACTTTAAAGCTTCAGCACTCGTATAGTCCATTCCACGCGACTTGATAGTCCCTGACTTCTCTGCGCCCTCCTCGTCTCTCGCCGACCCTCTCTTAGTGTGGCGCTATTTTTGTGTTTCTCTAACCTCGCCGGTGAGGGAACAGAGAGACTCGAAAACTGTCAAGTCGCGGAGGACTATAAGTGATCCCTAGAATTACTCAAAAACTTCCGGAGCGCGTTCGGTTTCCATTACCAAGTTTCAAAATATCATGAATTAGAACAAAATTCAAAAAAGCTTTGCAGGTAAGTATACCTACAATTTTCTTGTGCTGCCCACTATTTTCGGTTGCTTGGCTCACGAACACCCGCGGTTCAATGCGATGTAATTTCCCTATCTTCTTCAAAAATTTCCTTTTTAGCCCTTTCCCCAATCGTAGTCATATCTGTGTCTCTTCACGGCGGAATCTCTTCTATTTTCACAATTTTATCTAATAGACCCTATCGAGAAGTTTTCACAAAGCTCTGTTTACGGAGAAAACTATTCAGAAAACGAGGTCTGTAAATGGTTCTGAGAAATAAGAAAATAATCACCTTTTTTCCAGTTATTTCCACAGAAATCGGGTGATTTTGTTTTCTTTCGACACGTCTTTCTGCATTCGAACGGGATGAATTAACTTAAAGGCTATGAAAAAACGAGAATTGAGAATAATAAAAATTAAATTTTTTGTTTACGGGCGAAGTCGAAATGATGGATAATAGTCTAAAAGGGCTCGAAAAGGAGTGCGGAAAGGCAGAAAAAAGGCAGCAAAAAGGCCACAAAAAGGCCTCAAGTCCCTTTATCGAGCCTTCCATTTTTCTGAAATTATAAAGGCTTGAGAAACGATGGAAAAAGGGAAAGACAGAACAAATGGTGCATAAGGGCCGAGAAAATGGCGCAAAAGGGCAGCAAAAAGGGAACCTCCGTCACCCTAAAAGGATAACTTTTATGGAGCCTTTTTCCACCCTTGCCGACGTTGTTTATGTTGTGATTCAAAGTCATAATATTTTGGAATAATTTTAAAAACTGTGTGAAGATGGCCTATTGCAATTAAATTTTTACTTTTCATTAATCAAAAATTTCGGAGTTTGAATAAGTCACCGGAAGTTATTAAAAAGATAACCAAAAAAACTTCTGACAAGCCAACAAATAATCAAATTTTCAACTTTTTTTTTCTCGCAACTTCATAAGTCAAACTCAATATCACCTGGCTCCCGCCTATAGACTTGCGTTGTCAGCTTTCGAAATTTACTCAACCTAACTTTTACAACACAATCCTATGGACCCTCAAAACTCACCACTGAACTATCCTTCCTGTGAAGAACCTTCGGATTTTTTCAGTAAAGAAAACCTCAGGATTATTGAGACCTTGATTCTGCCGACCGTTGCCTTGCCCAACTTTACTGCATTTTTCGTGGTTCTTTTCGTTTCGCCACCCATAATGAAGCACTACAAATGGCTACTCTTGAATTATTTAGTGTGGTAAGGGTAGAAAAGCCGATCAAATGCGCTCTAGGAAACATTCGTTTCGACTTTTGAGCAGGCTTGTGGGCCAGACAGGGCTTGGGCCTCATTTCTGCACGGGCTCGGGCCATATGCAAAGTCGGAAGCATTCTTTACTGGCCCCTTAAACGACCGTTATAGATCTAAAGGATTCCTAAACGGGTGGCAACGGTTTCCTTTTTATCGCCTTTTTCCGACGTTTCATCGGCCTTCATCCACCCTTTTTGGACTCATTTGAGAAACACAAAACTTTTGAAATTGAGAATAATCTCTACCAGTGACTGTGTATGAACCAAAATGTGCTACAGTAATACAATCGGAAATCGTCAATGCTCGAGACTCATTTTTGCATCCTCACTTTTTCTTCACCCTTTTTTACCCTTTTTGAGGCTTTTCAGCCTACCAAGAAAGAAAGGCTCAATAAAGGCCCCAAAACGGACCCTTTTTGGGGCAATTTTGCAGTCACTCCCTTTTTGCACCCAAAAAATTTTCACAGAATAGTTATTGTCCAATGGGGAAAAATGAGCAAAAACATCACTTTTGTCGCTTAATACTCGACTCGAAAAAAATTGAGAGCTTTTTGGGCCAAGCCGGCCTTTTGTGAATGAGACCTCTTTCGGACCGGCCCTCTCACAAGCCTGCTTCCAAGTTTCAACTCCGCTAGAGCTCATTTGTGTAATAAAACGAGCTGTAATCGATTTCGATACTTAGGATCATCGTCATGGACGTTCTATTCACAATATTGATAACACCTTTCTTTTATTTACCGGCCCTCGGTGGCTGTTCTATTGGATGGTTCCAAACGATAGGAGTCCCTATTAAAGCTCAAATCGCCATCGGTTTTTTCTCCTTGTCGCGTAAGTGTTTCAATTTGAAAATCGTGGAGTAAAAAGGTACAAAAAAATCCTTGCGATGTTCGAAAAGTCGAGAAAACATTTCAACTTTTCAGAAATCCAATTATCCATCCTTCTACTATTCGAATATCGTCACCATAGTGTCTTGCCGCCAAACCATCGGTTCAAGTTGAGAAAAAGCGTTCGAATTTTGTTTTTTGCTTTCAATAACGTCCTTTGGTCCGGAGGGTTACCAATACTTTTAGCCATGTCTCCTACTGACCAGTACACGGCGAAATTGAAAACGATTGAGGTTGGTGAAGTTGTGGGATTTTCATTTAGGTCATCGTTAACCATAGGGCGCACCAAGCCTGAAAAAAAAAGCTGGCGGTGTTTATCAAGGGGGACTAGTAGAAATGATCCTTTTCAGCTTCTCGAATGCATCCCACCTCGTATTTTCACGTCGTGTGCCTTCATTATGGATACTACTCTGAGGACAGCCTGGTTTCTGGCTGCTATCGCCGTTATAGTAATTTCCGAAGTTGCATTCTTCTTTTTCCACGGCATTTACGTGGTGAACCAGCAAAGCAGTCACGTTTCGAAAGCAACGAAAACGCTCCAAAAGTTCTTCTTCTACAACTTGTGCGCTCAGGTGGGTTTTTGAGAAGCGAAGGCTTTTCCTGTCGATTCCGTGTAAAATCTTCATTCAAAGTGATCTGTCTCATTCCGAGGCTTCTCCCTAGAGCATGGTGATCCGCAAAAATGAGTTCGTCAAGGCGTAACTGAATGGACTACGCGCAGAATAACCAGAAGAAGGGCAGTAAGACCATTCTTTCCACTTGATCAACTACACGTTTGGAATAAAAAAAGTGTGAACGAAAAAGGTTTCAGACGAGCATTCCGATGGTTTTCCTATGCGTTCCACTCGTTTCCGTCGTTTGGCTCACGAACACCCGTAGCTCTATGCGAGGTTTGTTCATTTTGCAACCCGAGAAATATCAAATTTGAGCTCTGTCCCCGGTCGTCATCATATGCATTTCGCTTCATGGCGGCATCTCGTCCATCTTCACTCTTGTTTCCAATAAACACTATAGAAAGTTCTTATTGAAGATTTTTTCTACGAAAAAGTTTTTCAAAAGTCGAGGTTGGTCTTGGTGACAGTTTTTTTTTTCTTAATCACCGTCATCTTACAGTTATCTCAATGGAAATCAAATGATTCGGCGGTTTTCTGGGCATTTTCACCCACGATGATAAAAACGGAAGATAAAACACTGTCAATTTATGTTTCCATTAGTGAAGAATGAAATTTTTCGGAGCAAGGAGATTTTTTCAAAGCCTCCAATGACTAACATTATTGAGTAAGGTGTGTATTGCAAGTTTTTCCACCTGCGATTCAATTTTCGGTCAAGCTTCGGTCACAAATTAAGCCTTCTCTTTTTTTTTTCTTGACGTTAAATTCATGGAATATGAGAGATTACGCGATCTCATGATTTTTTTTTCTTTGTTGGTATCTCAATTTTATATGACTGAAGGGCTATTTCGTCAATTTTTTTTTCCGGCTCACCTGTTCTGGGATCACTTGAAAAGTCCTAACCATCTTTTTATATCTGATTCAAGCTGACTTGAGTCATCGAAAAAAGGGTCCTGACACGATAATGCACGAGACAGTGCTTGGCTCGCGGAGAGCGCAGACAAGCCACGCCCCTTCAGCTATAGCATACTTTTCCCTTGCTAGCAATCAAAGAACTTATTTTTCTTTTGAAAAAGACCCGCTAATTCATTCCACGTGTAGCTTTTCACCGACGTCTTCCTTTTGAGCATGAAAATCTTTCAAAAAGCGATTCAACATCTTTTTTTTTCTCGGACGTAATTAATTCAAAGTTGCTCATTTCGGTTTCACAGTGGTGGGAGTGGACTTCTTGGGGTTGAGGAATTCCGATAAGAAAAACACGGGGGCACCTTGAAACGAGTTATCGGGTCATATTTCAATAGAAATAGGGAAAAACTAACTTTTTCTTTTTGGCTCCCTTCGGATGGAAGTGGCGTTGGACGGCGTGGGGCCCAGTTTAGTCCCATTGACAATTTTTCGGTTGGTTTTTGGAGGACTGGTCGAACCTGAAGACAACATTTTCAGAAAAGTTTGATGAAAAAATATTTGAAAAAAACTTCATAAGAAATTTGAAAAAAGCGGAAGACAACCGTGAATTTTGTACACAGAGCAACATTGCTAAAAAAAATTTTTTTCCCTGTTTGATTTCAATAAAAAAAAACTTTTGAATCAATTTCTGTTTCTCTACATAGGTCGGAAAAATAGAAAAAGGCTCCATAAAAATGTTCCTTTTAGGTTGACAAAGACACCCTTTTTGCGCCATTTCATCGGCTCTTATGCACCATTTTTGTTGCCTCTCCCTTTTTCCACTATTCCTTGAGCCTTCAGAATCCCAAAAAAAAAATGAAAGGCTTTATAAAGGGAATCTTTTTTGCGACCTTTTTGCGACTTTTTTGAACCTCTCCTTTCTAGCGCTCATAATTGACCATTCAGATTTTGCCCGAGTAGAAATCATTCCCGAATAAATCTATATCAAGACTTTTTTTATTGATATTTTCGATTTTTCCTTTTTTGCATTTTGAACGCTTAAAACTTACTAATAAGTTTCGGTTTTTCTTTGATGCCATTGGCGTGGGACTGACTGGAGCCAACTTTTGTTCCATTAACATTTTTCAGATTCTTCGTTGGAGGAACAGTAGAGCCTGAAGAGGAAGTTTTAGAAGATTTGTGAAAAAAAATTCTGATGATTTGAGAAAAATTTCAGTGATCACTTTAGGGTTTTAACGTTTTAGTGGCCTTTATAGTAGAAATTGTTGGCACTTGAGTGGCTGAAAAAGACGGACTATATTGCTATAGACGATTCACGGCTAGCTTGGGACGCAAAAAGGCGTGGCCTGTCTGCACTCTTCACCAACCAGGGCACTGTCTCGTCTCTTTTCGTGGCAGGACCCATGTTTCGATGGCTCAAGCCAGCCGTGAATCAGCTATAGTTTCCAATTATGAAACTTGCGGTGGGCGAAAAAATTTGACGATTTCTAAATTGGCGCTAAACTGAACTATTTTCAAAACTGCTTCACAAAGTGTTTGTAAAAAGCGGCGTCAACCCGAAAATCTCGACATTTTCGGGTATTTCTTAAACCAACGTAATTTCGTAATCTAACGAAAAAAATTATTCCGCATTTTTATGAAAAAAGTAAAAGAACTATACTAATGAGAAAACTTTTAACCTTGGCGTCAAAAACCGCGTCGCGACCGTTTCGCATGCTTATTGCGACGGCGTTTAAAAAAAAAGCCTTTTAAAACCAACATCTTTTTTTTTCAAAAAGGAAAATACTTCAAATAATAGCTGATCAGTTCAAATAATAGCTGATCTGACTTACTGATAGGTTTCGGTTTCTCTTGAATGGCAGCAGAATGCGACGGATCAGATCCAAGTTTCGCCCGATTTACATCCGTCGCCTCGACCTTCGAAGAAGCGGAAAAATCCAAAAAGAGATTATCAGAAAACGTTTAACAAAATATCTTTTTTCATTTTAGTTTCCAAGTTTTTATTTTTTTTTCATGGTAAGACAGATTAGTTGATGTAATTAAACTACATAGACAAAGTCGGAAAGGGTGAAAAATGGCTCCATTTTTGCTGCCTCTTTGCCCCATTTCATCGACTTTTATGCAATATTTATGCTGCCTCTTCCTTCTCCACCATTTCTAGAGCTTTTAAAATACCAGAAAAATGAAAGACGACCACTTCCAGTGAAGAATTTTGACGTTGTTTCACTTTTTTTGTTCCCTGATATTTTTGGTTTTAAAAATAGCGTGACATTTTTATGGGAACATTTTTTTTATGTCAAACTACATTTTCAAAAGATTCAGCAAAGAAATCCAAGAAAAATTTTTTTTCCCCGGAAACTCACAGATAGTTTTGACGATTCCGTTGCTGAAAATGATATACTTCGAATCTCCTTCCTTCTTTTCACCGGTTTTGGCCGGACACTCGCTGAATTTTCCGCTTTTTTATGTTCTTCGAAACTTCTGAACTGTTCAAAAATAAAACAATCTGTTTTTTTCTCCGGTCTTTTCAAACCTTACTGTTTTAAATTGGAAAAAAAGGTAATTATAAAATCTTCAAAAAGGAACGTAAATTATCCAACTCACGTAATTCATTTAGGTTCCTATCCGCTTCGATTCTTGAAAAATTACAATATAAATTTTTTTAATTAATTATGAAATCGTCCTTTAAATGCAATTTCGCTCAGATGTTCTCATGCAAACTTTCAAAAAAATTCCCTTTTTGCCTTTATCTTCATATTTTTTTCGTCTTTTTTTATTACACAGAGAAACTCGGATCTTAAACTTGTAAAATTGACGTTTTTTTTTCTTTCTACGTGAGATCTTTCAAAGGCTCGTACACGCAAACTCAAGATTTTCAGGTATAAAGGTGATTGGACCCAGGAAAAAATTAGAAAACGATCAACTTAAAAGACGCGAGGTTTTCAAATGAAAATATATTTTCAAAATCACTAGAGCCTGCAAAAATCTAAAGTCTATCATTATTACTAAGAAAAAAACTAAATGACCTACACACTTTCAAGTAGGGTGACCAAAAAACCAAAGTCGCGAACACAAAAAGTACCGTATCTTGAAAATTTCTATAGTAACCCAAGATGGTATCTACTGAAAAAAAGTTTCTAAAATTTCATTATCTACCGATTGATATACAACTTGCCCAGAGAAAACTCGTCAATTCTTAGATACGCATGTGACCACCTTCCTACCGTAGCCCAGTTACGGTTGGAGGAAATGGCTCAAAAAATCGTGTGCGCAATCCTGACGTCATATGATAACATGGTTACCATTTCATTGGAATCAAAAAAAAAAATTTTTTTGTACCGCTGTTTTTGAGAAAATTTTGAAAAGTACAGAGGCAGCGCGTTAATGGAAATTAACGATTTTCGTTTTTTTTTTCTTTCTCTTTTTGCTCACCCATAATCTCTGAACTGGATTCCTTGGAAACCAATCGCCTGAACTTTCCTAAAGGTCGGCACACGGTAGTTGTAAGTGTAAATGAGTTTTCCGTTGAGGGAAATCGCGTAGGCCGTTTCAAGGACTCTGAATTGACAAATTTCTTCAGGAAAATACTGAAATAGACTTAATATCAATCTTGAAATCCGAGCCGTGTTTAACAGTGGTTTGCCTTGGTTCCTCCTTGAACCAACCGCTTTTCTGAAAAAAAAACGTGATTATTTAACAAAATCCTTTGAGGAGCGAGAATGTAACATACGGCCATCGTGTTGAAGATGACTTTGCTCGAGTTCAAATTGACTTTGACGTGGAGAGAAACCAGAATTTTTGGGTCGTGCTTTTTTGGGGACCCTTCATAGAAACTGATGATAGCACTGAAAAGGGAAAGATATAAACTGGTGTCAACCATCATTTTTGCGCGAAATGCCTCTATATCGAATTCCAAGATAAAAACTTAAGGCTCATGAACTTTATCTTTTCTATGGAAAGCGTTATTTAAAGCTTACATGTACACATTTCTAAGAATATTCTGGTAAACGTATCATCTATTGAATCAGAAACAATCAAGTCAAGAAATGAAAAACATACAATGGAGATTGAGGCCTGGCAGTGACGTTGAAGGAAACCGCATCTCCGATTTTCAGTGGCTCTTCAAGTTGCACGACTTGAACGCTGTTGTCAGCGATTTTTTTCTGAAAAGGTGAATTAAAAGGTATATAGATACAAGTAGATAACGGGTAGCTACTTATTAGCTGATTTTTTGGTACCGGAAAGCATTCTCTCGTCAGAAAACATACCCGGTAGTATCCAGGTACCATATAAATAGCAGCCGGTCACATACATGTTTTTTTTTTCAAAACAGACTATAGCTCAGACTCACTCGTTCACGCACGCGCGGGGGTCCTGATTCCTTTTTTTCGCATTTTTCACTGATCTACGGTTTCGAAATACATTTTTTCTATCTTTGTAATACTACCCAGCGCCCCTGATTACGTTTTAAAGGTGTTCCGAGCACTTTCGAACAAATTTATGAAAACGAATTGGCAAGTGAAATTTTGAAACTCTTAAATATACTATGAAAAAAACTATAAAAGATCGAAATTACCAATGCGACGCATCGAGTGGCGAGAGCGTTGGCGAACGGAAAAAAGCCGAAAAAAATCAGGAAAAAATTCATTTCGTGAAACAAAAAATGAGAAGCTGTCGTCCTTTTGTTACAGTTTTCACATTAAATTTTGAGAAAATCATAAACGAAAGAGGCGTAAAAAACGAACGTGGAAACTTGTAAAGACTTCATGGCTTCGTTTCGATATTAAAAAATACGACGTCATAAAAATAAGCCACCGGCAGGCTTGTGCGTCAGGTCGGGCGGCCCGGCCTGGCCCGGGCTTTGGGCTTTATTCTCAGGAAAAAGACCGCGTGGGCTCGGGCCGGGCCGGGCTTCAAAAAAATTTAAAATTTCATTTAAAAAATTTTCACCGAAATGTGACTTTTACTTCTGAAATAATAGTTTTTGTTAAACTTTAATAGAAAAAATGAGCAAAAACGTAATTTCTGTCGTAAAAAACTCGATATCCGATTAGAAAAAAATTAGGGCGATTTCGGGCCGGGCGGGCCATTTTTTTGAGGCTCGCTAAGGCCGGGCCGGGCTTACAAAATGGTCGGGGGGCCGGGAGGGATGACGGGCCGGCCCTCGCACAAGCCTGCATTGTTGTATAGTGCTTTCATAGAGCTAAGATTCAATTCTTGACGTTTTTAAATCTTTAATTCTTGAAAAATATGCCTTATTTCCGTTTTTTTGCAAGTATGCCCTGTGTTTCAAAAAATTTAATAGTCAGTGTCATGTGAAATAAAGAACGAGGGTGGATGAGATCCGAGTTCATCAAACAAAAAATAAACGTAACTATATCAATGCCTGGAATATGAAATGATAATAAATCTCCGTTTTGTTTAAAAACTCGAGTCTTATAAACTTACAAGGCATCTCTGACCCCAGTCGCCAGCTTTCCGCCAATCTTTCGCCAGCGCGCGCCCCGTCTTTCGCGAGCTGGCGAAAAACGCGCCAGAAATTCGCCAGGGTTATCTATAGCGCGAAGATTCCCCCTTTTTTCAATCATTTCCCTTCCTCCAATATTGTTATTTTTTTATATACTAAAAAAATATTTTATCAACTTTTATTATTTCACAAATACAAAAATTTAATGGAAATAAAATTAACATATAAAAATCAAACATGAAGAGAACTTGAAAAAAATGAGATGTAAGAAGGAAACGATTGCAAAGTTTACAACTTAATTTAAAAACAATATCTTTCGATTCGAAAAAGATCATAATAACAGAACATCAAAAAAACTTTACCAAACAATACATCAGAAAAATGTAAGCCAAAAAAATCCGAAGAAATAAAGGAAACTTGAAGCTGACTGCTCGTAAACCCAAAAAATTTTAAAATTTAAAATTTTTTAATTTTCGATAATATGCAAACAGTTATTTGTTGCTTCAAAAATACCAAAAAAAGAAGAGAGAAGTTTTAAAGCTCTAACGCATTTAAGAAGTAATATCGACGAGCAGTCAATTTTTTTAAGTTTTAAAATTAGTTTATAGAGAATTAAACAGAAGACTCTTATACAAAGTTTTTTTGAAAAGAGGAAATTTTTTTACTCGTGAAGAAAAACTTTGAGCCATTTATCACTTTACTTCAAATGGCCACAAAATGAAGAAAAATAGTGCAAAGAGATTCTGATTGTTCACAATTATGATCAAAGCATTACATTTTTGTTGTGCAGTGATACAACACGGTTCTTCAAATTTATCAGCCCCTTTTCAAAGCAAACTACGAAACGTATTTTCAAGTCCGAAAAAAACTGCTTCGAAAACTCTACTCGTCAGCCGAATTTCGCGAGCATGACAAATCCGAGTAATATTTTTGAGGCAAAAAAATATAAGCTGTATTTTTTTAAAAGCTGAATTTTTACGACGGACACAGAAATACAATAATTTAGGGTGCATCAAGATATTTTTTTGAGGCTCATAAAGTTGATGAACGTGTAAAGTTTACAAATATAAAAAACTTGAAAAATTTCGCATACATTTTGCGTCGTACCCGTTCTCCGTATTTTTGGTCAAAGCATCGTGATCCATTTGCAATGAACATCATGACGCCGTCGGGTGAGATCGAAAATATATCGATGAAGTACTTTACATGAAATCCAAAACTTACAAGTCAGAGGAAAAAAAAACATCCTTCAGCCGTAACGGGGACTTCCTGACGATTATTTTTTTCTGAAGGAAGCAGTTGAGGAAAAAAGTAGAAAGCACTTACTAATTCAACAGGAGTCGTTCTTTCAGCCTCACGGAAAGAGAAGTTCAGCATGAAAACATTAAGCTTTTAGAGCGGTTGATCATCCACGAAACTAAATCGAGAAAATAATTCGAATTTTCTTATTTACCAACCTTTCAAGCTGTTGTTTTTTAAACCTGAAACCCTCCGTCGCATCACATTTACTGAGCTCTACACAAATAAAACAAAGGTTTATATTCTAATAATTTTCTGACTTTTTAAACTTCTTTTCAACTAAAGTCTGTTCTTTTGTTTCGTTTGAAGGAGGATACGTGCCTTTGCTGCAGAACTCCAGATGTAAAAACTATCTTATAAATTTAATTGTCCTGCAAAAAATCGCGTTTCTTTCTTTGAACGACCTACGCAACCTACAGTTTTCTACTTCTATACACAGCTTTTTGAATTTTTACAAAAAAAAAAAAATGAAATCAAGAAAAATTGCTTGTTACATCAAAACTGCATTGCGGCATCGCTTTTGCCCTAGTTTGGACAAAACAGGAAACGAACACTGAAAAATCGTGAAATCAGCAAAAAATCAAATAGAAAAACAAAAAGACAAAAAACGCGAGTCCCAAAATTTTAGATCGCGATATAAAATACAGTAATAAAAGCAAATTCGCGCTATTGGTTACGTCGCCAGAGAATCGCCAGGAAACCGCCACAAATTTGATGGGCGCGAGCTCGCGAAATGACTTTTTCTGGCGGATAGCTGGCGCCTGGGGTCAGAGAATGCATTTTTTCACGCATTTTAGGTGTGTGCACCCCTGATACACTTGACTGCATCTGGTGCAATGAAATGCGCCCTACCGCACAAACGTTTCACGCACGAATTTTGAAAAATGCGAAATATATTTTTCTTTTGTTTTATATATTCGCTATTTTTGTTTTATTTATTCGCTATTAAACGTTTTTTTCTAAATCGCGTAATCTAATCCATTACAGATATGGGGAAACGCAAAGAGCGGAATTTCCGAGATCCCTCCGAGAAAGAGGAGTGGGGAAAAAAACAACCAAGCTGGTGTTTAATTTATATTATGTTTTTGATAATTACGTTTTTTTCAGAAGCTGGCTTATAAAAAAATGAAGAAGAGATGAAAGAGCTGCCCGGGGTTCCAGGCTCCTCCGATGGGATACGGCAACTTCGAACGTCACAAGTTCAAATATCTCATCTGGACGTCTGAGGTGGGTATTAGAGTTCTCAACATGATCAATTCAAAAGAATGACATTTTTCAAAAAAACGAAAAAAATTTTTCTTTTTGACATTTCAAACGAATGTCGTTTTTTTGAAAAAAATCAACCAAAATTGATTACTTTTCATTCTTTTCATTTTGTTTTTTGAAATTTTCGAAATGAATTTTAAAATGTTTCATTTTAAATAATCCCTTCTTAAATGTGAAATTTAAATGTTCATTTTTTTGGCCGATACTTTTTCAAACGCGGACACTTTTTTTCACATTCTTACCTGGATTTTTCCGAACCGTCAATACATTTCTTTTTTTCATCATTGACATTAATTCTCCAGATATAGTCTGTTCAGATTTTTGAATGTCAACCAGCAAACTCCGCCTCTGCTGAGACGGTACCTTTTTCGCGTCGATGTTTTTATCGCGCGGGACTAATTTTAATCTTTTTGATCTAAAAAGATAGAAAAAAAGTAGTCAAAAAAATGCAGCTTTATTAAAGGGCCATCGTCATATGTAGATAAAACATTGACGCGAAAGATATTGTAGCCTTGGGGGTGGAGTCAGCTGCTTGACATTCAAAATCTGAACAGACTAGCACCTTTCTTCCGGTCTGCTCATTTTTGAAAGGTTTTTTTCATCAATTGTCCAAACCCAGTTGAGCCTTAGGAAATCACTGGAAACTTGTAAAAAATAGGCAAACTTGGGCGAATTGTAAGGCTCAAGTGGGCTTGGACACTTCTGGCAATTTAAACCCTTAAGGTAGCACTCAGACCTTTGAAAAAAACCCACTTGAGCCTTAGGAAACTTGTGAATTCTCTTGTAACTTGTAAATTAGGAAGGTTCAAGTGGGTTTGGACACTTTCCAGCCGGTCTTTAATAATAAAATTCACAATCAAATATAGTCTTTTTTTATTTTTTTGAAAAAAATTATTCCCTTAAGGGAGCACTCATACCTTTGAAATTGTCCAAACCCAGTTGAGCCTTAGGAAATCACTCGAAACTAGTGAAAAATAGGCAAACTTGGGCGATTTGTAAGGCTCAAGTGGGTTTGGACACTTCTGGCAATTTAAACCCTTAAGGGAGCACTCAGACCTTTGAAATTGTCCAAACCCAGTTGAGCCTTAGGAAATCACTCGAAACTAGTAAAAAATAGGCAAACTTGGGCGATTTGTAAGGCTCAAGTGGGCTTGGACACTTCTGGCAATTTAAACCCTTAAGGGAGCACTCAGACTTTTGAAATTGTCCAAACCCAGTTGAGCCTTAGGAAATCACTGGAAACTTGTGAAAAATAGGCAAACTTGGGCGATTTGTAAGGCTCAAGTGGGCTTGGACACTTCTGGCAATTTAAACCCTTAAGGGAGCACTCAGACCTTTGAAATTGTCCAAACCCAGTTGAGCCTTAGGAAATCACTCGAAACTAGTAAAAAATAGGCAAACTTGGGCGATTTGTAAGGCTCAAGTGGGCTTGGACACTTCTGGCAATTTAAACCCTTAAGGGAGCACTCAGACCTTTGAAATTGTCCAAACCCAGTTGAGCCTTAGGAAACAATTTTTTTTTCAGAAGTTCCTAACCTACGATGAACAACTTGCGGCTTTCTTCCGCTTTGGTGTAAACCTGGGAAATACGGTAAACACCGCGGATTTTTTCACCGTCACCTACACTCCCACGTATAGTAACATTTATGTTTAAAAAATAAAAAATTTTTGCAGGGTGAAGTTCTATCCTTTTGGGTCGGCTCGTTCACCTACCAATCCAAATACGAGCCAGCTAGGACTCGACGGACTTCTGGTCCACGAAATTTTTGTAGAATTTCGTAGAAAATCGCGAATGCCTTTACAAGCAGCACGGATCACAGTAAGTCACAAATAAAACAAAATTATGAATTAATATCACGTCAAGTTATTTCAAATAATTTAAGAAAAGAGAAGGATTAGTTTTCAGAGTTCTTTCATCATATTATTTGCCTTTACTTGAGCGAGTTGTGGTTTTTAATGCTATGAGTTCAAAAAAACAAATATTTAAAAAAACATGAAACATAGGAGTTCCCGAAATTCGAGTTTTTCTTTTAAAAAAACTTTCAGCCATGAAATCGTCATCACCGGTGGTCCGACGGAAGACATCACGCAACTTTTGGCAGCCAGCAAATGCGTTGTCTGCACGAACGGGTTTGTTTCATATCATGTTCATATCGTTATCAATGTTTCAGGATCCTGAAAGCATCCTTGGAGAACGTCGTCAAGGAGATCCTCGCGAGGATCGCCGCTTACTCGATGGTCAGAAGCTACCGTTCGTTCCCGACGGTTCCAATCGGGAGAATAATCGTGAGTTTTTATTTAATTACGAAATTAACCGAAAACACATTTTAGATCGACCCAGTGACCGAATCGGCGGAGTTCCTGCCGTATCAGGTAGCTTTTGTCGGGATTTATATTTTACTACCTTTGAAAGTGTCCAAACCCAGTTGAGCCTTAGGAAACCACTTGAAACTAGTGAAAAATAGGCAAACTTAGGCAATTCCTAAGGCTCAAGTGGGCTTGGACACTTCTGGCAATTTGAACCCTTAAGCGAGCACTTAGACGGGAACTTTTAGACCTGTGAAAGTGTTGAAATTGTTTGAAATTTCAATTTTTTAGCCACCGAAGGAGCATCCGAAGAAGAAAACGAAGACCGCTGGGGTGGACGCCGACGAATCTGAGGACTCCACATCCGAATCCAAATCCGACGACGCCAATGGCGGCGAAATATACCATCGCAAGGTAAAAAGCGTGGGGTTTTTTAAACTTCCATAACGGGAACTTTTAGACCTGTGAAAGTGATGAAATTGTTTGAAATTTCAATTTTTTAGGAGCCTCCGAGCAAAAAGCCCACCGAAGGAACGAAGGAGCCTCCAAAGAAGAAGACCACCCGACCCGACGACTCCGACTCCAGACTCCCTTTGACAAACAGACTTTTCATCAATAAAAACAAGTTTTCTTTTTATTTCGAAAATGTTCGCACAATCAAAACCAAACCGGAAAAAAAAATTCGAAGAAAAAAATCCGGAAAAAAAAATCGAAAAAAAAACCCGCAAGCAAAAAACCCGCAGATGTACGGCGCGATGACGTCACGCCACAAAAGTGTAAACACGCAGAGTGCATCGAGCATCCGAAGTGTGTAGAAAATCTATTTATTAAAAAAATGGTTGGATAAACAGTGAAACGAATGGGGTCAATAAGCTGGGACTGAATTAGTCGTTGTTTGCGGCTGTTTCTTCCTGCGTCGGACAGATGTCTTCCATGAGTTCCTGAAGAAAGTTCTCTCAAGATGGTCCGGGTAAAGGCGTACCTGACTGCGCGGCTAACTGGCTTCCGGCGGCGAATCTTTACTGAGACATCTTTCTTGACGGGCTCCCCTTCTTCATTACCCTGTAGTGATAAGAGATTATTGGTCGATAAAAAATTCAGATTCGAAAAAGTTTTGTCATGGAACTTTGTTCTGTTTTTTTTTTCCAGAGTTACTTTATTTCATCCTTTCACTTATCCATTCAAATCAAGAACCATGGTTTTCCGAAAGGTTTTTCACTAAAGTTATCGCAAAAGGTTCGAAATAAGTTTGTACAATCTCGGTTTTGAGCTCGTTTCAAACTCACAATACTCATTTCCGTTTCTTGGGATACGGTCTTCGGGCCTCCTTCCACCTGAAGAAGTATTTGAATCAGAAACTAGTGTAGAAAGAGTAACTGACCTTTTTGCAGACCTTGTAGATGCCTATCAGGAACTCAACAGTCTGAAACTTTTCATGAGATTCAACCAAATAAAATTGAAAACCGTTCGCATGTCCGTACTGTCTCGCATCATGTAGGTCCACAAATTTTGTTCGACATAAGATCGGAGTGCCGGCGGAGCGCGAGTCTCTTCGAGATTGTTCAATTCCCCGATCAGAATCTAAACTCAGAATTTGGTGTGACAAGAAAGGAGTGGTTTCATTATGCCCCTATCAACCTAATGTTACTCTCCTTGTAGATGAGGTCGAAGTAATTTTTTTCACCTAGTTGAAAAAAGAGACTACGTCCTGTTAGAAAGCAATGATTACTATCCCAAGAACATTCTCCTTTGGAAGTTTGGTCATGTCATTGGATATGTCAGAAAGTGGAAGTTTTTTTTTGTGATTCCGCTTTCTTTCATCACTTTAAACTGGAATAGAATCGAAAATAATTGAACAGACCTTTTCTCTGGCGTCAGCAGAGTTAAGGTCTTCAAACGGCATTAGCTGAATATCTCGTACACCAAGTTCTAAAATATTCTATTCGTCTCTCATTATAACCAAGTGAACTCACTCCGAAGCCGAAACAGTCCGAAGCCTGGACAAACACAAAAATGGAAAGAGTTTCCGGCGACAGGTACCTCGTCGGTAGTTTTTTTGCGTTCTTCATATAGTACCACGTACCAGGCCTTGCTAGACCCAGATCGGCGACCTTGAGCTAGAAAATATTTCTTTCCAGTTTCTGTTGATAATCCCGATCAAACCGTGAGGTCGGCCGTCAATAAGCAGTTTCGGGCCGCCACATCTCGGAGTAGTACGTTCATTTCATGGAGATACGCAATTCCTTTGGCAGCTTCAACGGCAAACTCCACTAAACGGGTGTCGTTTGAACCGTCAAAGTTGTTTATGAGGAAGCTGTCCAGAGATCCTCCTGGAATTACCGCCTCGTTAGGATTTTCCTTTCCATTCAAGCTTAAAGCTTTCATAAAAAATTGCAGTTACATTCTACTCCAGCTCTCAAAACAGATGGAATGTTGGACTTGAAAAAGAACCGATTTCTTTACTCAAGTTTTGAGATCCAAGTTGAAAATAGCTTTGGTTTTTTTTTTGAATTCATTTCCATTAGTAAAAACGCTCACCTTCCATCAGCTCCATTAACAACATGAACGGCTTCTTGTCGATCACCCATCCGTAGATTTCCAACACGTGCTCATGATCGAGTTTCATCATAAGGCGTGCTTCGTCGAGCATCCTTTCGCTCAGTTCATTTGAGTTCGGAGCGTCCTTCAGCAACTGCAAGAAGAGAAGTATTTTCTAAGAACACTCCCTCAATTGTACTCACCGACTTGACGGCGACCGGCATGTCAGTGATTCCAATAGTGTTTAATTCGCCAAGGAAGACCTCAGTTTTTGAGTCATTCATATGCACAATCGCGTTTGAACTTGAGTTGAAATCCGCAAGTGACTTTTCAAGTTCCTACATCTTTAGAATACGCTTACTTTATAGCAACAAAGTCAGAGACCGCAAGCTTATTTTTGAAAAGGCTGAGAAAATGTTTCTTGTATATTTTCGATATAGGAGACTGTCAATATTCGTTCCCCTGTACATGGTGGTTAATGGATCCGAATCTCTCAGGGCTACACGGTTTTCGAAGAATGAAACTGAATGGCATTATAAAGGATCAACGGAAAAATAGGGCTATATCATTGTTCTTTTCGAGTCCTACGTCATTGGAAGGACTGAACGGTATCAAGAAGTCAACGAACAAAAAACGGCTAAATACCGGGCTCCGCTTCCTATTTCTTTGGACTAGGGTATGTTGAATGAGCTTAATGCCTTTAAAAGAACTCTAGTGCTCTTAACTATTCTTCGTTGATGTTTACTTAAGGCCTTCTAAAAAGGTGCACCACCGAAAATCTGTCTGTGTTTATGAAAGTCCCTAGTTATTCATTCCATTCTTGAGACGAGAGCTAATGTAAGCGAACGCCTACAGTACTGTATTATACCTGAGATCCACTTGACCATATTCTTCTTAACACGGGCTCCCTTGTCCATTAGTTGTTCGTAGTTGGTAGTTGGTAGCTGGTCGCTGACTGGTCGCTGCTGTAGACTATCAAGTCTTCAGGAATAACCTTCTTTTGGGCTTTACTCGTCGCGTTGATTTTTCTTTTCTTATCTCACAAGTTCATCTCAATTTATTTTACACGCTGAAAAGAATTATTTTCCTTTTTATCGCTTCTTTAATTTTCTTTGCCTTTCTCACGGCTTTAGTGGATATTTTGAAAAAGCCCCACTTGCCATATAATTGATTTACTGACTATTCTTGTGAATGCCGCTTTAGACCCACGAAAATATTCATTTTTCAAGAATCCATGGACGGATGCTGCTTTTCATGAGGCTTCTTCGTTTTTTTTTTGATCATTAAAAACCCCGTTTCTCCGAAAAAAACGTGTAATTTTGGGTAAGAATTTCAATAAAAATTTTTATTTCCTGTTTTTTTGGCTCAAAACTAGCAAAATCGTGATCAGCACGCATTTTTACATCTACTAGGTCATTTCCAGATCGAAACAAAAAAAAATTTTTTTCACCCAAAAAAAACTGTCCGGGAACCGAAAAACTTTGTATGCCCTGGGATGGAAATTTTCGAGGTTTTTCGCTCATAACTTTTTTTGAGATCGAAGTATCTGGTCGAAACAAAGTTTTTTGTCTCCGTTACGGTTACTATAACAAGGGGCATACACCATTCTAGGTTAACTAAAAGTTTTTTTTTTGAAAAAAGGCCATTTTCAAAAACCCCAGGGAGGAAAAGATTTCGTTTTAGGATCTCCTTTTAAACACGTTTGAAATTGTTCGAACCGTATTTAGAAACTGTATTCATATCCTATTGAAAAGATGATTTCTTGAAAAGAATTAATATAGGAAAGCGTACATGAATGAGAATTTTTGGGCCGACAATTTTCCGCACCCATGATTTAGCCGCACCCAAGCCGCACCCATGATTTTTCGCTCCCAATTTTCCGCACCCAAATATGATTTCCCACACCCACGTATACACCCGCACCCAAATGATTTTCCGCACCCATATCCTTAAAAAAATATAGCTAGATTCTTTTTAAAAAAATTCGGGTCTCATTTTTCGCTCGTTTCTTTTTGAATCAAATTTTTCCCTGCATCTCTGAACCTGTTTTTACAGTATGATGTTTAGCATTGAAAAACTATTTTAAAGAGAAAAGACTATGCATGTTGTTCCATTGCATGAAAAACTGCGAACGGCTCATTAGGAGGGACTTCTCTCGAGTTCAAAAATTGAGCGGAATTTTTTTAATGTCGATTTCCAAAAAGCTAAGGAAAATAGTTCTCGATAATATTTAAGCAAAAATAGAGCCTTCTTTCAACCGAAGATGCATGTTGGTTCTTCGTTTTTCGTATAGGAATCTGCGAACGGCTCATTAGGAACAAACCACGGGTTTTTGTTTCTTCAAATGAGCTTATTTCCAATCAATTTTTTTTTGTAGTTCTTTTCGCCCATAGCCGACTTTCAGTTTTGCCCATGACTATTTAGATACATCTGTTCAGATCAATTTTTTTCAACATTTTTTTTTGATTTTAACCCAAGTTTGAATTTGGAAGTATCTGGTCTATGACTTCTTTTAGGGTCGTCTGAGAGTAGAAATGAAGTCGCCACAGATACTGCCAAGTGTCCTAATCTTGGCATGACTTTTCAGATTTTTCTAAATTTTTTTGATTATTTTTTTCTCAGTCAGTCAATCATTTTTGTAGTTTCAGTCATAGATATTATCGACTGAGCTGTGTGCAAGAGCTTCTCAAACTTCATCGAACTGGAAGTCCAAGTTTGTAGTCGAAGAAGAGGACTGAGCTGTGTGCAAGAGCTTTTGAAGCCCCATTCAAAATCGTCTCAGGCGAATTTGATGTCCAAATTTGTGGTCCAAAGAGTTGAAAGCATTGTCTGACGGTCCTTTTTCTGAGCACAGTTCATCCAGTTGCGCTATGACGAGCTCACTTTTTGAAACAAGCATGAAGATCGTGTTCTAGGTCAAATGCCAAACTTATAATTTGTAGATTAATCTCAGGTTTTTTTCTGGCTGGAACTTTTCAAAATAATTGCCAAGTTTTTTTTTCTGTGAATTGTTAGATATGTTTCTACTGTCAATTTCTGAACAGGTTTCGCATTAGCGCGGGTGATAATGATTTAAGAATAGCTCTGCGAGATTTACCAAATAAATGAGCTTGACTAATACTAATTCTCAGTCGTTGCATAAATATAATTATTCAGAATGTAAGAAAAATCTACGAACGACTTGTTAGTTTTGATTTCATTTTTTTAATTTTAAATTTTCCAATAATTCAAAACGCGTCTCCAGAAGAAATCTTATCTTTTTTTCAGATGGTTACACAGTCTAAGAACCACTTCGAAATACATTCAGAGTTCAGAGTGTGTTGCGAAACAGTATTTGCAAACGGTCACGCGGAAGAGGACACTCAAGCAGAATTCACCCATCCGAGAACCCATCAAGCTGTTTTCTTCCGAACTTCAGTAGTTTCATCCGAAAAAATGCGGAACGAAAAAAAAAAATTAAAGCCCAAGCTCATTGACTTTATCAATTGAGAACTTCCGATTAACATTGAAAAACTGGAGCACTAAGAGATCGAAGTTTTTAAAAAACGAAAAAGGAAAAAAAGACTGTATTAAGGGGTCTGAGGAGGTCCCAAAGACTCTGGAAGCTTTCTCGAAAACCATTGATATAATTTTCTTCAGTCTTGAGAATAAGTGACAAGAAGTGCGATAAAAATCCTCCGACTAAAAAAAAAAAATTTCAAAAAGATCTCTGGCTCTCCAAAACCTTCGTTTTTTTTTTCTTTTTGACGGTCTTTTAGCTGGAATCACTTCAAAAGCGGTATGAAGACACGACACTCCTTTTCCCGATATTATTATTCAAACTTTGAAAAAGCTTGATTGACATGAAAAAAATTGATGCGAAAAAAATTTAACTTTTTTTGGGCCTAAAAATTTTTTTGGGAACAAGTGAAAAAAACTTTGATAAAAAATTTTTACAACATCGGTTTTTTTCTCATTGTAGAACATCAGTGGTTAGAATATCTGAATAAAAAAATATAAAAATACAAAGTTAAATCATCCAAATTTTTAGGCCAGATTTTTTTTTAAATTGATATTCAGCGTCGATAATTTTAAGTAATTTCAATGTAGAAAGAAAAACCCATAATGTAAAAAGTCAAAATGATGAAAGCAAAGAAGAGCAGAAAAAAAAACACGCCAAAAGCTTATTTTTGGCAATGGAAAGACAAAATTTTCGAAAACTGGCAATTATCCAAGTGTACGGGAACATAGGGCCCCAAAGCGATGAGACAGCGCGCCAAAAACTCTTGGCGCCTGCTTAAATTACGTTTTTTAGTTGTGTTTTTTCTTCAATGTTTCTTTTTCAATTCTTGTGTTTTCTTTATAGTTTCATCAATCATTTCTTGATGTTAGTATTTTGTTATGCTCATTGTTTTTTTCTCACATTTATGCGCAGGTTTCACATCTTTTCAAGAAACATTTTAGGCCCAAAAATTTAATATCGATTTTCGTCAATTAAAATTTTTATTTAATTTCTCTATCAAGATTCATGAATATTGCATATCATTTTATAAAAAAATATAACCGTGTCATAACGACTGTAAATTTTTTTAATTTGAAAAACTTTCCTTCTTTTTATCCTCATGATTTCAAAAAAAGGCTTTCAAAGGGATTTTCAGAGAGCTTCCAGAGTTTCTGAGACCTTTTCAGATCCCTTTAATACAGCCGTTTTCGGAGAAGTTCTAACTAGAGAAAAAGAAAAAAACTAAGATTGAACTATAAATTATGAGCTTTTTAGAACAGTTTTAAAAAGAAGAACTGAAAGTTCTGTTCTTAGAAAAGGTTTGAGAAGGCCTAAAGATCAGCTCTTCACTAGAAGTGATATCTTTCATTTCAAAGATTTCACCTAAAGCACGAGCTTCGCGCGTGAAACGAGGAACCGTCAGACAATTCTATCCTCTTCTTCGACTACAAACTTGGACTTCCAGTTCGATGAAGTTTGAGAAGCTCTTGCACACAGCTCAGTCGATGATATCTATGACTGAAACTACAAAAATGATTGACTGACTGAGAAAAAAATAATCAAAAAAATTTAGAAAAATCTGAAAAAGTCATGCCAAGATTAGGACACTTGGCAGTATCTGTGGCGACTTCATTTCTACTCTCAGACGACCCTAAAAAGAAGTCATAGACCAGATACTTCCAAATTCAAACTTGGGTTAAAAATCAAAAAAATGTTGAAAAAAATTGATCTGAACAGATGTATCTAAATAGTCATGGGCAAAACTGAAAGTCGGCTATGGGCGAAAAGAACTACAAAAAAAAATTGATTGGAAATAAGCTCATTTGAAGAAACAAAAACCCGTGGTTTGTTCCTAATGAGCCGTTCGCAGATTCCTATACGAAAAACGAAGAACCAACATGCATCTTCGGTTGAAAGAAGGCTCTATTTTTGCTCAAATATTATCGAGAACTATTTTCCTTAGCTTTTTGGAAATCGACATTAAAAAAATTCCGCTCAATTTTTGAACTCGAGAGAAGTCCCTCCTAATGAGCCGTTCGCAGTTTTTCATGCAATGGAACAACATGCATAGTCTTTTTCTCTTTAAAAATAGTTTTTTTCAATGCTAAAACATCATACTGTAAAAAAACAGGTTCAGAGATGCAGGGAAAAAAATTTGATTCAAAAAAAGAAACGAGCGAAAAAAATGAGACCCGAATTTTTAAAAAAAGAATCTAGCTATATTTTTTTAAGGATATGGGTGCGGAAAAATCATTTGGGTGCGGGTGTATACGTGGGTGTGGGAAATCATATTTGGGTGCGGAAAATTGGGAGCGAAAAATCATGGGTGCGGCTTGGGTGCGGCTAAATCATGGGTGCGGAAAATTGTCGGCCGAATTTTTGAGCTGTGAAAAAAATTGAAGGTAGTAAAAGACATGTTTTTTTCGAAGAGTAAAAAAATGTTCAAAATTTGAGTTTTCATGTTTAGATCCAAGGACATGTTTCTTCAGACAATTTTTCCGCTTTCAACTTATGAAAATGTTCAAAGACATCCTTTGGATGCCAACAAAACTCGGGAAACCCAGTCGCCATCGTGGGGGAGCCACGAAACAAAAGGATTTCGGTTTCCCCCGCAATTTTTCAAAATTTAATCAACCTGAACTCAACAAAAGTTTGAACCATCAAAACTTTTTTCACTGAAAAACATATTCCCAAATTGTGTGCCTTTCTGAAAAATAATCAGTTATCATCCTCAAAAAATCTTCAGAAATCATGTTTTGATTAACTCAAATGTTTAACCTTTTGAAGCCTCAATAACTCTAGTGAAGCTTTTAATGACAGAGAAACTCAAGTTTTTTGGCACACAATTTGGGAATATGTTTTTCAGTGAAAAAAGTTTTGATGGTTTGAATTTTCAAACTTTTGTTGAGTTCAGGTTGATTAAATTTTGAAAAATTGCGGGGAAACCCAAATTCTTTTGTTTCGTGGCTCCCCCACGATGGCGACTGGGTTTTACTTCGTTTTGAGCAAAATTCTGGACAAAGTTTTTTTTTCGTCTTCTCTTTTCAAGCTCAGTGACTTCAATAGATAGTAAAAGTTTAATCATCTCAAAAGTTCATCGGAGAAAAGGGAAGAAAAAAAAATATATTAAATCTAATTCTTAACTTTTTATATATACGAGTTTTTCAAAGAAGGGGTCTCTTAACTATAGTCGTTAATATAAACTGTTTAATTGAACGTCCATACAATCTTTTTTTTTTATAGTCAATGTTTCCCGACTTGAAAGGCGAGGGAGGCGGGGCAAGGGGCGGGACGCGTAGCGTGTGCGTTCGCGGTTCTTGGCACGAGTTCAATTCAATTGCCGCGGACTATTTAAAAAGCTCGGCAACCGTTCTTTTTCAACTTTTTATACTATTTTTTGATGCACACATGGATATAATCAATGAATAATTGAAAAAGGTATGAAAAGAGCAAAGAACGGGCTTTTCAAAAAGTCAATGGCGGTTGAATTGGAAACGTGCCAAGGACCGCGAACGCACACGCTACGCGTTCCGCCCCTTGCTCCGCCTCCCTCGCCTTTCAAGTCGGGAAACATTGACTATACAGATGACCTGGTTTCAACAGTCGACCGTTTAACTACTTCTTCTTTGGATGAAATTCAAAAGTTCAGAAATTTATTTTTCAAAATCACCGTTTGATACGAAAAATTCCAAACGGCTCGAAGTTTAATTATGACGACTATACTGACCATATAAAAAATGTGAAAAAGAAAAAAAAATTTGTCGAATTTTTTTTTCAAAATAAAATAGTGAACTTTAAAGTTTTGAGCGCTTATTTCTATTCCATCTTCAAAAATTTTTTTCGAAGAAAAAAATGGCAAAAATAAATTGCACCAAAAAGGATTCGAACCTGCATCATAGGTTTCATAGCGCTAGACCGCTAGCCACTACACCACGCCGCCTGCTGGCAGTTAGAGTTAGCCGCCGCAACACATTCCCTCCTCCCTTCCAATGCATTTTTTGCGTGCAAACTTTGAGGCGCCATAACTCGACCAGAACCACAAAGGTGCACTTTTTTTCAACTTCTTTGGATTCAGGATGTCCGAAAGTACCTATATACCAAGTCTCATTAAATTCCAATACCTCGACCTTTTGCACTTCCCGTGTTAATATTAATTTGCAGGCTCACTATGATTTTGAAAACTTGTTCTGCGGTCTCTAACTATGCCGGATTTGAGCGATTGAGAGATCACATAAAAAAAATTTGACGCTACAAAATGAAAACCGTCACTAGAAAGTCGTCCGATCTTGCACCTTGGTATCAAAAAATCCCTTCTTGTGCAACGGTCCGAGTATCCCGTTTTGATAAAAAAAAAACGCATATAGTCAATTTTTACCGACTGGGATGGCGAGGGTGGTGGGGAATGAGGTCAATTATTTATTGATCATGTGTGTGTGCATCAAAAAATAGTGGAACTGGCGCCAAGAACCGCCTACGCACACGCTACGCGTCCCGCCCCGTGCCCCCTCCCTCGCTTTTTTAAATCCGGGTATAGAATTTTCTGCATTTTGTATGCTGTGATGGTCCAATTCAACTTCATTCAGAAACAAGTAAAAAAGAACCAAATGCAATTTAACTGAAATGAAAGCGTTTTCTCAGTGTGAAACGCTGCTGTTAGTCTCGCCCTTCTTTCAGCGCTTTTGAAGTGAGAGCAGCAATAGGACCAACTGAAAAAAGGTGTTTAAAAGAAGTTGAAAAAGATTGGTTAGAAAACTGGAATAGAAAAGTAAAATTGAGTTTTTTCAGACGGAGTTTATTTCCTCCGTTGTTTTTGTGCCGAAAAATGTTTATATCAAACCGGTGTTACCTTTGAAAAAAAAATTACTAGAAATAAAACTAAACTTTTTTTCGTTTTCGTCCCTTGATTATGATATTCTATAATCTTTTTTTATTTTTTTTATAACATAAAAAAACATTAAACTCGCCAGTTTTCAGTTAAAAAAATAAGTTGCAACCGATATTAAAACTAATGAAATCAAACTAAATAATAAGCGGAACATGGTTACCAGTTAAAACAAAAATTCTACTGCAATTTTTTTCTCAGTAACTAAAAATGGTTGGAGTTAGAGGCCCTATAGAAGTCATGAAAGCGATTGCGAAAGCCGCCGGGGGTGTTCAACTCACATATCTGAAAGAGATATCCGTCTTTAAACATCATTAGTTGTTCGCCATCCTGCTTACCATCTCCTCTTTGATAACTTTCTGTGTACAGCAGATTACTGAAATTAAACTTTTATTGAGAACAAAAGTTTCTCAGAACTTCCTGCGCGTAGGACAAAGCCGCCAACACGGCGTTCCCAAACAGGGTGGGGGACATCAAAAAAATTTTGGCGCGAAAATTCAAATCTCAATTACGCAGTCAAAGGCGATCAAACAAAAAAGTTATAAACGTTTAATAATCAGTTTAATTTTCTACGTAGAATGACGTAATTCTATCCGGAGCGAGCACATGATTTTTTTTTTGTAAATTCAGAAACTTTGACGCTTCGCACCTTCTCTCACTCCAATAGCAATTTCATGTCGAAATTATTCCAGGAAACCTGGATAAAATGTAGACGTCATTATAGATGCCACTACAAAAATTATCCTCTTGACGCATTTTGCGTGCGCGCACCCGATAATTCAAACTCTAACCTTTACTCACAGTTGTTCCGTTTGTAACACCATATTCCCATCTGGCTATTCTAACAGCTGTCTCTTGAGGAATCTATGCCAAGGTCAGGCTCCGCCCTCTACCATCGCGTCCTGATCTATCGATCAACACCTCACCCTGGCTTTGCTCACAACATCGAGCACTACGAATAAAGATCTTAAGCCGATTCGCCTTCTACCGCTACACACATTGACGAGAAGATGTAGGGAAACATCTTCTACGTTATACGTTCAATTTTTGTTCATGAACCGTGCGCTGTTGCGGCATAGCTCAGCTGGTAAAGACTCATTCCTAACGTCCGCGAAGTCGTAGGTTCGAGTCCCCTGAGGCCGACCAAGCTTTTCATCTCTCCGCACGGCGTTCCAAAAAGAAACTCGACCGCGAGCCGATTGGGCGTGTCCTTTAACCGCACTCTTGCTTTCGTTGGAGCGTACTTGCGCAACAGAAATTTTTTGAAGTGTCCGAAATGTCTTAAAATTTCGTTTTTATCTTCTGCTGGGACGTTTCTATCGATTTTGGAGTATTTTTTTTTGTGATTTATAATGTTTCCATGGGATACCCTTTAGGAGCGCCGTGTCCGAGGTAGATGAAATTGGGAGCTGCATGCAGGGAAGAAGCTCAATCTCTGCCATCGGCCTTTGGAAAGCCGGCACCGTAATCTTTCCTACGACCTCTCTTGTACCTGATGTTCTACGAGCGTAATTAACAACTTCTCTGCCTAAGCCACAATTCCTGCTGCCGTTTAAACACAGTTAACTAATGAAAAACGACTGCACATGTATTCTTACATTGAAGCTGCAATAAACAGTTGAAAACGTGAGCTGTTACCGTATGCGGCATACGGTATGCCCGCCCTTTTAGCCTCTCCTACAGCACTCCGTGCTGACCCTCATTCAGTGTTTAATGCGTTCCACGGAAGCCTTCGAAATCAATTTTCTGCTGCCTTCTCGCTAAATTGTCGTTGTTTCTTTTTTCGCCTAACTTTTTTTTGAGACTAAATTCAAAAAATTAGACTCCCCTCTCCGCGCCCCTAGTGCAAGAATTCGTGCCTCTGTTGCAGTCAGCCACGCCTGGGGACATCAGCTGCCGCCCGTTTGAGAACACCGTGTCACCCGTGTAACAGTTTTTCTTTCTGGAATTTACCTTGGACGGGTGGTGAATATGATTCCTTGAATTCCGATATGCGTCACGGCATCCTTGAACTTTCTACGATGACTGTAGCGTAGGAAGAGCTTTCCGTTGATAAAAATCTGATAGTCATGTACGTCGGCTCTGAAATATTCATCTCAATTCAGATCGGAAACTTTTTCGAAACAAAATCTGGAGCACGAAGTCTCTTCCGCTTTTGATTGGCGATTTTTTGGACACATCCTCGTACCATCCTTTACTCTGAAATTTATGAATAGATTCGAAACAAAAAAAAATAAATTCTGCGCTGACTGGGGTATGGTCTCCCCTGAACATCAGGATAAGAATTGAGACTAGGGATTGAATTTTGATCTCTGGTAAGAGTTCTTGGAATCAAGAATGAAGTTTTGCTGAACCCCTCAGGCAGTCGAAAAAAAGCTCATCGAACATTTTTCAGTTTTTCGAATTTCTTTGAATAATACACAGCTAACAATACTTTACACCAAACAACATAAGGAAAATGGGAAAAGTCGCCCAACCCTGGCTGCCAAGTTGCGTAAGTCGTAAACTTGGTTGAAAAAACGTGAATCAGGAATTTCGATAGTTACCAATCGTTTTAACTGTGAAAAATCTTGAAATTAGATTACCTATCGATTGATATATCCCTATTCTGGTAAAAACTCTTTCATGCTTAGACACGCAAGGGCGCATCTGCCTACCGTAACACGGCTACAAGAGGAAGTGGTTCAAAAGTTGGTGTCCGCATTACTTATGTACTGTAATCGGTATTACTGTAGCTGTTGTAGTCATACTCGGTAGAGGAAAAACTTCAAAAAAGCTAACCGATAATGTATTCAAAGAGGTTTTTCCCGAGTCCAATTTGACCAAGATACTCAGGGAAATACGCTTCTTTTTGACGGGATCTTTGAAATCGCCTTCGTACAAATTTACGATGACTCTGAAACAAACATTGGAAAAAATGTAGTTCAATTATAAATTTCTAGGATTCTTGTTCACTTGTTGATCGGCGTATCCACATTATCATCTTGTCCCTATTGGGACAACCTTAGGGACCACTATACCAGCCCTTATTACGCGTCCCGCCCCCTTCTCCGCCTCCTTCGACTTTCCAGTCAGGATGGATTGACTATAAACACGTTTTATAGCCTGTGTACCACGACTTGGAATTTCACCAAACGACATTCCGTTGTGCCGCTGCGCGCCTTTGCGAACCGTGGTCGCGCTTTTAATTTTTTTTTTTCTTTCATTAAGGTACTCTACTTTTCTGTGCTCTCGCAGAAATAAAAATCAAATGCAAGCTAAACCTAGACTCGAAAGACGCTTCGCGAACGCACGCAGTGGAACAGCGGAAAGAAATTTCAAGTCGTGGCACACAGACTATCGAGACCTCGAAAAAACTTTCCGGAAAAAGAAATCTCCGTTTTCATACTTGTCAAATTTCCGTGTTCACCTCAGAAAAAAATAACTCAGAAACCTTTGAAACGCATCTAAAAACGGTTTCACAACAAGAAAGTGAAACGATAGGAAAAAAAAATGCGAGAAGAGGGCGAAAAACTACATTCAAGTGGTTGAAATGTTGAGGAGGATATGCTCCGCCCGGCGTTGCGTTAGAGGGAAAATGCGTCTCGCCACTTTTCGACACCCATATTTCCGCCCGAGTCAATAAATAGCACGGAGTTACCAAGAATACAAATTTTTGCCACCGTTCTGTTCGTTTAGCTGTGTTGGCCGCAAAAGACCGCGACGCAAATACGAACCATCAATTCACAATTTGGCCAGTTGCCAACAGTCTTCGATCACATTTTTTACATTTTCGCTAACTATCTTTTCATGAAAATCGATAATAAGAACCATTTCACAGCTTTTACATGATTGTTAGGTGGTTAACAGGTGAAAAAGGATTGATCAAATTTCTTACTAGTAGGTTTTTTTTTTTGCTATAAAGCAAACTTTGCCAATTTTCCGATGAAAAAATTAACATCAACTAAAAAAGTTATCCCCTTCATGTACCACCTCTCCGCGGTGATGGGGATCAACGACCACTTATGGCGGCAACGTCATAAATGGAGGCGAACGGTACACCGGTCACGCAGTTCGCCTTGCTTCATGCTAATAGAATGGGCGGTCCTCCTAGCCCTGGAAAGGCAACTAGGATAACCAGACCACCAAAAAGCGACGACACGTTCAGCAAGACGGCCCCAGTCCTCCGCCCGTCGGTCACGCGCCTCTCCGGTATCGGGGGCTACCTCTGCCGACGAGGGACGATCAAATCTCGGAGCAACAGGATACCATAGAAACGGACTACGGACGCGCCACTGTGACTGTCTGCGTTTCCGAACCCTAAACTGCCACTCGCTCGCATCCGATGCAGCAAAAGAGCAATTGCTCGCGGCGAACCGAAACGCTCTCATCGACATAGTGGCGCTCCAGGAAACGAAATCTCAAGACACCAGCTAGAAGACTTGGCCTAACGGTGAAATTCTCATCCTCGGCCACAAAGTCCCTGGGAAGAACGTCGGCGGCGTCGGCAACGTCTACTCGCCGACCTCACCAGAAGCCGAATCCACCAAGGCTAAAAGGGAAGAGAAGGAAAAGGAACTTGACGCCTTCTACCGGAATCTCGAGGAAACGATCCAGCGGGAGAAGGCGTACTACATCTTCGTCCTGCGTGAATTCAACGCGAAGATGGGCAAGTACGCCACTTCCTCGATTCGTCACGGGAAGCATGGACTGGGAACTACTTCCGCAAGAACATCAGTCAGCCAGGCCGCCACGGGAGCCGCCTGGAGAACGTGTGGTCCACGCTGAGAACATCAGCGAAGATGGACCATCAAAGTATCAAAGTAAGTAAGTAAAAAAGTTATTATGTACACTTGTTAGTTGTTAAACTTGTACTGCTTCCGTTCACGTGGTCTTTTTTTAGCAAGATTCTGCATTAACGACTGTAGGCCAGAATAAATCGAAAAAGAAACGGGGTCGAAAACGCTTTAAAACATACACAGATCGGATTTTTCAACGATAGAAGTTCACCAAAAACTCCAGATTTTGAGTTTAACATCAGATTTTTCACAAGCTACGGAAAAATACGTTCAACGTGGCCTAATAAAAATAAACAATTGGCGCGTGAAGGAAAGTTCGCTCCAATGCGAGGTTTCCGACCGCGACGCGTGGGGGCAAAATTTACGCTCCGCTTCCTCTGTGCGGTAACGCCGTGAATAGGCGACGCAACGAAGCAGCTATTACACACGCAAATCAAGATAGTTTTGGGATAGTATCGGAGTCCACACGTATCGGAGTCCAAAAAAATTGGGAATACCGGAGTTCGTTTTTTTTTCGTACCGTGTTGAATTTGAGATTGCACTTTGTTAGCTCATTTTTTTGGTTACGCCGTCTGATCAGTGAATTTTGTGGATACGCCGGTTGACCAGTGTTTCACATGGGAAATAGTAACAAATCCAACTTTTTGTTTGACTCATCTGCTTTTGCGTACGCACTGATGTAGATGAGATCGCCAACTTTCAGTGGCCGCGCGAAGGAAATAAGGTTCTCGGGATTGAAGGGTTTCTGAACTATCAACCAATTTTCGAGATTTCTGTTGAAAAATAATCATTCCCTAGGAATTTGACCTATCTGCGCTCTCTTTTCCCTCACAAGCGAGATCACAGAAAACTGAGAATAGCTAAAAAAAAAAGTCGAGAGAGTGCAGAGAAGTTTGGATGCTCCCAATGGTGAACATAAATGACACATTGCACAAAAACCAAAAAAGATCAAAACATCAGATAAACCTAAGTTAATCTTTCAAGTTCATTTGATTAACGTATGATTCATTTCAAAGTCAACTTAGTTTGGTGAGCTTATAAAAAGTATTTTATTTTGAAGTTTTTCTCCAAGAACTTTTAATGATAAACTTTTTCAAACCTACCAATACAGACATCGATAAGCCGTAGGTGTTGGCCAACGGCAAAAAACCGATAAAGGCCAAGAAGAGTTTCATTTCTGAATACAAATAAGGAAAAACGGTCGAAAGCATGTCTTTTATCCCAAGTTTCACATTAAACGCCCCACTGAGCAATAAATTCCAAAATTTTTCGTGGTTTTATTGAGCACAATAAAAAAATCACGGTGCTTTCCGAGAACGCAAGAAGCGTCTCCAGTTTTTCCGATTTTTACACGAAAGAAGCAAATATAGTCCATTTTTCCCGACTTGAAAGGCGAGGGTGGTGGGAAATGAGGCGAGACGCGTAGAGTGCGCGTCTTGGTTCTTGGTACGAGTTCAATTCAACCGTCACGAACTCTTTGTAGAGCTCGTTTATTGCTCTTTTTGTATCTTTTCAACATATTTATTGGCATTTTTCTATTGTGCATTGAAAAGTAGTAGAACAGATGAAAAAAAAAGGTAACCGAGTTTTTTGAATAGTCGATGGCGCTTGATTGAACTTTTGGCAAGAAACGCGTTGCTGTAACAAATGCAAGGATATTCAATAACGACGAAAACTAGCAATAATAAAAAGAGGAACAGAACGATGATGTTAACATAGAGACCGCAAAGCCACGCCCCTTTTCGCGATGGTGAAATGCACTGGTTTTTTAGATTTTGTGTTTGATGTTTTCGTTCAAGCGCATTACTGAACCAAAAACGGAGAAAATTAGTGGAAACATAGAGAAAACCGTCCTCTTCAATCTCATATACTTTTAACCCGATTTTCGAAGCGTTTTAGCGAAGTTTCGTACAAAAAACCAAAACTACTTTTTTTCTTCGAGTTTTTAACCTAGTCCCATGTCGTTGGCGCCTTTTTTTATTTTCAAATTCGATTTTTTTAAGTGAAAAATAAATCATGTGAAAACAAAAAAACTAAAAATTTCGACGATGCCTAATTTTTCGTGGGGCGGCGCAAAATTGAAAAATTTTTTTATTCGATTTCGAGAGCATGTTAGTAAAAAAATTTTTGTTTCAACTTGTAGATTAAATTGTAACAAAAAAACTTTATTAGTATAAAACTTACTACTTGATACTTTGATACTTTGATGATCCATCTTCGCTGATGTTATCAGCGTGGACCACACGTTCTCCAGGCGGCTCGGACTTGCGCGACGGTCATCCAGTGGCGGCCTGGCTGACTGATGTTCTTGCGGAAGTAGTCCGTCCATCTGGTCGGTGGGCGCCCGAGTGGGCGCTTGATGTTTCTCGGAATCCAGTGTGTTAATCTCGTGGACCAGCGGTCGTGTTGTCTGCGGATGACGTGGCCGCCACAACGATGTTTCCCGCGCTGTATGTGCTCTTCTAGATCCCGGATTTGGGACCGTTGACGGAGGTCTGTGCTCCTCTGTTCTTTTTTCCATTGCTCGAAGCGAGTGGTGCCGAGGAGAGCACGTTCCAGTGCGCGGTAGGTTCGTAGAGCGGTTGCATTTTTCTTCGTGTCAGGCCAAACTTCGGCGCCGTAGGAGATGGCAGGAATTATCGACGCCTCGAAGATGTGAGCTCGCAGTTTCGGGTTTTTCAGCTGGCTGGTGACTTCTTTGATGGAGTTGAAGGCGGCCCATCCAGCGCGTCTGCATCTGCAGATCTCTGCTTGCAGGTCGTTCACCATGTTTACTTCGCGGCCAAGGTAGGTGTAGGATGTGACCTCTTGAAGGTCGCGCTCTCCAGAGTGACTTTGCCTTGGTCGCAGAAGCGCTTCTTCATCCACTGCGTCTTCTTGACGTTCATCTTGAGGCCGATCTTCTTGCCGACTTCGTCCAGATCGTTCAGCATGGAGGACAGTTCGGTGGTGGAGCTGGAGAAGAGTACGATGTCGTCGGCGAAGCGAATGTTTGTGAGGACCTTGCCGTCGAAGTTGATGCCTCTGACGTCTGTACCGTCTTCCCAGTCGTGCTCTTCGTTCCATCCAAGTTGGCGCATCGCGTCTTCTAGTGCCGTGGAGATCAACTTGGGGAAGATGGTATCTCCCTGGCGAACACCTTTCCTGATGGGGATCGAGAGCTTCTTGTCGAACAGATTGATGGTCGTGGACATTCCCTCGTTACTGTTGGCGATCAGCTCGACGTACTTCGTGGCAACTCCGGCGGAGACAAGGGCATTCAAGACGGCGTTGATCTCTACGCTGTCGAAGTAGTCGAGGAAGGCCAACGCAAGTGGCATCTGGTACTCCCGGTGCCGTTCCACCACCTGGGTCAAGGCGTGGATGTGGTCGAGTTGTCGAGTTGCTTCTCTAGTCTGTTGACGATGACCTTGGTGAACAACTTGTAGACGACCGATAAGAGGGAGATCGGTCTGAAGTTGTTCAGGTCGGTGAGGTCGCCCTTCTTCGGAATGAGGATCGTCTTGGACGTTTTCCATTGTTCCGGAATAGAGGCTTCGCTCAGGTACTGGGAGAAGTGCCGGGCGAGTAGTCGGTGCAGAGAGTCTCCTCCAGCCTTCAGCTGTTCGGACGATTTGTTGTCGGGTCCTGCAGCCGTTCCAACCTTCAGCTTCCTGATGGTGTACTTGACTTCTTCGGGAAGGATCGGGGGTTCATCTTCTGGTGGCGGCGTTGGTGTTCTGGGGACGGGGACGTCGCTTCGGAAGAGTTTCGTGTAGAAGTCGACCGTCAGGCGCTCCATCTCGTTCCTTGATGACTTCAGCTGGCCGTTCGTCCTTCAGTGCTGTCATCACCGTTCGCTTGTCGACGAGCTCGAACTTCTTCTTTTTGAGGCTTTGACGTTTCTCAGCTGTCTGAAGAAGTGCGCTCCTGCGTCGGTTGGCGAGGGACTCTTGTACGGCCATTCTGCAGGCTTTGTCGATCGTCAGAACTTCGAAATGCGTGGCCTGCGGGTCTCGTTTGACTTCTCCCCTTCTTCGCAGCAGATCTTTCGCTCGTTGGTCGAGACGCGGCGGTAGATAAGAGGTCGGTCGAGCTGCTGGTTCTGCACATCTGATGAGGCCATTGCAAAGGGGATACGTAGTCGGCTGTCGGGTCTTCGAGAAGCTGCCAGTCGTACTCCTAGATCTTCTCCTCCAACGTGGTGATGTCGTAGGTTGGTCTTCTCAATCTCGATGGCTGGTGGTAGTTTTTCTTCAGGAACTTCTGGTTCAGACGGACCTTGGCGCGAACGAGTCGATGGTCGGATCCAACGTCGAAACTGGGTAGTACGGCAACGTCGAGGAGAGACCATTTCCAGTTGGCCATAATGTGGTCGATCTCGTTGGTGGTGTCTCCGTTTGGCGATTTCCAGGTCCAGCGTCTCTGATCAGGCTTCTCGAAGAGAGAGTTGCCGTGGTAGAGCCTTCTGGTGTCGAGAAGATCGGCTAGGCGTTCGCCGTTGTCGTTCCGAGTTCCGAGTTCCGAGTCCATGCTTCCCTTGACGAAACGAGGGAGTGGCGTACTTGCCCATCTTCGCGTTGAAGTCACCCAGGACGAAGATGTAGTACGCCTTTTCCCGCTTGATCGTTCCCTCGAGCTTCCGGTGGAAGTCGTCAAGTTCTTTTTCCTTCTCTTCCCTTTTAGCCTTGTTGGATTCGGCTTCTGATGAGGTTGGCGAGTAGACGTTGATGATGGTGAGTTTTCCTCGGTTTCATAGGTTGAGTCGGAGGATGCCGAGACGGGCGTTGACGATTTCGTGCGAGTCCGCGGATGAGAATTTCACCGTTAGGCCAAGTCTTCTAGCTGGTGTCTTGAGATTTCGTTTCCTGGAGCGCCACTATGTCGATGAGTGCGTTTCGGCTTGCCGCGAGCAATTGCTCTTTTGCTGCATCGGATGCGAGCGAGCGGCAGTTTAGGGTTCGGAAACGCAGACAGTCACAGTGGCGCGTCCGTAGTCCGTTTCTATGGTATCCTGTTGCTCAGAGATTTGATCGACCCTCGTCGGCAGAGGCAGCCCCCGTTACCGGAGAGGCGCGTGACCGACGGGCGGAGGACTGGGGCCGTCTTGTTGAACGTGTCGTCGCTTTTTGGTGGTCTGGTTATCCTAGTTGCCTTGCCAGGGCTAGGAGGACCGCCCATTCTATTAGCATGAAACAAGGCGAACTGCGTGACCGGTGTACCGTTCGCCGCCATTTATGACGTTGCCGCCATAAATGGTCGTTGATCCCCTATCACCGCGGAGAGGTGGTACATGAAGGGGTATAAAAAAATAAAAACCTATTCCGAGAAATTTTCTGAGCAAAAAAATAGACAATGAAAAACTTCGATGTCCATTTTTAACATGTTCAGATGTCGTTGGCGCCTTTTTTTATTTCTTAAATTTCAACGTATCTTAATTTTCAACCGATTAAAAAAAGAAAAATAAAAAAATTCCTACGGTGCCTAAAAAGTTTAATTATTGTTAATTTGAAGCCAACGTTAAAAAAATAAAAAAACGCCGAAAAACGAGAGCATTTTTGAACTGAATCTCTATGAATAAATTATTTTTTTAGGAGGTCCGAACACACGTGACTAATAATTGTTCAACTATCATAACATTTTCCTAAACAAGATAGTCCGAAAATGCTGTACTTTGAGGTGAAGTGGTGTATAGCGCGAACGCCGCCAATCTCCGAGTGATGAACGTGGATCAGCGCAAGTGCGCTTGAATACAGTTTTTCATATCGCGAGTCCGATCCTCGCAGCGGCCATTTTTTATTTTTCATGAAAAAAAGAGTTTTAATGTTTTAATAACTTATTATGACTTTTTAAAAACCCAAACTAAACTACTAAAAAATCTAAATCCGATATGAAAAACAAAATTAACGAGCAAAAGTGTGAAATCTAAAATTTCAGTACTAAAATTTGTGACTTTTTTCACTACTGTTTTGACCATAACTTTTTTTGTTTTCAACCGTTTTCGAAAAACTGAACTTTTTCCAACAGTAAATTGGAACAGCTATCCAATCATATTAATCTCAAAGCTCGAAAAGTTTTTTGAAACTTTGGTCGCGGCCCCTATGTTAACACGCTGTCTCTGTAATTTTCAAAAGTTTTCAAAAACAGTAAGTACAATAGAAACAACATTTTTCGATTTTGATGAAACTTCACCCATTGTGATAATCTGTCAACCTTTGATGCCCAAATAAACCACTCCAGAAAAAAATTTTGAGATCTTAGAAAAATTAAAGTTCTAACATGACCCCTGCGTGCGGCGGCAGGCTAAGTCGACATGGTTTAAAAACGTTTTTTTAAGCATATGAATCAAAATAAAAACGTTTTACTCTGGTCTCATCTATCTATAGTGCATGTTAGTCTGACTCAAAAAGTTTCAGCAAAATTCATTGTGTCTGCACGAACTTTCGTTCATTTTTATATGCGACAATACTTTTGGGCCACCCTGTATGTTTCGAAGTCGTATGCGAACGAGCCGCTAACCAGGGAATAGTCTCAGCTCATAGTGGGATCTTCTTGAGAAGTCCCATTGTGAGCTGAGACCATTCCCTCCGGTCACTTCTTTTAAGATCGACTAAATTGCAAACATCGCTCACTCCAAATGAATTGAGCAAAGTTTCAGAATATCGGTAAGTTTCCTTAGAAATCATTCTTCAATTTTCTGCATAACACTTTCAACAGGAAAATTTATTTCAGAAGGCATCGATTTCCGATTGTGACAGGCTATTCGTGGCCATGCTTTTTTTCCAGTGTTGCTGAAGCATAAGCAGTAGTAGGAAGCTCTGAAAAAATGATGTTTAGAAGAAGCTGACAAACATAAAGTTAGAAATCTTTGTAGAATTTAGTTTCACTCCACACGGAGTTCATTCTCCCATTTTTTTTTTCATGCCACTAATTTTTCATATTAAACTTTTGTCAGCTTTTCAAAAATTATTAAAGATGAAGCCTACTTCTTTATTCCTTGAATGAGGCTTTGTGTAACATTTCAATAGGATTTATCAAAATAAACAAAACTAAACATTTGAAAATCAAATTTAATCCGTTTCCAAAACCAAGAAAATTTAATTAAATAATGAGCTGAAGATATAGCCGATTCGCGGCTAACTTGAGACGCAAAGGGCGGGGCTTGTCTGCGCTCTCCACCGACCAGGTGCCATCTTTTTTCTTATCGTGTCAGGGCCCTTTTCAAAACTGCTCAAGCTAGCCGTCAATCAGCTATAGTTGTCCGTGAAAAAAATTCTACTGTTTTTCAGTTACTATTGGCAGAAAATGTTTCTGAGCGCATCAAGCGATTCCAAGGGGTTCAACTCACTGAAGTAATAAATAAGTCCGTCTTCAAGCGTCATCAATTGTTTTTCATGCGGTTTACCGAGATCTCCAACGTTACCAAAGTTACAAGACCTGGAATTTTGACAAAAAAAATGTTTTAAAACTGGCCAAGAGGACTCTTTTGAATGAAATATTAGGAGAAAAATTATCAAACATTTCGTTGCTTGCTCCAAGTTCCGTATTCCGACTACGTTTTCCGCGGTTTTTTCTTTCCGTTTGCGGAAAGCGGTTTTCCGCTTTAAAAAAGTTCGCATCCATGCAACTCTCACAATTTGTCCACAAATATATCTAGGGATGTGCGTACCAGCGCTGTGCGGCAATCGATATTTTCGGCAAGACCGGAAATCGGCAATTTCTTGAATTTTTTTTCGGCAATTTACCGGCAATTTCCGGAAAAATGCAGCAAAATGAACTAATTTATAGATAATATGATTCCAATTCCGTTATCAGTTGAATAATTCTAGAACAGGAGGCTCAATCTCACGGTTTACTCGCCACATTTTTTCAGTCCGTCCTGTTTGGTACACTGTAGATTTAAATTGTGCATACACCAATAGCGGTTATCCGTTTTTAGTACGTAAAAAGTCGTTTTTTTTTCTGCAGTTTTCTATCTATGAATGTCAAAAATAGCCTTGTTCATTTTAATAAATAGAAATAAGAGTGAAAAATGGTCTAGTATGGCTAGCGGAGAAGGCGCAGTGCAAACCGGACAGGTCCCTGTAGTTCTGAACAGGTGTGCCGCTGCCGCACGCTTTCTTTTAAATTCATTGTGCGCATTTCTGAGCCGTTTTTCAATCGGCTTTTTTGCTGTTAAACATAAAATAGATTGTTCTTAACATAATTACTTACACATTTCATAATTTTCACATGAAATAAATTCAAAATTGAAATAAACCTTCCAAAAAAATCTTGAAAAAAACTTTCGTTTTTAAAGGCTACTTAGTTTTCAACAACTACATAAACCAGAAAAACAAAACTAACTTCAACGTTTAAAAACGTGAAAAAGCTGATGATTCGATAAAAAATTTTGGAAATTTTGAGGTTAAAACGCGCCAAGTAGCAGACGCAATCCCACACCAATCTTACACATCTTTTCAAAAAATTTCTCAGAAATATGGAGCTTCGAAAAGTCCAAAAATCGAAAAATCTATACTAGGAAAAAATAGCTTTCTACGGTAACTTTCCCACTGTACTCCAAAAAAAGGGGCGGAGTTTCACAAAAGTTGTATCAAAAAGTTTTATAATTTTACAAGTCGTCCATGGTTAGGGGGCGCAAAGCCCCGCCTCTTCACGCCACCAAAATGACGATTTTTTTGTTGCAAAAACGGTTTTGAGGCGTTTATACTAGCTAAAGTTCAACTTTAAAAATAAATTGTTTCTGTTAATCTATGTAATCGACAACGCTCTACAAGACTGAAAAAAACTTTTTAAAACTATGTATTTTTTTTCAAAAAATCAACGAAAAAAAGTAAGATTTAACACGAAAAAAACTGACGAGTTTCACAAAAATCGTGGCGTTTCTGAAAAACCAAGTGAGGAACGCTTCCGAAATTTTGAGTATGTTATACATTAACACTTTCTTTATTTTTTTGAATAAAAAAATTTTAAAAAAATCTAACGACGCGAAAAAAATCGAAGCTTGTAAAGTGACACCAAACTTTGAAGCTGAAATGCGAAAAAAATTTTCAGCGACATGGTATACTTTTTTTATTTGATTTAAAAAAACTCACAATGTGCTCACAAACAAAAAAATTCAAAAATGAAAAATAATTATTGGGACAGCGAATCAAATTATATTTGAATTTTACCAAAACCTCCTTTTTTTCGTCTGCCTCGTTGACGCATGAGAGAATAGGATCGCGTCTATATTTATGATTATGTTATTAAGCGTTCAAAAACTCTATCAATGAAAAAAATTATGAAAAAAATCAAACGACGCGAAAAAAATAACGGCTTTGAAAACCTCGAAAAAAATGGCAATTTTTTGAAATTTTGGAAAGAATTCGTGCAAGCGTTCGTAGCTGTGTTTGCGTCAAACACACCGATGCGCACTTTTAAATGTTGCAGGAGCCGTTTTTTGGAGTCAAATTGCACATTTTCCTGTTTTATTTCGAAATAACATTATTTTTCATTTTTTCTTTTTTCCAAACTAAATGATAATAATTTTTCTGATTAGAAAAAAGAAAAATAAGCTGAAAATTTCTTCTGACCTTTTTTCTAAGTAGTTTTTTGATATTTTATCAAAAATTCTTATGAGGATTGTACAAAAGATTCATACCAAAACATGAAGCTCAGTTCGGACAACCTCTCAGAACAGAAAAACCGATTTGAAAAACGGTTCAGAAATGCGCAAAAAAACATTTAAAAAAAGAAAGCGTGCGGCAGCGGGTAAACCGTGAGATTTTGCCTCCAGTTGAACGCCGCGCGCGCTCGTTTTTTGGCCATAACTTTTTTCTTAATGGAGCTTTTTTCAAAAACTAAACGGATTATGAAAATGGACAGTCTCCTCTATCGAACAGTGTAAAAAACATATTTTTTGGATCGTTTTGAAGAAATGGCTTGCGGACCCTATCCATGGTGAAGTTTAGAGCAAATCAGAAAAATATAAATTTTTGTATCAAGGGTTTATCGGTTTTCTCAGAAAGGTGTGGTATAACTAATTGGTCGAATTCATCAAATGTTCGGAAAATGTTTGATTGAACGTTCGTTCCAACATTTACTTTTTGAGAACTCTAGTTACATTACTGAAAAATATCCTAAAATGAAATAGACAATCTGTGCTATATGAACGACTAAAGGCTATGGCGGATTGAAGCTGCCAGTGCTGGCCTGAGAGGCTTGCGTCGGCTAACTCTAGCTGCCAGGAGGCGGCGTGGTATAGTGGCTAGCGGCCTAGCGCTGTGGAACCTATGATGCAGGTTCGATTCCATTTTGGCCCAATTTTTTTGTTTTACAGATGGTTTGAAAAAAAAATCTCAAAATGTTGTTTTCACCGTTTTATGTCGTTTTGAGCAAGATTTTCGATAAAAAAAATTTTCGTCTTGTAGTTTTTTCAGGCTCAATAGCCAGTAAGAAATTTTTCATCACAAGATTTTTCTGGAGAATAAGGAAAAAAAGGTATTGCATGCAATTTTGAACTTCTATTCATTAAACTGTTTTCAAGAAAGAGTCTACTGACACAAGGAACGAGGCAACGAAAAATCTTTTGTCGAAAATCTTGCTCATAATGACATAAAACGGTGAATTCAAACATTTTGAGCGTTTTTTTTGCAATCCATTTGTAAAACTTCATCATTTTAACAAGAAAAAAAATTGGCAAAAAAAAATGCGCCAAAAAGGATTCGAACCTTCATCATAGGTTCCACAGCGCAAGGCCGCTAGCCACTACACCACGCCGCCGCAAGACATTCCCTCTTTCCATCCAATGCGTTTTTTGCGTGCAAACTTTGAGGCGTTACAACTCGACTAGAACCGAAAAGGCGCACTTTTTTTCAATTTCTTTGGTTTCAGGGTGTTCGAAAGTACCAATATACCAAGTCTCATCAAATTCCAATACCTCGACCTTTTGCACTTCCCGTGTTAGCCCAGCGCGAAGACTGCGAATTCTCTTTTTGGGGCCGCGATTTCGATGCCTTTTTCGTTTTTTGGAAAAATCCCCGAAGAGAAGCCGAGAAAAATGTCTAGAAGGGAGAATTGCACCAAGTTTTCAGTAGAAAAAAATGGCCAGAACTGCATGTTTTTCGTCTTAACTTTTTTCATCCTCAATTTTTTCGGAAAATCAAAGTGTTCTGAGTTTCAAATCGAAGCAGCTATAAGCTGAGAAGAAGTTTGAGACGCAAAAAAAAATCTTGAAATTTTGGTGGAGCTCCCGAGACTTTATAATCCTCCTTCTCTGGCTTGATATACATTCTGGCTTTTTTCTTGAAATAACCATCCCCATTAAAATTTACGAAAAGGCGCAAGGAAATTTGTTCAGGCGTTTTTTTTTTCGGAAAGCTATTTTTTGGTTCTTTTGGACTTTCCCGGCGAACAGTTAATTTTCTAAAATTACTTCGTGGCGCCGGGGAACTGGAGTGGTCCTCGAACTCCGATAAACGTCCCATAGGTTTTGGAACCTTTAGGATATTTGTAAGTGGCGAAGAACTTTCCGTTGATGGAAATCACGTAACCACGTTCGCCAGCTCTAAAACATACATTTTTCATTACAGAACAAACGTTTTCGAAACAAAATATAAATTTCGAAGTCTCTTCCCTTCTTGATCGATGATTTTTTGCCTTCTTCGTTGCTCCATCCACCGGAAACCTGTGTAGTGGAAGAAATTGTAAACATTTTAAACATGGGGAATTGCTTCGGGAGGCTGCTTTACTGAGAAACATGATTTTATAATAATCGATGACGCGCGATCATTCGAATGTTCTGTTGCTCGGATTCTTCAGGAGTGTAAAAGTTGCTACAGTCAATGTTTTTCGACTTGAAACGTGAGGAAGGCGGTGCAGGGGACGGGACGTGTAGTGTGTGCGCTCTTGGCACGAGTTCAATTCATGAGCACCGACTATTCAAAAGCTCGGTCACCGCTCTTTCTTTATATTTTTCACTTTTTTTTTACGCACATGAAAAAATCAATAAATGATAAAAAAAAGAATTGAAAAGAGCGATAAAAAAGCTCTCCAAATAGTCGCAGGCGGTTGAATTGAACTCGTCCCGTCTCCTGCCCCGCCTCCTTCGCCTTTCAAGTCGGGAAACATTGACTATACCCGGTAGCTATTAAAATTTGTATTAACCTCTCGATTCACCTTTTTATCTTGATTTAAGTTATATCTTTATTGATTTTTTTTTTTGGTTCAAGCTTAATTTTTTTCGTTGCGATAGGATGATGTGAACTTTAAAAATATCAAAAGTCAATTCGCGACACTTGAAAGGCGAGGTGGGTAGATTGACATGGGTTAAGTTTATCGTACCCAACACGACATTTTCCGAAGATCTCGCAACTTTAAAGAACTTGACCGACAAAAAATGTTACGGTTCAAAACATCACATTTGGTTTTTTATTTAAATATTCCTTCGTTTCGCAAAGGTCACGGTTCAAAAGATAGTAGACCTTATAATAAAGGTTCAATTATAGTCAATGTTTCCCGACTTGAAAGGCGAGGGAGGCGTGGCGAGGGGCGGGACGCGTAGCGTGTGCGTGCGCGGTTCTTGGCGCCAGTTCAATTCAATCGCCGCCGACAAATTAAAAAGCTCGGCAACCGCTCTTTTTCTGTTTTTTCTACTATTTTTGATGCACACTTGAACATAATCAATAAATAATTAAAAAAGGAGTTAAAAGAACGATAAATGAGCTTTCTGAATGCTCGCTGGCGGTTGAACTGAACACGTGCCAAGAACCGCGTACGCACACGCTAGGCGTCCCGCCCCTTGGCCCGCCTCCCTCGCCTTTCAAGTCGGGAAACATAGACTATGCCCATGTTTGAGGAACACCGAAACACCGCGTTCGCTACGTCATATACTGGTTTTGATTTTTCCGAAAAAAGTTCACTAATATGAGCAATAATGAGCACGTATGAGATGTAGTATTTTTAAAATTTGAATAAAATTATTTTGCACCTTGTGACAAACTTTGATCGAGATTCGTTGATTTTTTGACAAGATATATTTTCGAAAGTTTTTACCGTAATCCCTTGAGCTACCGTATCTCGAAAACGGCTCGAATGATGCTATTCCGTTTTTTTTTTCAAAACATCCTAAAAATCGTTTTTCAAAACATATTTGATTTAGAGAAAAAGTTATCATAACGCCCTTTTTTTTCCAACCCAGCCTAAACCCAAATGGCGCAGACCAAGTCTGCGCCTAACTCTCGGACATTGGTAACCCGAAACGGACGTACTCCGGACGTTTCTGGGCAATTCTAGGGACCACTTAAGAGCGTTGAGGCTACTAAAGTAGCCACTAGAATTTCCCCCACACGCCCGACTCGCGTCCCGTTCGCGTTACCAAGGTCCGAGCTGAAATTCGATTTTCCATGGAGCAAACTTAGTGCGCGGCCTAGTTTTCCAAACCGACCGACTTTTTCCAGCACACTGCGTGAAAACGTCGTGTAGGGGGGAGTAATGCCGTGTTCAAAGTAATTTCCGCGAAATGCGAAATGGTCTCTAGCTCTCCAATATTCAGTTATATTTCTCTTTCTCTAACAGGTATTCCGAATTTCGCAGAATCACTTCGAACTCGGCATAAAGTGAGAAAAAACCAAAAAGGTCTCTAAAACGCTCACCGTAAAAGAGTTGAGAGACGTTATTTGTGTTTCCAAATTGATCAAGACACTCAGGGGAATATTCCTAGGAACGTAATTTGTAGTGTATAGCCCCGGCGACTGTCCTTCATAAAAATTGATGGTGATGCTGAAATTATAAATTGAGTCTTCTCATTTCACACTTATGGAGACACTATTAAAAAACGCCGAAATTGTTAGTTTTGGCGATCTACTAAACTGAAAATGGGAAATATTCATACTATTTTCTCGTGATATCATCTTGCGCGTACGCACGGATTCTGAATGCATCGCCAACTATCATTCCTCCCCACCAATGTAAATTTTGCATCGAGTTTGCGGGGCAGTCCTGAAATATCAAATTTCTAGGAGTCTGACCTATCTGCGCTCTCTTTTCCCTCACGAGCAAGGACACAGAAACGTGCGAACAGCTAAAAAAAAAAGACGAGAGAGCGCATAGAAGTTCGATTGTTTCTATAGTTGATAAATAAGTGACACATTTAACAAATTTAAAAAATCTGTCAAATGTTGTTCATTCTTGTGTAATTCCGCTCAAAGTCAACCTAATTTGCCGAACTAAAATTTTATTTAATTTGGAATTTTTTCTCTATCCAAAAACTTTAAATGATGAACTTTTTTCCAACCTACCCATTTCGAGCACGAGAAGTAAATGGCGTCGGCCAACGTCAAAAAGCCGATAAAGGCCACAAGAAGTTTCATTTTTTGAAAACAAAGAAGGAAAAACGGTCGAGAGCATGTCTTTTATCCCAAGTTTTACATTAAACGTCCCACTGAGCAATAAATTCCAAAATTTTTCGTGGTTTTATTGAGGACAATAAAAAATTACGGTTATTTTCGTAAATTCAAGAAACGTCCCCATTTTTTTCTCGTTTTTACACGAAAGGAGCAGAATATTCATTTTTTTTTGAGTCAATTTTTTTTCTCTGAGAACGAAAAAAAATGGCAGATGATACTTGTAACTAGGGATGCACAGGACGGAATTTTTTGATCTCGATCTCGAGACGAGATCGAGACTAGAGACTAGAGAACTATTTTTATTAACACTTAATAACAGTTTGCATTGACAAATTGGCTCCTAAATGGTAACATTATTGTAATGTAGAAAATTTAAAAAAAAATAATGTTTAGGGACTCATCATTCCCTTTTAGGAAGAGAATTTTCGAAATATGGCATCAATCATTCTTGCGCGGTAATCTGAGAAATGGAGAAGCAGTGATCGTCGGAAACGCTCGAAAGTCGTCTACTACTATGGCAAGAGAGCCGAGATGCTCTACGCGCCGTCTACGCTTGATCAACTACAGTATCGCGAACCGACAAAACAACTCTTCAATTATTCCATGATTCAGCAGAGAACCTACTCTGAAGACTGAATAAAAGTTTCAAAGTTTCAAATCTGAGAAAGTTTTACGGGATGCTAAAAAATACCTTCACAGTAAAGAACTGCGCGTGGGTTATTGAAAATTCGATCAGTGTTGCTTTCGTTGCGCTACGACCGGAAAGTCATATATTATGCCTCTTCTGTGTAAAAAAAAAGCATCTGGAGACAAAGAGAAATTGTCAATTTTCGACCGAGACGAGATCGAGACGAGATCGAGACGAGATCGAGACGAGATTTAGTCTCGAGATGTCTCGAAAAATCTCGAGACGAGAACTTGTAACATCAATTAAAATCGCGTTCCTGTTTTATTACCGTATAATCCGACGTTATCAACATGTTTGATTTTCAGCATAAAAGTATAACTATTCGATCCGTCTCGTCGAGATACGTACGAATATCTTAAAATTATTTGGCGCTGGCTACTTAGAAAAATTTAAGATGAATTTTATTAGATTTCAATCAAGTAATTATTTTGAAGAATAGAAGTGTTTGCTTTTTCTTTTCATGCATTACTTAAGAAAATAGGCTTAGTTTTAAGGCTTCCCATGGAGCACGGCATTCCTAATGGGGGTGAGGGAAGGTGAGCGAGGCGTCAAAGTTTCTGAATTTACAGAAAAAATTTAGTGCGCGCTACGGATAAAATTACGTCACAATCAGGCTTGTGCGACAGGACGAGCGGCCCGGCCCGGGCTGGGCTTTAAAAAAAATTTAAAAATTTGATTTAAAAAAATTTTTCATGTGACTTTTTACTTCTCAAGTCATAGTTTTTTTGTTAAACTTTAAGAGAAAAAATGAGCAAAAACGTAATTTTTGTCGTAAAAAAACTTGATATCCGACTAGAAAAAAATTGCGCGATTCGGGCCGGGCGGGCAATTTTTTCTTGAGGCCCGCTAAGGCCGGGCCGAGCCGGGCTTACGGAATGGTCGGGGGGCCGGGGACGGGCCGGCCCTCGCACAAGCCTGGTCACAATTACACTGAATATTCAACGTTAATAACTTTTTGTTCGATCGCCTTCGGCTGAAGTACTGTAGATTTCAAATTTCGCGCCAAAACTTTTTTGACGTCTTGCCACCCCGTTTGGGAACGCCGTGCGGAGGCGGAGCGCGCATAGCGCGAAGCCGACTAAATGAAATAGTTGACATAAAAAGCATGTAGTTTCAAAACGTGGACACTAAAAACACTATCAGGTAGCTCTTAACGATTTGCAAACTTGATACGCGTAGCGAAAAAAACTGTGAAATGTATTTCCCAAAAAAAAAGAAAAAAAATTTTAAAGGAGCTTACTGTGCGTTAGCGTGGACTTCGACGCGGTCGGTTATCTTTACTGTGATTTTTTTTTTTTTTGCCTTGTTTTTTTCGGATAATTTTCAAATTTTTTCCTATTTTAAAAGGTTTTTTCTTCTCATGGCGTAGTAGCGATAGTTGAATTGAATCAGCGTCGAAAAATGCAGCGAAACTTTGAAAGTTTTTGGAGTTTTTTTTCTGGTTTTTGCTCACCAGAAAGTTATTTCTTCTTACTAGCGCCAAATAATTTTAGGATATTCGTACGTATCTCAATGAGACGGATTGAATGGTTATGCTTTCACGCTGAAAAATCAAACATGTTGGTAACGTCGGATTATTCCTTTTATTACTCTTAATAAAATGATGAAACTTGGAAGGTTTTATTGTTCAGTGGAGTTTTTAATGTGAAAGTCTTTTGAACAGAGTATGAATTCTAGTTTCGTTTGATGAAAGATTTGTAAGGATCTGCCGTATTCTTTCTAACAATGAAACGACGTTCCCTAACGGGGTGGGGACTGGGGAAACGTCAAAAAAATTTTGGCGCGGAAATTCAAATCTCAAGCACGCAGCCAGAGGCGACCGAACAAACAAGTAATCAACGTTGAATAGTGTCATTTTTGACGTAGTACGAAGTAATTTTATCCAAAGCGCATACTTACTTTTTTTGTAAATTCAGAAAGTTTGACGCCTCGCTCACCTTCCCTCACCTCATTAGGAATGCCGTGAGGGAGGTCGATTTACTTTGCCGATGGGAATCACCTCAAACTCGACCAGAAACCCCTTAAGGAGCCAGATTCAAATCCTAAAATTTTCAACCCGCACAACAGCACAGTTTTTGAGCAAGGACACCTTTGAAATGAACACAAATTCTCAAAATCTTTTAAAATGGGATATTTGGAAGCACTCGTCTAATTTTCAAAAATCTGAACTGACGGAGTTGTTATATTTTTTTTTTCTCTATCGTTTGGTATGTGGAACGTATTTCTCCGTTGCTTGAAAAATCCAATCTGCGTAAGTTTCAACGCTTTTTCCGCTTTTTTTTCGATTTTTTTTTTCGATTCATTGTGGTTTGGTCAACAGTCTTCGATGCAAGAGCTTGTTAAAAAAACCATCAGAAAGATGAGCAATACAAGTTCATCAACTATTAAATATACATGATAACTTCTTAGTTGATGGTTATTTCTTCATTGGAAAATTGGCGGAATTTGCTTCATAGCCCAAAAACCAAGTTTCTTACTAGTAGATCAATCCATTTTCACCTGCTAATCACCTACCAATCACGTAAAAACTGTGAAATGCTCCTTATCATCGAGGATCATGACTAGATCGTTAGCGAAAAATGAAAAAAAGATGCGATCGAAAATTGTTGGCAACTCGCCAAATTGTGAATTGATAGTTCATATTCGCGTCGCGGTGTACTGCGGCCAACACAACTGACCGCACAGGGCGTTCTTTTGGTAACGCCGTGCTGAATTCAGAAAAAAAAAAATTGAAATTCATTCCGTCGAAACTTTGTCACTGAAAAAATAATCCCAATTTGTGTGACGAAAATACTTGATTTTTATTGTCAGTAAAAGCTTCTCTAGCGTCAGTAACACCTAAAAAGGTTAGAAGTTTGAGTTAATCAAAATATGATTTCTGGAGCTTCTTTTTATGATGATGATGTTCCAATGAAAGACGAGCTTGCTTCTCGATTCCGTCTCGAAATCTTCGTGCAACGTGGTTTAAGAAAAAAAAGGCCTCGTAGAACTTTCCGATTTTCGTATTTGATAAGCTGTGATGATCCAATCCCACTTTATTCAGAGACACAATCAAAAGGAATCAATAACTCAATTAAAAAGACAACAATTTCCCATCGTGAGAGGCTGTTATTAGTCTCGCCCTTTACTTGTTGTTTCCTGAGAGAAAGCCGTGAAAGGACCCACTGAAAAATTAATGATGTTTAGAAAAAGCTGAAAAGCATAAATTCAGAATCTTTGTAGAAAGTTTCATTCCACACGGAGTTTATTTTCCCAATTTATTTTTTGTGCCGGAAATATTTCCGGTCAACTTTTAAACGAAGTATTAAAAATAAAAATAATTATGTCTTTATGATTATTATCTCTTTTCATCACGTCAACTAGTCTGTCTTTGCCGCTCTCTGGTGGGATGATATTCCGACGCCCGCCCTGGACAAGCTGGGCGCTGTACAGTTTCAACATGGTGAAGCAGTTTATTCGCTGGCACTACCAACGGACCCAGATTATTTCCCAACGCTGGCTGTCACGCCGGGATTTATTGGACAACGACTGTGGACCGTAAACCACGCCGACGACTAATTCTTCGATTATATAGATCATTCCGCGCCAGCTTGTCACGATTTCAATTTTCCTCGGATCTAGAGAACCCCTTTCGGCGCTTCGCTTCGATGCTCTCGGTATGCCCCCTTGCGTGCGCCTTTAATAAAACTCATTATCTCCGAACTTTGGAATTTTCTTATTCTACAAAAACAGTTGTAACATCAAATTTTATATCAAACTAACCCAAGAACTATATGCAAGAAAAGCTCGAACAGTCGGTTTCATTAATAACAATTAAAAAAATAATTATTCAATCTTTTTGATTATCTTTTTTTTCACAAATCCAGCACAGAATCTGAGTGTGTATAGTGGAAGCGAAAAATGAAATCAATCCATTGAAAAACAACCCCGTAAATCAATAAAAGAGATAGAGGAAATTGAAGCAATATCTTAATCAGAAATAATGATTTATTAAAGGCGCACGCAGGGGGGAACACCGAGAGCATCGAAGCGAAGCGCCGAAAGGGGTTCTATAGTTCCGAGGAAATTTAAAATCGTGAAAAGCTGGCGCGGAATGACCTATACCATAATTCAGCAGAAATTTTCTACATCTTACTTGAATTGGATTGAATTAAAAATAAAACTATCCTTTTTTTCCTCTATTCAATATGTCAGTATATAACCTTATTGTCCATCAAAACCAAAAAAAACTGAAATCGATTGAAATTCAAGACGAAATCGGTTATCAACCGAGAAAAATTGAGTATAACTGTTGGTAGAAATTGTTTCTGAGGGCGCCAAGCGATTTCGTGGGGTTCAACTCACGCATTCGATAGAAGTTTCCGTCTTGAACCAAGATTAATTGTGTATCATTCGGGTCATCATCTCCAATTGATGAACCAGAACAACTCCTAAAATTCTGGTATTTTTTCGGCCTTTTTCTTTTCAAAACCTTTTTTATTTTTATGAGATTAACCATTCCGACAAAAAAGAATTTGTGAGAAGGTGCTAGAAAATTTTTTTTTAGGAGTTTTTTTTTCCAAAAAGCACCTTTTCGTAATTTACCAGTGAACATTTCTTCTAGAAATTTACTTTTTGGCAGCAGTGAATCTGATTCCTCGGAGTCCGATATGCGTCACGGACTTCTTGAACTTTCTACGATAACTGTAGCGTTGGAACAGCTTTCCGTTGATGAAAATCTGGTATTCACGTTCGTGGGCTCTAAAATATCAATTTTAAAGCCGATCGTAAACTTTTTCGAAACGAAATCTCGAGCTCGTAGTCTCTTCCGCTTTTGATCGGAGATTTTTTGGGCTCTTCGTCGTACCAACCTTCAGCCTGAAACTTATGAGTGGGTTCAACACGAAAAAAAAAATGGATTTTTGCTCTGAGGAAATGGTATAACAACAAAACTGCAAAGTGAGTCAGTACTTTCATAGAGACACTATTTATTGACCACGGCATTCCTAATGGGGTGAGGGAAGGTGAGTCAAACTTTCTCAATTTACAAAAAAAATTTAGTTGGCGCTACGGATAAAATGCACTGAGTATCACACGTTAATAACTTTTCAGAAAACTTCACTTTTTGGAGCCGTTTGATAAAAATGACCTTCTACAGAAGCTGTTTTTTGTGAGGAAGAAAGAAAAACAGAAAATGGTTAAAAAAGGCCAACCGATAATGTATTGAAAGACGTTTTTCCGGAGTCCACATTGACCAAGACACTCAGGGAAATATACTTTTTTTTGACATGGCCTCTGCTATCTCCTTCGTAAAAATTGACGACGATGCTGAAAAAACTCTGGTCAACTGGCGTAGAAAGAACTCTCTAGTGCACTCTCAAACTCAATCTGGATAACGGTCAATCAATAAATAAGACTACTGTAAAAAACTTTTCTCACATCGATACGAAGCGTATTTTGAACATATATGGCGCTTTGAAAATGAAAAACTGCAATTTGATGATCGAAAACTTTTCATCTATGTACTTTCACATATATTGAACATATTTAAGGAGCCTCCAATTCGTTCGGATCGAAATGTAGCTCTAAAAATGTTTCTAACGGTTTCAAACGAGCTTTAATAGTGAAATTGAAGCTGAATATTTTCTCCCTGCGGATTTTTGAAAATGAAAAACTTTGGAAATTTTTTTCAAGTTGATTTGTATGCGATCACCGTAAGGACAAACAAAATTATATAGAAAAAGTTGTCGTAGCGCCTTTTTTGCCAACGCAACCCAAACGCAAACGGCGCAGAACTGCACGTATAACTGATTCACGGCTGGCTTGAGCCATCGAAAAAGGGTCCTGACACGATGATGCACGAGATAGGGCTTACCACGCCCCCTTAGCGTCCCATGCTAACCGTGAATCAGCTATAATATCAGAGACTGAGACTCGGGATGCTATTTATTAATTGATCGTTAGTAAACCCCGATTTATCTTGAGATTTCACTTTTGTAATCTAATTTGTGTATACGCCGGTTGACCAATGAAACAAGTGAGAAAATGTTTTAAATAAAGCTTACTATTTTTCCGATTTATCCGCTTTTGCGTACGCATTGAGTTTGAAAACATCACCAACTTTCATTGGTCGCGTGAGGGGAAAAATTTTCATGGAATCGACCCGGTCGCTCTGGAATTTTAAAAAATTTTCGAGGTTTTTGTCGGAAATAGTCCCTATCTCCGCTCTCTTTTACCTCATGAGCAAGGTTATAGAAACATAAAATATGCTAGAAGTTATGAGAAAGCGTAGAGAAATTTGAATGTTTCCAATGGTGACAAATAGTTGATGTGGAAATCTGCCGCGTTTTCCTGCGCACGGTTCCTAATGCCGTTCCTAATGCCGTGTTCAAAGTAATTTCGGCGATTTCAAAATAGACACGTTATTCGTTTAAAATGAATTCACGAAATAGGCAGAATCGCTATTCCGAGAATGGCAAGAAAAAATGAGTCCTACAACGATATATCGTTAAATATGCATTTTTACCGTAATTTCTTCGTGGGAACTCAAAATTTTGGAAATATTTGGGCATTTTCTACTGAAATTCCGAATTCGCGCGTAAAACTCACCGTAAAAATGCGTATCCAACGATATATCGTTGTAGGACTCACCTTCCCAGAATACCAATTTCGCCTATTTCCCGAAATCCTTTTAAACAAATAACGCGTTTATTTTGAAATCGCCGAAATTACTTTGAACACGGCATAATGGGGTGAGGGAAGGTGAGCGAGGCGTCAAAGTTTTTGAATTTACAAAAAAAAGTAAGTGCGCGCTTCGGATAAAAGGATTGTGACGTCACAGCTATCTATCGTCGCAAATTGATGGCGTGTTCATCGGACAAAACGAAAATTGCTTCGAAACGCAAGAAAGTTGCTCCAAAACAAAAATTAGTACTGTTTTGGAGCAACTTTGGCGCCCCGATGAACACGATTTTTTGTTTTGAAGCATGTTCCGTTTCTCCGATGAACACGCCATAAACTATTCAACGACATGAAGAATACCGGACTCCCCCTGTGGCTGCGTACTTCAGATTTCTAATTTCGCGCCAAAATTTTTTCGACGTCTCCACACCCCGTTTGGGAACTCCGTGCTGCGTTTCGGCTAGGGCCATTAAACCAGCGGCATACAGCCGATTCACGGCTAAGTTAGAATGCTGACGGGCGTCACCTGTCTGCGCTCCCTACCAGCCAGTCACTACCTTTTTTTTCAAAAATAGAAGTAGGACCCTCATTTCGATGGCTTAAAGGCATAGGGGCAGTAAAAAATGGGGTTTCAGGTGAAAGCAGTATCTTATATAGTTTTTCTTTCCGAATCGAATGGTGTACTCAAAAAAATTAAATATGTGACCACTTTAGAAGAAAAACGCGATTTTACTTTCCCGCCTTTATTTTTGAAAAAAGCTTTGGATCGGTATGCAGACAAATGTTTACAGTAGCCGTGCACGCGATGTTGCGGAGGTCTCATTAGACTCGCATTTTGTCAGAAAGAACCGGGTATCTGCTTCAAATTAAAGTTTTCTTCTCTGAAAAAAACATTTAGTCAAACAAAAAACACACACCGATAATAAAGAAAATACAAAATAATGCTATCCCAATCGAAACCTGTGTGAAATCATCATTTTTCACCAAAGAAGCGTTTTTGCGATCAAAGTTTGCAAATTATTCATGAATAGAAAGCTTTTGTGACGAAAAGAACTTTGGTGACAACAGAAAAAATTGAAAATTGAAAGAAACGAAGAAAAAAGCGAAAATCCGGAAGGTGGCGAAGCGTGTTGTCTATAGAGCAACTTTACTGCAAAGCGCCCTTTTCCCGGGAACTCAAACTTTCCTCTCTCCGACTTTGAATTATTTTTTCTCCAAAACTAGGAAGTTTGGTACGTTTCCAAGTTCACCGTTCGATTCGCAATGAGAAACTCTACAAATAACTGCTTTGAACTAAAACACCGTTTTTTACTGCCCCTATGCCTTTAAGCCATCCGTGAGTTAACTATAAAAAAGTTCCAAAAAAAAATTCCCGAAGAAGTCAATAAAGATACTCTAACAAAAGTTGCGATGCACCCCTGGTTACACTGCGGGGTGCACAGGAAAGTTCAACGCGGGGTACACCGCAACTTTTGTTAGAGTAACTGCCGAGTTTGGCGCGATGGAAACGCAAGGCCGGTGGCGGTAAACTGACGAACTCGCGAAAATGACGCTCCATCCACGCGCGGGTCTCGCATTTTTCTAGGCGCGACTTCGCATCACGGCGTTACCCCACAGTGGAAGCGGAGCGTAACTTTTGCCACCACGCGTCGCGGTCGGAAACCTCGCATTGGAGCGAACTTTCCTTCACGCGCCACTTGTTTATTCGTATTAGGCCTTAATGCAGCATATTTTATATTTTCACAAATTTATTGGCTTAAATTTCAAAAATCTAATGTGACTAAGTTGTTAAGATATTTTTGCTCTATCGTTTGGTACGTGGAACGTATTTTTCCGTTGCTTGTGAAAAACCTGATGTTCAACTCGAAATTTTCGAAGTTTTGCGAAATAGAAAAAAAAAAGACTGGATTTGTAGTTTTGTGTTTTCGTTAATGCAAAAGCTTGCTGATGTTGATTTCTTCATCGGAAAGTTGGCAAAGTTTGCTTCTTAGCAAAAAAAAACCTACCAGTAAGAAATTTGATCAATCCGTTTTCACCTGCTAACCACTTAACAATCACGTAAAAGCTGTGAAACGCTCCTTATCATCGATATTCATGAAAAGATAGTTAGCGAATAATTTAGAAACAGTGTTCAGAGACTGTTGGGCAACTGGCCAAATTGTGAATTGATGGTTCGTATTTGCGTCGCGGTCTATTGCGGCCAACACAGCTGACCGTACAGAACGGTGGCAGAAATTTTTATTCTTGGTAACGCCGTGCGCATTCCTCTCGCTGTTTTCACGCACTCTAAAGAATTTTGACATTTTTCAAAATGCGAGACCCGCGCGTGAACAGAGCGAAGTTCAATGTAGCGCAAGCGACGTTGCGTTCATCTCGGCGGTTATTTTCAGGGAAATTTTCTAAACACAGTTATCAGGTACACTGAAATTCACTAGCGCCGATAATTATCATATATCATTTCTTGGGCCGGCTCGTCAATGTGTTGGCCCCCTGGCCATTTGCTGAGCCCGATCCGGCTTTTGCGGGGCCTCAAGCAATGAAGATCGGCCCTGCCCAACAAATTTCCAAGGGAAACATCATACTTTTTAGGGAAAAAAAAAATCACGTTTAGGCAACAACTAGAACTTGAATAATAAATTTCTTTCCAACCTACCAATGTAGAGCACGATATGCCGTAGGCGTTGGCCAACGGCAAAAAGCCGATTAAGGCCAAAAGGAGTTTCATTTTTTGAATGCACAGAAAAGAAAATGGTCGAATGCTTGCTTTTTATCCTAAGTTTTCCATTAAACATCCCACTGAACGATAAATTCAAAAAAATTTTTTTGTCTTTTTTTATTGATAGCAATAAAAAATTACGGTGCTTTTTTTTAATGCGAGAAACGTTTCCAGTTTTCCTGGTTTTTACATGAAAGGAGCGAAAATTCATTTTTTTATGAGAATATTTTTTTGGGATTCCAGTGGCACACTTCAGCTTGTTGGAATCGTTCCAAAACCTTTCTTTATAGTCAATTTTTCCCGACTTGAAAGGCGAGGGAGGCAGAAAAGAGGGCGGGACGCGTAGCTGGTGCATACGCGGTACTTTGCACGAGTTCATATCAACCGCCAGCGACTATTTAAAATCTCGGTTACCGCTCTTTTGGTCACTATTCTACTTCTTCTTGATGCAAAAAATGAATGTTCCAAGAACCGCGGACGCTCATGCTAGAAAGAGAAACAAATATAAGGACTGTCTCACATCTTACATGGAAGGTCATTTTTGCGTAGGGTTTGGAATTTTCTATAAATTTGCTCAAGGATATAATTTTTTTGAAGTTTTTGTCCTTTACCGAAAAAAATTTCTTCAAGATTTCTTTTTTTATTTCTCTACAAATGATCTTCTTCAAATTTTCGGGGTCCAAAAACGTTTTCCAACAGTCCCAGTTTGTTTGAGAAAAATTTATAGAAAAATTCCAAGCCCTACGCAAAAAAATGACCTTCCATGTTAAATGAATCGCTCCATCTATCACTGCAGGGCTACACTGCGACGCATAATTATAGACCCACCCCAATTTTTCCGGTTTTGAGAAAGATTAAAAAACTTTCAGCCACCAAACTTTTTTTGTGATAAACCTTGTTGATAAGGAACATACTCATAATCATAATTATCAATCACCCAGTTGAAAAAGTTTTTTTCAAGATACGAGAAAAATCTGATTTTTTTGACCGACGCAGAATTATAGACCCACTATAAGTAATCAACAAAAACTCATTTCCACAAAGTCAACAAAGTATAACAAAAAAATTGATTAATAATGTGTGATGCCTCCTTGTTTCTGAGCGACTTCGAAAAATCCTGTTCGGCATGCTGCCAACGAGTGATTGCAGCAGTGACTTGTCCAAACCATCCCACTCGGCACGAATCGCTCTTTTTCAGATCGTTGACCGTTGTATACTGCTTGGCATTCGCGTAGACCCTTCGTACAAGGACTGACCATGAAATTCTCTACAGGGTTGAGGTCAGGACTGCACGCGGGCCAGTCCAGAAGAACCACGTTCTTGGCCGCAAACCAAGCCAATGTGGAGTTGCTCGCGTGAACAGATGCATTGTCTTGTTGGTAAATCATATTAGCACGTCGTCGGCGACGGAGATAGGGCAGGAGATGCTGGGCAAGCAGTTGCTGGTAGTCTTGCGAATTCGTTCTGGTCCCAATAAAAGAAAGAGCTACCGTCCCGTTGCCGCAGAAAGCCGCCCAGACCATGAGGCTGCCGCCGCCGAAGTTTCTCTTGGACTTCGGATCTTTCCTCAAATCTCTCCAGTAGTGAGCGTACCCATCTGGCCCATCAAGGTTGAATTTCTTCTCGTCGCTGAAGATGATCTGAACAGAAAAATTGGGAATCATAAGGTGATAGAAGAAATTGATACCTTATTCCAATCCGTGGTCATGTTAGAGCGTGCAATCTGGAGCCGTTCATTCTTATGGCGTTGCTGTAGACGAGGTGCTGCCTTCATTGGAGTATTCACAAGTCGACCGGACCGATGAATTGTTCGTAAGATGGTGGTCTTCGAGACGTTTTCAGGAATTTCGGATCTGATTTGGTTGGCGGACTTCGTAGAGTTTGATGCTTTTCGACAGTCGTCTCGTTCAGCTTGAACCGATAGCAGCCTGTGCCGTCCAGAATCTATTGCTGTGCCGTATTTTTGCGGATTCCTGGGCATAACGGTCAATAGTTCGTCTTGAGCGACTCGTTTGACGAGCGATTTCCCGATGGGACAAGCCGTTGTTGAGTAGATTACCGCTTTTTCGGTATTATCAAGTTGAGTAGATTTAGGCATTATAGCTTATAGAGATACACGAAGACTTTTTCTCTTATATAACACTGAAAAAAACAGGAAAAACGTGTTACCGGAAACAGAAACTCGGAAAACTCTGGGGTGGGTCTATAATTCTGCGTCGGTAAAAAATCAGATTTTCTCGTATCTTGAAAAACTTTTCAACTGGGTGATTGATAATTATGATATGATTATGTTCCTTATCAACAAGGTTTATCACAAAAAAAGTTTGGTGGCTCAAAGTTTTTTAATCTTTCTCAAAGTCGGAAAAATTGGGGTGGGTCTATAATTATGCGTCGCAGTGTATACTTTTAGTGCAAGTACAAAATCAGATAAGAAATGACGTCAACAAGCCGAAGTGCGCCGCTGGATATGAAAAAAAAATCTGTCAGTAAAAATGAATATTTGCTCGTTTCTTGCATAAACCCGAAAAACTGAAAACGACTCTCTGCATTCTCGAAAAGCACCGTAATTTTTTTTATTGTTCTTGATGAAACGACGGTACAACTTTGAACCACAAGTTCCGACACATATGTGTCCAAATTCTCCCTACACCTATTTCGAGAGTTTTAGTACTTGTGTGTGAGAAAAAAAAACATTTTGATTAAAAATGTATTCTCTATTGGCACGTGTGCAATTACCGCTCTCCCAGTGCTCTTATAAACGGATTTATTTCCGAACATAACTTTAACGCTGTTTCTGGAGTACTTCAAGAAACAGTCACGGGCCCTTCTACTTTCTTAATTATTATTCCTTTTCTTCCCAGTGTTTTCGACAATTCTGTGACTTCTAACCTTTTTGCGGATGAAATTAAAATCTACGCAAGCAAGTCTATCGGGAAAACATCATTAGGCTGTTGAAACTTTCGAAAAAATGGAGTCTTCGCTAACAGGAAACAAAAAAAACGTTCATTTACCCAGCACAGTGTTCCAAAAGAGACGACGGCAAACGAAAAAAAAGGTCGTCGCAATGGGGCGAAAACGCGAGTTTTTTCTAACGCAACGCGGTGCGGCGCGTGTCACCCCCACAACATTTCATTCACTTTTAATACGGTTTTTTCTCTTTTTCTTGCGAATTTTACCATTCTTTCGTATCTTTTCACGTTGTATGTGTTCTTAAAACGTGTTTATCGCGTTTTCCAGAGATTTGAAGTGATTTTCGACCGTTCTCGTCACAGAAATTCGCATTAAAATGACATTTTTGATGACAACTTATTTCGCATAAGATATTTCGTTTGTTTTTTTGTTTTAGAATTTTCAAATGGACTTTCTTAAGAGGTACGCTTTGAGATTTTTCTCAAAATTTTTTTTTCGAGGCAGTCATCGACGAATTTATTCTTGAAAATGTCATTTTGGGTGACAACTTTATTCGCACGAGCTATTATGTATCTTTTTTTTGTTTTTAAAAACGTTCAAATAGTTTTTTTTAAAAGACGTTTCTTGAGCTTTTTCTCAATTTTCCCTTTGGAAGCTCGATTTGACGAGTTTTCCTAAAAAACGACAATTTGGGAGATATTTTGTTCTGCAAAAACTTTTTCGTCTCTTTTTTCATTTAAATTTGTTCGTTATAATTTAATAAACATTAAAAATTTTCGAAAACTCGCGAGAACCTAGGAAAAACATCATTTAATGGTCTTTTTCCAACCACTAAATCCACAGAACTTGACTCTCATCCCCGCGCCCCTATTGCAATAAACCGTGCCGCTGTTGCAGTCAGCCACGCCTATTGACCACAGCTGCCACCCGTTTGGGAACACTGTGCCCAGGTAGAAACAATCCTGAGGACGGTCATGGTAACGGATTTCTGAAAAATCCGAAAGTGTCAGCAGGAATGGCGCACACAGTGATTTTTTGGACATAAATGTTTAAAAAGCGTTTTTAGCATATGGCAAAAGAACCATTCAAAGATAAGCATGGTACATTCCTAGTTATACTGCGCAGTTTACCGAGAGTTCGACGCGGGGTTCACCGAAACTTTCGTTAAAGTGTAGCGAAAAAAAATTTCAAAGCAGTCATCAGACCAAAAATAGTTCAAACTGAAAAGCCACGTTGAATTGCAGCAATTTTTGTAGATAAATTGTCACCTCCTTTAGGATCGACTGAATTTTCAACATACTCTAACTCATGACTCGACTCAAGTTTTTAAATATCGGTCAACTTTAGTATAAATGATTCTTTTGAAATTTTCTGCAGAACCCTTTAACAAAAACAGAAGAAATTTTATTCCAGAAAACATCGATTTTCCATTATGACAGGCTATTTGTGGTCATGCGACTCTTTCGGCTTGAATGACGAGATGCCCCCAAAAGGGCCCACTGGAAAAACATTGACTTAAAAAAAATTGAATAAAACAAGTTCGAAACTTTGTAGAATTAAGTTCCATCACCAAGGGGTTTATTCTCTCAATTTTTTTTTTGACGGAAAATTTTCGAATCAAACCTGCGTTCACTTTGAAAAAAGTATCGAAGATAAAACAAAACTTCTACTGTCGTATTCCTCAAATATGACATCATAATCAATGCTTCCCGAGTTGAAAGGCGAGGGAGGCGCAGAAGTGTGTATGACGCATGGCGTGCGCATACGCGGTTCTTGGCACTAGTTCAATTCGAACGTCACCGACTATTTAAATAGTACGGTCACCGCTGTTTTTGTATTTATTCTCTCACTGTGTTTGATCTACAAATTGAACTCTCAAAGTAGTCGGTGACGGTTGAAATGAACGTGTGCTGCCCACTTCTCCAAAAAAAGTAACGGAACTCAGTTGAAAATAAAGTTGAAACCGATTTTGAATCGACTAAAATTGAATTATGAGTATTGAGCTGAAAATAGTTGCTCGCCAAAAAGTTTTTACTTCAGCATTTTCTCAGGAACTATGGGCAGTAATTTTTTGAGCTCGTCAATCGATTCCGAGGTGTTCAACTCACCGTAGCTATAAATTGTTCCGTCTTCAATCGCGATTAATTGTTGGTCATCCGTATTATCTGGGAATGATGAATTTTCACACTTCCTGAAATGTCCTTCTTTATCTCTATTCGATATCAAGTCTTCGAAGGAGGAAAACAGTTTTTCACAGGTTTTGCGTGTGGCCTACTACTCAGCAAGGAAGGCGCACGGTGCATTCTGCTTTTTTTGCACTCTAGTGCATAAGTTGAGTCTGCACCGTGAAGTTTCGCTGTTTTTTTGTGTCGTACTTTTGCCGCAAGCTAAAAGAACTGATTTGGCACCTTAGCATCGAAAAATCACCAAAATCGCAAAGTGCAGACCCCAATTGTGCAAAGCGCTAAAAGGCAAAATGCACCGTGCGCCATTTGAATTGAGTACTTGCTAGCCACCGGTATTTGTACAGATTGCCTCACGGTAAATCGACCCCAGATTTCTCAACGGGGCGCGCTTTCTTCCATCCCGTTTGTTCCTTTTTCGTTTCTTCATTGCAAATATGCTTCTCTTCCAGTTTTTCTACTCTTTCTATTGCACGGCGTTTTGAAAAGGGTGGACGTGAAGAGAAAAATTGGCATGCGATAAAATGTGCCCTGATGTAAAAGTTCTAACAGCGGACTACGGTTGGAGGATGCATGTTTGCAATATATTTTTATTCATTTCCCCGTTGTCGTATCGTACTTTGATAGAGCTAAGATTTAATTTTTGAGATTTTTGAATATTTTATTCGTTCAGTGAAATTATTACAAAATTCGAATTCTAAGCATAACAATTTTTTCAAGCGGTTTCGTTCTCATCAGTTTTGAGGTCATGATGAACGTATATTCCTCCTTTGCAAATATAGGTCATTCCGCGCCAGCTTGTCACGATTTTAATTTTCCTCGGAGCTACAGAACCCCTTTCTGGGCTTCGCTTCGATGCTCTCGGTGTTCCCCCTGCGTGCGCCTTTAATAAAACATTATTTTTTTGATCAAGATATTGCTTCAATTTCCGCTATCTCTTTTATTAATTTACGAGGTTTTTTTCATTGGATTGATTTCATTTTTCGCTTCAACTATACACACTCAGATTCTGTGCTGGATTTGTAAAAAGAAAAATCAAAAAGATTAATTTATTAATTTTTGATTGTTATTAATGAAACCGACTGTTCGAGCTTTTTTTGCATATTATTTTTTTGGGTTAGTTTAATATAAAAATTTAATGTTACAACTGTTTTTTTGTAGAATAAGAAAAATTCCAAAAATTCGGAAATAATGAGTTTTTATTAAAGGCGCACGCAAGGGGGCACACCGAGAGCATCGAAGCGAAGCGCCGAAATGGCTACTGTAGCTCAAAATAAACTGGAAATCGTGACAAGCTGGCGCGGAATGACCTATACAGACTTTCCCAGGTCTGGCAAAGTCACATTCAAAATGCACCTCGCTAGTACCGGTCCGCCGCTTTACCACTGCTCCTCGCTGCCGTTGCTTCGGCAGTCGCCAGATCACAGTACCACACCGCGCGCGCATTCTCTTGTATGCGGCTGCGCTTCGAAAGGTCATATCTTGACCCCGAAATTTTTTTTTTGAAAAATCTGATGATTTTTCCACGTTCCTTATTTCACATGACACTGACTATTGGATGTTTTGAAACACAGCGCATACTTGCAGAAAAAAAAAACCTAAACTGAGGCATATTTTTCAAGAATTAAAGATTCGAAAATCTCAAAAATTAAATCTCAGCTCTATGAAAGTACGATACGACAAGGTGAAAATGAATAACAATAGAAATAGTAGAAAAAACTAGAAGAAACATATTTGCAATGAAGAAACGAAAAAGAAAAAAATGGGATGGAAGAAAGCGCGCCCCGTTGAGAAATCTGGGGTCGATTTACGGTGAGGCAATCTGTACAAATACCGGTGGCTGTACTTGCTGAGTACTGTACATACTCCTTTTTTAAAACGGTATTTTCGAGGATCATCAAAAGGTGTATGCGCAGAGACAGGCCGCGCGCATTTAATATAAGGGCTCTCTAGCTCGGAGAAAAACGAAAATCGTTGAAAGCTGGGTCCGAAATCGCCAAGATTAGAAGAAAAAGCGTGATCAACTAAAGTTTTGCGAGCCGACTTGATACTGTATTAGTATAGTCCATTTTTCGCGACTTGAAAGGGCGGGACTTCTCTGCGCTCTTTTGTCTCTCGGGGACCCTCTCATTGTAACATGCCATTTCACGGCGTTTTTTGAATTTGCAATTTTTGGATAGCTCCTGAAATGTTCTTTTCGTCAGTTTGAAGAATATGATGTAAAAAAAAACATTCACTCTCGTTAAAAAACATTTAGGAACGATTTTGAAAGGGGAAAACTCTAAATCATTGATTACAAAATAAAAACAAAAAATATTATGAAAATGAATCAGAAAAATAAAAAACCTAGCTCTAGAAAAAAACCAATAATGGATAAAAAAAGCAGAAATTTTAGAAAAAACCTCGTATAGCGAAATGTTTGTTCAAATACGAAAAAAACCATCAAAAAAACTAGAAAAATAATTTTGATGATTCATATAACAAAAGCCTTCAAACTGCATCAGCAAATTCAACTTGGCACTAATTTACACGAAACCGGTTTCAAACTACGTCAAAGGAACTGGATAATAACTTGTACTTTTAGAAAAAAACGTGAAACGAAATATTAATAAAGTAAAAAGCCAAAAATATATGCTTTTTTTCAATTAACTCTTTCAGTAAATCTTGAGAGAGAACTTTATAGGGTAGGTCTTGTAATCCAAAAACGGGTCCTGAACAGATAAAAACTACTGTAGTCGTACGATTTAAGAAGGCCCGCTCCTGGTATTTTTTTTTGCATTTTATTTCACTGACAAGAACGCCGTGAAGAAAGAAGAGAGCAGAAAGAATACAGGAACAATCGCATTTAACCTCTTTTACAAATCCACATTTTGCATAAAAAATAACTGATTAGATTAAAAACCATAGTTTCCCAATTAGAGTGACTCTTTTCATGTCGCGGAACAGATTTCGAACTTTTGAAAAATTGGGATTTTTAGAAAGATCTTGACCACTTTTGAGAAAAAGTTAAAAATCTGAAACCGGTTTATAGTCAATGTTTCCCGACTTGAAAGGCGAGGGAGGCGTGGCGAGGGGCGGGACGCGTAGCGTGTGCGTGCGCGGTTCTTGGCACCAGTTCAATTCATTCGCCGCCGACAAATCAAAAAGCTCGGCAACCGCTCTTTTTCTGTTTTTTCTACTATTTTTGATGCACACTTGAACATAATCAATAAATAATTAAAAAAAGGAGTTAAAAGAACGATAAATAAGCTCTCTGAATGCTCGCTGGCGGTTGAATTGAACACGTGCCAAGAACCGCGCACGCACACGCTACGCGTCCCGCCCCTTGGCCCGCCTCCCTCGCCTTTCAAGTCGGGAAACATAGACTATAGAAAAGTGCGCAATTTAAAGCTCCACATGAGATACCCATAGAAAGGCGGATCCCATAAATGCAAGAAATAGAAAAATGCAAAAAACCAATGAAAAAAGTGAAGAATTTCAATGTTTGTATCAGAAACCATGAAAGGCGCAATAATGGGTTACTGATAATATTTTTCCGAGATGCCGCTGGGACCCAAAATTTCGCATTTTTTTTTTCATTGCGCGGAACACCGTGATTTTCATGTTTTTTTGACCTCGCGGGTGAGGGAACAGAGAGACGCAGACGCTCGAAAACTTTCAAGTCGCGGCGAACGGACTTTCTCGCAAAGCTTTTTTTTTTGGTGCTTTTAGACTTTACCCGTGAAAAGTTATTTTACTTTGTGGCGCCGGTGAATTGGATTGGCCCTTCAATTGTGATGTAACACGTGCTGATGTGGTAGCCTACACGATAAGTAAAAGTGTCGAAGAACTTTCCGTTGATGAAAATCAGGTAATCCTTTTGGCCAGCTCTGAAATATACTTTTTACAATACATCTTAAACTTTCCGAAACATAATCTTGATTTCGAAGTCTCTTCCGCTTTTGATCGAAGATTTTTTGATTTTTCCGATGCTCCATCCTTGATAAATCTGTGTAATGAAAGAGATTGTAAACATTTTGGATACGGGAAATCGCTTCGGGAGGTTGCTTCACTGAGAAACATCTCACATGCTGATGAGGGTAGCCCAGCCGTGCTAACACGGGGTCTCCGCGAGTGTAATTAACGCGTATAGACACAGCTGAACTTTTGACAATGTGCGAAGCCTTTACTAAGCCTATTTTTTAAGGAATGTAATAATTAATGTGTATGAAAAAGAAGAAGCAAACACTTTTTATCCTTGAGAATAAATACTTGATTGAAAAAAATAATCAAATTTATCTTCAATTTTTTTCTAAGCGCCCAATAATTTTTTTATGATATTTGTACGTATCTCAATGAGACGAATCGAACATTTATACTTTTATGCTGAAAATCAAACATGTTTAGGAGCTCATAGCTTATTACAGCTATTCGCGCTCCACTTAAACACTGGACAAAGTCCTCCAGGCGGCCCAAAGGCTTTTAATAAAACATTCCGACGCGTGCCGATATGATCATTTTTTCCCGAAAAAAGGGGAGGGAGGCGGGGCAGAGGGCGGGACGCGTAGCGTGTGCGCAGAAATTTCAAGTCGTGGCACATCGGCTATACGAAAACATTAAAAAAGATCCGCTTGATTAGTATCCATCATGAAAATGGATCCGATTTTGCGTGACGCCGACTTGAACTCGAGAGTGAATACTTTTGTAACCTTCATGAGCCTGTTCGGAAACGTTTTTTCCGTTTAAAACCCGAAGAGTAGGTCTAGACTGGTGCTGGCAGTGCGATTTGGTCGATTATTGCATGTTTAAAGAGGCTAATGATGGCCATACATTTTTACTAGTGGCCATCGACGTCTATAGCCGCTATCTACGTGTGATTCCATTGAAAAACAAGAGTGCTTTGGAAATGGTGCGAGCTTTTAATGAGCTTTGCCTGCTTAAAGAACGAAAACCGCTAGAGATTGTGACGAATAAGGGTAAAGAATCTTTTTTAACGCTCACATGGAAGATCATTTTTGCGTAGGGTTCGCAATTTTCTATAAATTTGCTCAAAGGATCTTTGATGGACCCGCAATCGCTATATGCGCAAACTTTTCGTTTGGAGATATGAATTTTTAAGTTTTTATCCTTGAACACGTGACACTGTTTGCAAGGAATGTGTACGCGCAACCAGCCATTGACGCCAGAGCTGCTGACCAGACCGGGGCGAAGACAACGCGCTCCGGGGCGCCCCGCCCCGCGAAGCGGTCACACTGCTAGAAGATTTCTCCACGGTTACTCAATGGTATAAATGAATTTTCATTTTCTTCGACCGTTAGATTTCTTTATTAGTCGGTACTCTGCGGATTTTTTCACTTTAACGTCATTTTAACTTATCTACTCAGCGGGGCGGGGCGCCCCGGGAAAACTGCTCAAAACAGCCGGGCGCACCGGGGCGACCCGGGGTGCCCTGTCAGCAGCACTGATTGCAGCTAGGAGCGTGGTGCAGTGGCTAGCGCAGCAGCCTGCGGAGCCTATGATGAAGGTTCGAACCTTTTTGCGGCTATCGATTTTTGCCATTACTTTTTTTGACGGATCATGATGAACATGTCGAAATTTCATAAATCAAATGTTCCAAAATTTCGATGGCCACTTTCTCCTCTTTTATTGAAGTTGTGGCATGCTTAACATCATAAAAAAAATACTTTTTCTTCAACTTTATTTGCAAAAACGTTTTAGTCTACGAATTTTTGGGGAAAATCACTTTTAATGAAATAAAAATGAAAACTTGAAGAAAATGTTTCAATAAAGCTCGTTTACCAGGTATTTATTCATATTTTGTTTGGACTTTTCCGTAGCAAAAAAAAACAATAGTTGCTTTTTGACATAGTGAAATGCTACCAAGCTCTTATTTATTTCAAACAGGGCGTGCGAAGATCTTTGATGATAATTTAGCGCTTTTTTCAAAGGGATTCTGCTTATCTTCAAAAAAAAAAGTCTCTGATGATTTGATGGTCGACCAGAACTCCAAGAAATTTTCGAAAATTTTTCAAAATTTGTCAAGAAAGTTATTTTTGGAAGAGAATGACCATTGAACGATTTTGGAACGTTTTTATTCATGAAATTTCGACATGTTCATCATGATCCGTCAAAAAAATTAATGGCAAAAATCGATAGCCGCAAAAATATTCGAACCTTCTTCATAGGCTTCGCAGGCTACTGCGCTAGCCACTGCATCACGCTCCTAGCTGCCATGCAATGGCTGGTTGCGCGTACACATTCCTTGCAAACAGTGTCACGTGTTTAAGGATGAAAGCTTTAAACTTTCATATCTCCAAAGCGAAAAGTTTGCGCAGATAGCGACTATGCGGGATCGAATCCCAGTCCATCAAAGATCCTTTGAGCAAGTTTATAGAAAATTCCAAACCCTACGCAAAAATGACCTTGCATGTCAAGTCCAAAGACTCTTCAAATTCCACCACATTCGCCATCATACACCGCATACCGAACTGAAAGCTGCCATGGTGCAGAGGGCGAATCGTATACTGAAAACTCGCCTGGCCAAATACATGACTTTTTTCAAACTCTCATCGATATATTGACGCTCTACCAGCCATAGTTTCCGGAATGAATAATCGGTAAATCGAGGAATAGAAAGAAGCCTGTACAAGTTTCATATGGCGAATTTGAGGAAAAGTTTCCCGAACAAACTAGAAAACCTCGCTACGCCGTGGGGGATACAGTTCGCGTATCCAAACTACGCAAAACTTTTGATAGAGGATATGAGAAGGGATTCAGCAAAAACTATTCAAAATTTTCGAAAATGTTCCCTCGAATCTTGTCACCTACCGACTGAAAATTCTCAGAAATACCAATCGAGGGCAAGTTTCACGAACAAGAGCTGACGCGTTACACCGACTTTTCTGACTTCTACAAGGTGGAGAGAATTTCGTCAGAACGACGCAAAAATGAAAAATGGCAGTGCCTCGTCCGTTGGTACGGCTTTCCTCCAGAGTTCAACTCTTGGGTGGAAAAGAAATCAATCACACACTTCCAAATTACTTTTTATAGGAAACATGGCTACTCCTTACAATCATTTAATTATCCATAATCATCCTCGCTCTGATCTCGATTTGCGTTTAATTTCGAAAATTACTGATAACCTACCCATTGTGTACAAACTAGAAAAGTAAAGTCTTGAAGAAGCGAAAAACACCACAAAACAGCGAAACAACGGACACCCTACTAACGTCATATATAATGCCATATTTTTTATTTTATTGCGTAAGAAAGTCTTTTTTTGAACTCGAAATGTCTCGAGAAGAGATCGGATTTATTTCTTTCGTTCGGATCTCACTGAGTCACTTTTTAGGTTCCAGTCGATTCGTCTCATTTTCGAAAAATCGTTGGCGGCCCCTACTCATATAGTTTATAACAATGAGCAATAGCGCTTTTCACATAAGGGCTATTCCCGCAAGATTAAGTGGCCCCTCTGGGGAGAGGCTAAGTAAAAAACATAAATCTCATTTTGTTAGAAAAAAGAGGGCGACGCGAGATTGCACCGTTGCGCACAGCTGAATGGTGCGTACAGTAATCTCGAAGCGCATAATGAGCGATTTTCGCATTTTCTATTCATCCGATTCGTTTTGCCTGACGGAAGTATGGTTCTTCCTCGGTGCGGCGATAGTATCCTTTTTCCGCGTGAAAAACGCGAAGACATGGGCCTGTACCGTTAAAGGATGGATGAGGAAAGGCCCCTTTCCCAAAATTTCGGTGAGTTAAACTATTTTTATTTTATTGTTCGCATTTTTATTCCCATCCCGGCACCCTTTCTGGTCCCCTGCTTTCCCCCACCTATTGGAGTATTTACAACATGGAAAAAAGTTGATCGTTGGGAAAAAAATGTTTTCTTTTTGATTTTGAAAAAATCAAAAGGTTTCACCCCAGCCCAATCTTTTTAGTTGTGTTTTTAGCCACTGAAATTCACAAACTATACCACTCCAATTAATACCAATCTGTTCTCTAACCCCTCTGAAGCTTTTTGGAAGCTCAATGTTTCGTTTTCGCCAAAAAACCCCCATTCAACTCCACAGTACCACATATACCCGAGTATATATTCAGTGTTGGAGATTAATTTTATCGGGTTTCGTACTCTCACTTTATACTGACTTTAATATTTTTTTTCGACTCTCCTTCACCACTGTTCGCGTATCAGTTTTTCAATTCAAATTTCACGGCTGGATTTTAACTTAACTCTGTCTTAACTCTGTCCTTTTCCTCTAAGAAATTTCAGAAATCCTGAAAACCTTGTCATAATAATGTCCTCTTCATATTTACTTTCTCACCCTTCATATTGATTAAAAACACTGAATTAGTTAATATCGGTCCTAGTCAAAAACTATCACCGGCTCCATTCAAGAAACGCGTACAAATGACCTGTGTCACTTCCCAAGAATCATTCGTTCGGATACGAGTACGAGAACAAAGTCAGAGAGACAAAGAGACTTGTTGCATAAAAAAAAAATGTGGTGTATCAAGAAAGTGAAGTGTTTATTGGAAACCCTTATCCCCCAATTGTAAAATTTCAGGCGAAGTTCCCAATTCCGACTTAATTTTACGTTTCATTCGGTCCAAAGTCCTTCAAAAAATTTCCCTTTTATAATCAAAACAAGTTACTCCTCCTATTTTCCCCTCTTTCCCCTTGTTCGGAGCTTAGGATGCGAAGACCCTTGCCCTAACCGGATTTCTGATAGATGGCAAGTGAAGCCAGACCATTGCGAACTCTGTCATATAGAATGAGGTTCGACGATTTCACGTTCACCCTGTCCCTTTTCGCCCCGAAATTTTTAATCGATTCGTTGAAGAAAGCTTAATGTGGAACAGAGGATAGCTGTTAGCCCTTCTACGAGGTCCACCCCACGTCCTGAAAGTTGAGTTACCTTGCTAAAAAGTTCTGAATGTGAAACAGACGACAACTGGTTGCCCTTCTACCCCGTCCATTCCCCGCCCTCAGATTTTGAGCCAATTCCGATAACAAAGCGGAATGTGGAAAAGACTAATTCTGGTGTTGACGTCCTTTGATAACCGGTGTGATAAGCAGAAGAGATACAAAAGGCGTCGTATTATACAATAATCACAATAACACGTATTTATTCTTTCGCCACTCATTATTTTTATCTAAACAAAATCGAAGAGACCCGCAGCTTGGAATTCTAATCCTGAACTTGACGTTCACTTCAGAAAGTTGAAGATAAACGTGTGACTGTGTATACAAATACATATATATCCTTATATATGTCCTGCGAAGAACTGTTTTCAATGTTAGAAACAAGAGAAAATAGCCCAATTGACTGCAACCAAAAGTTTAGAAGATCAAGGACCCGTTTGTAATTCAAAAAACTTTTCAAAAGCGACCATGGTGAGAGTTGCATTCCGAAACTACTAAGTCGAAATTTGAAGTATTTAATCAGGGTTCGCTTTCCCTGATTCCTGCAGTCGAAATTCTCTTGGAAGCAATTTCAACCGAGTTCGAGTGAGGCAGACTAGCTGAGCTATAGCTCATCCCTTTATATTAAGAGTGTAATTACTGAAAAGTTCGCCTTTCACGAAATTCTCTATCTGGTTTTAGGAAGCAGTGCTCCTCTTTGTCTGTTCCGAATAAACGCGTCGACTTCTCTTGCATAACAAAATTGGTTTATAATGAAATGAAATGAAATTATAAATCTCATTTTGTTAGAAAAAAGAGGGCGACGCGAGATTGCACCGTTGCGCACAGCTGAATGGTGCGTACAGTAATCTCGAAGCGCATAATGAGCGATTTTCGCATTTTCTATTCATCCGATTCGTTTTGCCTGACGGAAGTATCTGAGTGACTTTTGGGATGAACTATTGGATTTGGATTTGGGTGACACTAGCTTGTTCAGATGGAAATTCCGTGTCTTACCGACTTTCCATCCTTGCACTTTGAAAATAGTCCATCATCCCACAACTTAACTTTAAGATCTAAGTAGTTGGCTCATTCCAGACGCATTATAAGTTTCCTGCATCTCTCAGGCTAGATGTGGTCTTTGCCTTAATGGCTTACGGCTTATTCACACCGTTAAGACTTTCTGAAAGATTGTCGAACGACCGCCACAGATTTCATGTCAGTGTTCCGGCTTTTATCAAGTAGACGGCCTCATTCTAACCGGCTTACTCCTTAAAACATTCAAGCATGGCTCCCTCGGGGAAAAAAATTGTAGATTACCGCGCTAACGCAGCAGCTCATGCGCAATAGGAATCGAAGGGAGCCAAAAACGCCGTCACGCTGGCCGACTACATGCCTCTCAACAACTACACTCTGAAGCACGACAGTCATCTGAACGTTGTCGCCTACACCAGAAGGATGATCGGCCGCTCAGTTAGGCACCAACTCGACCTTCTTCCTCAAAAGTATCGCCGCCCCTCGGTTCTTTTCGTTTCCTTACTCGATTGTTGGTTTGGGTCTCAAGGCAATAAACGCGTCGACTTCTCTTGCATAACAAAATTGGTTTATAATGAAATGAAATGAAATTATAAAAAAGATTAAAAACGCAAACCTTATAAGACCAGAGACCCGTCATTTGCGTATTCAAATTGACGGTCATACGCAGCGGCATATAGTCAGTGAGATAAATTGGTTTTTCGCTGTAAAACTGGATGGCGATGCTGAAATTGAAAAGTATTTCTTCCTATTTAAAGGCATAGGGGCAGTAAAAAATGACGTTTCAGGTAAAAGCAGTATCTTATATAGTTTTTCATTGCGAATCGAATGGTGTACTCAAAAAAATTAAAGATGTGACAACTTTAGAAGAAGAACGCGATTTTACTTTCCCGCTTTTTTTTTTGAAAAAAGCTTTGGATCGGTGCTCAGACAACTGATTACAGTAGCCGTGCACGCGATGTTGCGGACGTCTCATTAGACTCGCATTTTGTGAGAAATAACCGGATATCTGCTTCAAATTAAAGGTTTCTTCTCTGAAAAAACATTTCATCAAACAAAAAACACACATTGATAATAAAGAAAACACAAAATATCGCTATCCCAATCGAAACCTGTGTAAAATCATCATTTTTTCACGAAAAACGCTTTTTTGCGATCAAAGTTTGCAAATTATACATGAATAGAAAGCTTTTGTGACGAAAAGAACTTTGGTGACAACAGAAAAAATTGAAATTTGAAAGAAACGAAGAAAAAAGCGAATATCCGGGAAATGGCGAAGCCTGTTGTCCATAGAGCAACTTTACTGCAAAGTGCTCTTTTCGCGGGAACTCAAACGTTCCTCTCTCCGACTTTGAATTATTTTTTCTCCAAAACTAGGAACTTCTGTACATTTCCAAATTCACCGTTCGATTTGCAATGAAAAGCTCTACAAAATACTGCTTTGAACTGAAACACCGTTTTTTACTGCCCCTATGCCTTTAACACACGTTTTCCGAGAAAATCGATGAACTGAGAAATTTCTGGGTACAAGGATTTCAAGTTGGCTCTTCAGAGCTTGTTTTGCTATCAGACATACTACATAACCTCTTCAACTCACAAAACCTGGTTTTTAGAGGCTCCGCCCACTTTCACGGTTACGGTAGAGAAAATACCATAAAAAGCTAACTTTTTTCCTGGTGAAGCAAATTGGTTCAAACCAACTTTAACATAAAGATTATAATATTTTGAGCATTTTTTTCGATGGTAGTGACCTCGGGAAAAATTTCCTTCCTCCAGAAAAAAAAATCGATTTAGAAAAATGACGATTTTTTGATACTTCTGTGTTTTTCTTGGTCAGGAACCTTGCCACAGCTCGCCACGGAAAGTACGGCCTCGGATCGCGAAACGAAAACTGCGAGAGACTGGTCGACCTTCTCGACGCAAGGAAACTCTACCATGGCAACTCACTTTTTGAGAAACCTGATCAACGGCGTTGGACCTGGAAATCCGCGAACGGAGCAACCACCAATGAGATCGACCATATCCTCACGAATCGGAAATGGACTTCTCTTGACGTTGCCGTACTACCGAGCTTCGACATCGGATCAGACCATCGACTAGTCCGCGCAAAAATCCGCATCAACAGCAAGGTCAGGAAACGTGATCTCCACCAACCACCACGTCCAAGAAGACCGGTCTACGACGCAGCCACATTGGAGAAGAACATCTCGGAGTACAAATGGTCACACAACGATGACCCGACGATTGACTACAAGAACCTCTGCGACGGCCTTATAAGATGCGCCGAACCCGCTGCCCGATCGACCTCATCACTTCCTCCTCGAATCGACCAGAAAGCGAAGGAAATGCTAAGGAAACGAGGAGAGATCAAACGCGACCCGGCTTCCACGCACCTTGAACGTCTAACCATCGACAAAGCGTGCAGAATCGCGGTCGAAACATCGCTCGCAAATCGACGCAAAAACGCCCTTCTCCTGACAGTCGAAAAACACCAAAGCATCCGGAAAAAGAAGTTCGAACTAATAGACCTATCGACGGTGATGACGGCTCTAAAAGACAAAAATGGTCACTTGAAAACTTCGCGCAAAGAAATGGAAGACCTCACAGTTGACTACTCACAAGGCTCTTCCAAAGCAGCGTAGCAGTACCAAGATCAGCGACTCCACCAGCAGAGGAAGAACCTCCGATCATCGAAGAAGAAGTTGCTCACGCTATCCGAAGGTTGAAGAATGGAACGGCGGCCGGCCCCGATAACATCTCGACAGAAATCCTCAAATCCGGAGGCGACGCCCTGAACCGACTGCTCGTCAAACGCTTCTCCACCTATCTGAAAAACAAGTAGATCCCGGAGCAATGGAAGGTCTCAAAAACCATCTTGATCCCCAAAAAAGGCGACCTAACCGACCTGAACAACTTCCGACCAATATCACTATTATCGGTCGTCTACAAGTTGTTTACCAAGATCATCGTCAACCGCCTAGAGAAGAAGCTCGACGACTTCCAACCACCGTATCAAGCCGGGTTCCGGCGGGACTTCTGCTGCCTAGATCACATCCACACCTTGACTCAGGTTGTGGAGCGTCATCGGGAATACCACCTCCCCCTGGCATTGGCTTTTGTAGACTACCGGAAAGCCTTTGACAGCGTTGAGATCAACGCCATTCTGAACTCGCTCGTCGCCGCAGGAATCCCCACAAAGTATATCGACCTCATCGAAAAGTGCAACGAGGGAACGTCGACTACGATCCAACTGTTCAATAAAAAACTCACGATCCCCATCGGGAAAGGCGTTCGACAAGGAGACACAATCTCTCCGAAGCTCTTCTCCACAGCTCTAGAAGATGCAATGCGTCAACTCGGCTGGGACACCAACCGAGACTGGGAAGACGGAAACGTTATCAAAGGCATCAACATCGACGGCAAGATCTTAACAAATCTTCGCTTCGCCGACGACATTGTACTCTTCGCCAACAACACCTCCGACCTGTCATCCATGCTCAACGATCTAAACGCCGTTGGAAAGAAGATCGGACTCCAGATGAACGAGAAGAAAACGCAGTGGATGAGGAACCGCTTCTGCGACCAAGGCAACGTCATCCTCGAAGGACGAGACCTGCTTGAAGTCAACTCCTACGTATATCTCGGCCGAGAAGTCAACATGACGAACGATTTAAAACCAGAGATAGCAAGACGCCGACGAGCTGGATGGGCCGCGTTTAACTCCATAAAAGAAGTTACCAACCAGCTGAAAGACCCAAAACTGCGAGCGCATTGGAACGTGCGCTTCTCGATACCAATCGCTTCGAACAGTGGAAAAAAGAACAGACGAGCACAGACCTCCGTCAGCGGTCCCAGATCCAGGACCTCGAAGAGCACATTCAACACGGGAAGCATCGCTGGGGAGGCCACGTCATTCGCAGACAAGATGACCGCTGGTCGACGAGAACGACCCACTGGTTTCCGAGAAACAACAAGCGCCCACTCGGGCGCCCACCGACCAGATGGACGGACTACTTTCGCAAGAACATCAGTCAACCAGGCCGCCACTGGATGACCGTTGCGCAAGACCGGGCCGCCTGGAGAACGTGTGGTCCACGCTGAGAACATCGCCAGCGAAGATGGACCATCACAGTATCAAAGTAAGTAAGTAAGTAAGGAACCCCTGATGCCGGGGATTTTTATTTTCTTAATCGACGTATTAGGATCTTGTGAAAAGGGAAAAATAGCCGCCGAGCTAAATTTGGGGTGATCCAGTTGACCGCCATCTCGGAAAACGTGACCAACTTGAAAATGACTGAATCTTAAAAAATTCTCAATATTCTTGAGAGCAGATTTCGTTTTTTTTTTCTCTTTGCGATTATGTTGCTTCTGAGGAGATGCAAGATCACAGCGGAAAAAAAAAATTTACTGTAGACTTCAGAAATTTTTAAATCGATTTTTCGAAAATTTCAGCTGTATAGCTAATTTTCGAATCTTAGGCTCTGCTGCGTCAGGGACCCTCGATGCCGTGGATATTTATTATTGCATTTGACGTGTTTGGCCTTTGTGAGTAACAAAAAAATGCTCTCAAGCTCTGGTTCCGGGTGATCCATTTGACCTCAAAGCGGCCGAAGTTGACGACCTCGAAATGGTAAAAATTTGAAGTTTTTCATAGGTTTAGTACAATTTCTTCATTGGAAGAAATGCGTTTGAGCTCGAAAAAAGTTCCTTTTTTTCATTTTTTTGAAGATTTTTCGATTCGAGCCGCTTTTTCATTCGCATTTTTTTCTATTGTCTCGCTTTCTATCAGAAATCAAAAAATAAAGATGTTTTTGAAACTCTTCTTAATGCTTTTGAACAAGTTTGGCTGAGAAAAACAATTGTTATCCCGCGAAAAAAGCCGAAATCATCTCGTAGGCGCCCAATTTGACAGAATTAAAATGAGAATTCTCATTCAAAATTGTTCCAGACTCTTCGAAAACAACGCAAGACAATGTGTGTATTATACTATTTCAACAGTTTCGTGACCTGTTTTGAAAGCTAGTGTTTTTAAGAAGAATCGAAAATAAGTTTTTCAGTTGTCATTTCCAATTAAAAATTTCTGAGATCTTAGGAAATTTTTTTTCCCGCTGTGATCTTGCATCTCCTAAGAAGCAACACAATCGCAAAAAGAAACAAAAACGAAACCTGCTCTCAAGAAAATTGAGAATTTTTTAAGATTCAGTCATTTTCAAGTTGGTCGCGTTTTCCGAGATGGCGCATTTTTTGTGTTGAAAGTTACTCTGAAAAAAATTTTTTGGCGACCCGGGGCGCCCCGTCAGCAGCATTAGTAATACTTAGAGACCGCAAAGCCACGCCCCTTTTCACGATGGTGAAATGCGCTAGTTTTTTAGATTTTGTGTTTGATGTTTCCGTACAAGCGCATTACTGAACCAAAAACGGAGAAAATTGGTGGAAACATAGAGAAAACCTTCCTCTTCAACCTCATATTTTTTAACCAATTTTGAAGCGATTTAGCGGGGTGTCGTACAAAAAACCAAAACTACTTTATTTCTTCGAGTTTTTAACCTAGTTCCATGTTGTTGGCGCCTTTTTTTTATTGAGGCCGCGCAAAGTTGAAAATTTTTTATTCGATTTCGAGAGCATGTAAGTAAAAAATGTTTGTTTCCACTTGTAGATTAAATTGTAACGAAAACTTTATTGGTATAAAACCTATTCCGAACAGTTTTTTTTCTGAGAAAAATAGACAATGAAAACTTCGAAGTTCATTTTAACATGTTCAGATGTCGTTGGCGCCTTTTTTATTTCTTAAACTTCAACGTATCTTAATTTTCAACCGATCAAAAAAAGAAAATAAAAATTCCTACGGTGCCTAAAAGTTTAATTATTGTTAATTTGAAGCCAACGTTAAAAATAAGAAAAAACGCCGAAAACGAAAGCATTTTGAACTGAATCTCTATGAATGAATTATTTTTAGGTGGTCCAAACACACGTGACTAATAATTGTTCAACTATCATAACTTTTTTTTGAACAAGAGTGTCGGTAAATGCTGTACTTTGAGGTGAAGTGGTGTATAGCGCGAACGCCTCCCATCTCCGAGAGATGTACGTGGAGCAGCGCAAGTGCGCCTGCATTCAGTTTCGATATCGCGAGTTCGATCCTCGCAGCGGCCATTTTTTATTTTTCATGAAAAAATGGCTTTTCTCTTCAAACTTGTGGTTTTATACTGTTTTAGTGACATATTATGACTTTTTGAAACTGAACTAAACTACTAAAAGTTTTAAATCCGATATGAAAACAAAATGAACGACCAAAAGCGTAAAATCTAAAGCTTTCAGGACTCAATTTTGCGACTTTTTTCACTACTGTTTTGACCATAACTTTTTTTTTCTCAATTTTTTTTTGAAAATTAAACTGTTTTGAATAGTAAATTGGAGTAGATATCCAACCATAGTAATATAGAAGCTCAAAAAGTTTTTTGAAAATTTGGTTGCGGTCTCTAGTAATACTTGCGCTTCGTTTATTATCTGTGTGCGTTTTTTGTTCGCCTAAATGATTTTGCAGAAGAGAAACCATCAATCTTAATCAGATATCCGCTTAACTTTCAAAAAATAAGAGTCTAATGACATGTCCGCAACATCGCGTTCACGGCTACTGTAAACAGTTTTCTGTACACCGATTTGAAGCATTTTTCAAAATTAGAAGGCGGGAAAAAGTTTTTTTTTTCAAAAACACTCATGTTTCCGCTTTTTTTTAATAGACCGTTCGATTCGCAATACAATCTCTACAAGGTATATCTTCCACCTCGAACCTCGTTTCTTACTGCTCCTAGGCTGTTAAAAGCCCTGATTTTTTTTTTGAATTTTTTTCTGGCGACGACCTGAAACTAACTGAAAATGGAAAAGAATCTTACACATTTCCCCCAGATCCCGTTTTTGCGAACGCATTGATTTTAAAAACATCGCCGACTTTCGTGGGTTTTGGGACTGTGTAAGATTGAGAAGGAGACTGACTCTGAAACATCGAATTTTAAGATTTCTGTCGGAAATCAGGCATATTCTTCAAATCTGACCTATCTGCTTTTTCTTTTCTCTCACGAAAACAGGTCGCAAAAAAATGAGAATAGCTGAAAATTAGCCTGTGTACCCCGATTTGGAATTTCATTGAACGACATTCCGCTACGCTGCTGGGCGCCTTCTCGGGCGAAGTCGAAATGGTGGATAATGGCTGCAAAAAGGGAGAGGCTGCAAAAAGGCAGCGAAAGGCAGCAGAAAGGAAGCTAAAGGCAGCAAAGAGACTCCCTTTATCGAGCCTTCCATTTTTCTGGGATTTTAAAGGCTCGAGAAATGGTGGAGAAAGAGAAAGGCAGCAAAAATGGTGCATAAGGGCTGAGAAAATGGAGCAAAAAGGCAGCAAAAAGAGAGTCTTCATCATCCTAAAAGGAACATTTCTATGGTCGTTTATAGACCCTCGGAGGGTCCTTCCGACTTTGCCTATGTTTGCGAACCTTGGTCGGGATTTTAATTTTAATTTCTTTCATTATGGTACTCTATTTCCATGTGCTCCCGCAGCAATGACAATCAATTGAAAGCGTGACCTTGATTGGAAAGACGCTTCGCAAACGCACGCAGCGGAACAGCGAAATGTCGTTCGGTGAGATTTCAAGTCGTGGCACACAGACTATATACCTAAGATAATCTGTCAAGTTTAGTTGATTCACGTATAACTCATTTTAAAGTCAACCTAATTTGGCTAGCTAAAAGTTTATTCGGTTTAAAAGTTTTTCTCTATCCAAGATCTTTAAATGATTAACGTATTTTCAACCTACCCATGGTTGGCACGTTATGCCGATGGGGTTGGCCAACGGCAAAAAGCCGATAAAGACTAGAAGAAGTTTCATTTTTTGAAAACAAAGAAGGAAAAACGGTCGACAGCATGTCTTTTATCCCAAGTTTCACATTAAACGTCCTATTGAGCAATAAATTTCAAATTTTTTCATCGTTTTATTGAGGACAATGAAAAAGTTACGATTGTTTCCGATAATGCAACCATTCCCAGTTTTTTCTCGTTTTACATGAAAGAAGCAGAATATCTTTTTTTTTTCGGGACAAAAATTTCCTTTCAAAAAACGAATAAAAATGGCAGATGGTACATGTAACATCAATAAAAATCCCGTTCATGTTTTATTATCCTTAATAAAATGATGAAACTTCGAAGGTTTTATAGCTCAGTGGGATTTTTAATGTAAAAATAAGCATAAAAGAGATTTTCTCGAAAGATTCTCCTTTTGTGGCTTGCTAGGAATGAAAGTTCTTCTGGTCTTTATCGGCCTTCTACCATTGGCCAGAGGCTTTTGCTTCATATGCTTAGACTGGGTGAGTTCAATTCTTTTTCTTTTCTAAGTTTGAAATTAGTATGTCCAACTTTTGAACAGAGTATGACTTATAATCTCGTTTGATGTACGATTTGTAAGAATCCGTCGTCTTCTTCCTATCAAGGGAAGTCGCTTTCCTTTGCAGTTGGGATACCCCTAAAAAAAAAGGCCAGAAAAAAACCCGGTTGAGCCAGATGAAGATCCCGAAATTTTCGAAATGCTCAACGTGCTAATTTTCGAGAGAGGGCCCCTCAAAGAAAAAAAAACCCTAAAAATCCATTGGAATGGACATTTATGGGCTTTATTATTATCATCTCGTTTCATCACGTCGACTAGTCGGTCTCATTGCCGCTCTCTTGTGGGATAATATTCCGACGCCCGTAGGCCCTGGACAAGTTGGGCGCCGTACTGTTACAACATGGTGATGCAGTTTATTTGCTGGTACCACCAACGGAACCACATTCTTTCCCAACGCTGGCTGTCACGTCGGGACTTATTGGACAACGCTTGTGGACCGTAACCCGCGCCGACGACTAACTCTTCGATTATACCATGGTTCAGCAGAGATTTTCTACATCTTACTCTGAAGACTGAATAAATTGAAATTGAAATGTATGGGTTATGAGCACTTACATCTCGAAAATCGGGAAGTTGTGTAAGTTGAGACTTTTAGAATTTTTTTTTTGGTAGGAGTTTTTCTGGTCAATTTTTAGAAAGTTTCCCAACCGCCAAGTAGAATGACTTCCCTCCTTATGGATTAGTAACAAGGAAATAGGTGAAATAAGCCCCAGAAAGCCGAACGTCGATTTTCTTATGCTCACTAATGCTGTGACAAAAAATTGAATTAAAATTGTTCAGTGGGCAGCTCATAATGTTGATAGATATATTCCAAAGCCTTTATTTTCGAACTCATGAATCTGTTTCAACTTCAGAACAACGTTACCGAAGGCCGTCAATATTTTAGTCTCGTGAAACCTTTGAAACCTGGCGATGTCATTATCATCAATGGTGTCGGCAGATGGAACAACACCATCAAACAGTTATGCATCATGTCTTTCGCGTCAATGTCGTCTGAGAAAACAATTTGAAACTCGCATCTTCGCAATTTACATACTTTAACTTTTTTCTCAACTTTTTGAAGAAAAGTTTCGAAAATTATCATTCAATATGCGGATTTCAGCTTCATTTTCGACTTGTACGAAGGTATTCAGACCCCGACTTCAGTTGGCGAAGTGATTTCTCTTCGAGTCATTTCTAACTTGGACACTAACATGATGGCCTTTAATACATATACGGTAAGACGTTTTTTTTACCAGAAGCCCTCATGGCCCACGGCATTCCTAATGGGGGTGAGGGAAGGTGAGCGAGGCGTCAAAGTTTCTGAATTTACAGAAAAAATTTAGTGCGCGCTACGGATAAAATGCATTGAGTATTAAACGTTAATAACTTGTTTGTTCGATCGCCTTCGGCTGAAGTGTAGATTTAAAATTTCGCGCCAAATTTTTTTCTGACGTCTCCCCACCCCGTTTGGGAACACCGTGGGCCAGAGGAGACGCAAAAGTTCACCCGCTGCCGCACGCTTTCTATATAATTCATTTTATATGGAAGGAAGGAAATTCGGGTCCGCGAATACTGTTGGGCGGGAATTGCGCATACACCAATCTGGAAAAAGGATTCTTTCTAATTTTTGTTGTAAACAGAAGTTGATGGAGAATGCAAGCAGAATGAATAAAATTAAGAATGACGTTCTGCAGCAAATCCCTGACTGAGTGTATGCGAAAAAGACTCATTATTTGATGAAAAGTGAGTTTAATAAAAACCATACAGTTTATATTTGCGGTCGAAAATCGGCATCTTCACAATGAAATGACAAAAGAAAAAAAATGGTGTATGCACAACTCACGCTCACGAATATTCGCGGACCCAAAGTTCCATCCTCAGGCGGAGAACGTAGTGCCAGCGCACATCTCACTAGGGAACGTTTTTTACCCCCGGTTGAACTTTTGCTGAAACTTTGCTGAAGTGTACTTTAGGATTCCCTGATGCCAGAACAGTAAGAAAATTTATGGCAATAGATCTCGTTTTCGAGTTAGGACACTTCAAAAGCCCGAAATAGCGCTTTTTTGGCCTAATTCGCGTATTTTGCACACTTCGAAGTTCGGAAACAAGATCTATTGCGAGAATTTTTTTTCTCTTCATCAGGGGTCCCTAAAGTACACTTCAGCAAAGTTTCCGCAAAAGTTCAACCGGGGGCTCAAAATGATCCCTGGTAAAATAAGAAACGGAAGACCAACGCGCATGCACCAGTTTTGAGAGCACGGTAAACTTAGAGAGACTAGACTCGTATAGCTGATTCACGGCTGGCTTGAGCCATCGAAAAACGAGTCCTGACACGATAATACACGACATAGCGCCTGGCTCGTGGAGAGCGAAGACAAGACACGCCCCTTAGCGTCTCAAGCTAGCCGTGAATCAGCTATACTCTCCTCGCTCTGCACACTGTCTGAGGACCTGGGCGCTGGCGCGCCAAATTTATAGCCCGTTCACGGCTGGCTTGGGACAGCGAACGGGCGGTTTAACTTTCGCGGTGAAAGTAGATCATGACGACTATCTATGCGCCTTTCATAAAAGCCCCATTTTATGACTTATTTATTTCTGAATTGTATTTCGTATCGGACCTTTTTTTTTATAAAAACTAAACTAATTAGGAAAATTAACAGTCTCCTCTATCGAATAGTATGATCAACATAATTTCTCAATGATTTTGAAAAAATGGCTTGTGGTCCCCAAATAAAGACAACTGAGTAAACGCTCATAAGACCATCTTTACATCACTAATTTTTTTTTTCTATTCTAAGATCTTTGAAAAAAAAATTTACAGAAAGGAGGAGCAAACTTCAAGGAGAGTCCCAAGTTGTCTCCTGTGAAACGCGAAACGCCATTCCAACTCCGAATTCTGTTTTCTTGCTCATTTTATGAAAAAAAAGAAACGTATTATTTAAGAGTGCGCGAAGGTGATTATCAGATCTTTTTCGACGACCAGCTTTTCTGGACCTACACCTTCCGTCTGCCATTCCTCAACACCGTGAAGTCGATCGGATTTGAAGGAATGAAGTTTCCCCGAAAAGCGTAAGTTTCAGTCTTTTAGAAGCCGCAGAATAAAAATTATTCACGAAGAAATTTGTTTTCAGCGATTGCCCGAAAGTATTCGGAACATTAGAAGAAAGTGATTCGCAGACAATTGTGGTAGAAAATCAAAATGTCTACGCCGTCTGTGAGTTGAACTCTTCCAATTTCAACAGAGAGATCGTACTTGCATTCGCGTAACATCTAATGGTCATGAAGTAATTGTCATAAAGCGCGCCAGACATGAAACGACTTGCGCGCTAGACAGAAGAGTCAGTCGCCACGCGGCCGCGACGCTTCAAGCCGTCCTGCGTGAGACTAATAGTAGCGCAAAAATATTGGTCAAAATGCAATAAATTAAGAAAAATCCATCTTTCCTTTGACAACCTATCGCACACACCTTCATTAAAGCACAACTTCAAAATGACCTTATAAAAATCAAATCTCTCCGTACTAAGTTCCGTGATTTGAATCCGCTTTTTTTCTCTGCGCTTTCCTCGTCTTTCGGGGACCCTCTCACCGTTGCCGTGCTATTTTCATACTTCCCTGACCTCGACGGCGAGAGAACAGAGAGACGCAGACATGCGAAAATTGTCGACTCGCGGTGCCATTTTCATAATTTCTTCTTCTTTCAGACACTTCGCCGACCCAAATCCTGTCAACTGCTGGCTAGGAAATCACTTGACGCAAATTTCGTTAACGGAAAAAACTCGTTCTTGTTTGAAATGAATACTTTTTTTTCAATATTAGTACTAATTATCCTGGTTAAATCTCCAAAAATGATCAACTTGTGCTGGTGCGGCAAAAAAAAAAGACAAAATGTGGATTTCTTCGCGTCTTGCGACAGAGAGCGCAGGATCAATATCATAGATAGAGAAAAAAATTCTGAGTGCAATTTTTTTAAAAAAAGATATTTGATTTTTTTCAATCAAAAAAACGATAAAATATAGAGGATGGTACTTGTAACATCCATAAAAAGCACCCTCCATTTTATTATCCTCAATAAAATGAAGAAATTTTGAAAATTTTATTGTTCAGTGTGGAAGTTTATTGCGGAAATCGAGATAAAAAGATCTTTTTGAAAAGTTTTTATTTTGTGGTTTCACAAAAAAACAATGAAACTCCTTTTGGCCTTAATTGGCCTTTTCCACTCGCCAGTGCTTTCGGCTATCGATGCACCTCTTGGGTAATTATTTTATTATTTGGGATGTTCAAAGATAAAATCCACAGTGTTGGATTGAGGAGAACGCCTACATAGGAAATGTTGGAAAGTTGTTTGACTTTCCAAAAGCCATCATTAAATTTCAAAATGAATAAACGTTTTCGAAATGAATTTTCGATTCTGTTTGAACATCAAATGTATACCAAATTCAATCGAAAAAAAAACCAGAGATGGAAAATGACGAAAGAAACGGGTGTGATCTCACTAACCAGGGTCTGCACAGTGGGGCTTCTCAATGAGACCATGCTTTCTATATGTAGTTTTTCACGCTAATTTCAAATTCAATCTCAAAAGCTGCCCCAGAGGTCTGTGAAAAAAGTTATGGGCCCTCAAAAGTCGAAAGTTTCATAGCCACCGATTGAGCTCATTTTTAGAGGGTATGTAGATCCTGTCACTCTGGTCGCGAAACAACATTTATTTTGTCCAAAAAAACTTAGTGAGCCCAGATATAGTCTGTTCAGATTTCAAATGTCAAGTGTTCCCTGGCGCTCCGCCCCCTAATGGCGCGAAAAACCAATCAGAGAGCGTTTTCGAATGACGTCATTCTACTTGACATTCGAAATCTGAACAGACTATACGATTTTTCTCAGACCTATGTGGCAGCTTTCAAGACCGTATTTCGTGAACTACATATAGAAAACAGTCTCATTCAGAAGTCCCACTGTGAGCTAAGACCTTTCCATGGTGAAGTAATATTCATAGTAATGTCCTCCTCATATGTATTTTCTCACCCTTCATATTGATCAAACACACTGAATTCGAATTGAAAACTTAAAAAGTACTTTTCAAGGTTCCAAGAGGGCTCTCTCCCCAATCCGACTACTACCAGTGTACTTATGCTGGGTTTTCTTTTTTTCAAGAACTGGATCAGATCTGTGGTGGACGGGAAATTCAGCAAACTATAGTTCATTTTTCGCGGCTTGAAAAGGGCGGGACTTCTCTGCGCCCTCCTTATCTCTCGACGTTCCTCTCATGTTTACTGTTTCTCTGACCATCTTCAACTTAAATTTTTTTTTTTTGCGTGAATGATCCAAGATTTTTTGTCAATTTTATTCAGAGAACGCAAGGCCCCGCTTCTTCCCTGGATAGAAAATTCGCATTTGCTAAAACCGGTACAAACGCGATATCATAAAAAAGAAAATTGTTGGAAAAGCACAGAAAAACTTCCGCTTACTTTTCGCTTGGTTTGGATGCGTACCAACGGAGTTTTGTACGAAAAACATCCGATCGAAGCTTTTTCATTGCAACTGAAGCTTTCATTCCGATTGAAGCTTTTCATCCCGATGGAAGCTTTTCATGAAAAAATTCCTTCTTGTTTGCTATAAATTCGTCATACTTCCAGGGACCTGTCAATTCGTAAAGGTGGGCTCATTTCTGTTTATTGTTTTTTTTATTATTTATCCTCTGCCCATCCATTACTTGATCCCTTATTTTTTAAATTTTATTCTGTTAAACAATAGCATTGAGTGAACTATAATTATTCAAAACTAAAACGATTTTTTTCAAACTGCAGTTGGCGTTTTTCCAGGGACAAAAGATCTTTTAAACGTTTTCGTAGTTGGACCTGAAGTGTTCCCTCAATTTGGAAAAATACTTGAAGAAGTCCAAGTGCTGACAAAGAAGGTCTTTTTACTTTGAGTTTGGCATATTCCTGAAAACTGGCCAGAACGTTCCTTGATGTACCAGAAGAAGGTTCTGAAAGTTTCAACCTGCTATAGCTCCCTCGTTTTCAAGGAAAGACGCAGGGCTTCAAGTCCTTATTTATCAAAAACTAGGACTTTGTTCAGGTTGAGACCTTTTCATCAAGAATTGCTCTGGCCAAATTTCAGGAATGTCCCAACCGCGAAGTAAAATAACCTTGCTTTAGGTTTTTTCAATGTCGATTTTCTTCCATGCATTTCCTTTTATAAATCGTTTCTGAGAGATGAAGATTCTAAATTTTTGGGTACATAGAGATTTCCTCCTGTGTCTCTAATCAGCGATTGAATTTTAGAATCGTATATGATATCAACTAGGCAAACAAAACAACTGCAATAGAATTGATGATGGGACATGTACAGTCAAATTTTACAGACTTGAAAGGCGGGGCAAGGGGCGAAACGCGTGGCGTGTGCGTACGCGGTTCTTGGCACGAGTTCAAATCAACCGCCAGCGAGCATTCAGAGAGCTTATTGATTATTTAGTGACTATGTTCATGTGTGCATCAAGTCTCTAATCAACGATTGGACCTTAGAATCTTATATGATATCAACTATGAAAGGGGCGACATATGAAAGGGGCGGCATAGCTCAGCTGGCATAACTCATTTCTAATGTCCGCAAGGTCGTAGGTTCGAGTTACCCCGAGGTCGACCAAGCCTTTCATCCCTCCGGGGTAGATAAAATTGGGAGCTGCATCCAGCGAAAAGGCTCAATCTCTGCCATCGGCCTTTGGAAAGCCGGCACCGTACTTCTTCCTACGACCTCTCTTGCACCTGATGTTCTACGAGCGAAATTCACAACTTCTCTGCCTGAGCCACAGCTCCTGCCGCCGTTTAAACACAGTTAAAATCAATGAAAGTCGATTGCACATGTATTCTAACATTGAAGATGCAATAAACAGTTTAAAAACAGTGCATCAAAAAGTAGTAGAAAAAACAGAAAAAAAGAGCGGTTGCCGAGCTTTTCAAACAGTCGGCGGTGATTGAATTGAACTGGCGCCAAGAACCGCGTACGCACACGCTACGCGTCCCGCCCCTTGCCACGCCTCCCACGCCTTTCAAGTCGCAAAAAATTGACTATAAAATTCAATAAAACAGCACCCTCACGTATTGTCGGAGTTTTGGAAAACTTATTGCTCGGTGGTATGTTTAATAGTAAAATCAGGATAAAAGAAAACTCTCTCGGAAGTTTTTTATTCTGTGGTTTCACTCGAATGAAATACCTACTGGCCTTCATCGGCCTTTTGCCGCTGAACAACGCCATCGGCGTACTATGCAAACTTTGGGTAAGTAGTTTATCAATTAAATTTAGGAAACTAGTTCATCATTCCACACTATTAGCAGAACATGGAGTCTAGTTTGTTTTGATGTACACTTTATGAAAATCCGACTTTCCGATAAGTTAGCAGCAGAGGGAAATAGAGTGAGCTCTACTTAGAAATGGAGCGCCAAAAGGTCGTCACTCACAACTCTATCTCTTATACGCACTATTTTCGTCGTTATCTAGCAGCAAGAAAACGAACAAAACAGTTCCTATCAGAGAAAGAGTTGTGGCGATCTTATGGCGCCCCATTTCAGAGAAAAAAAATCTAACTTTCGAACCCAAAAATTCACGCTAAGCGAAAAAAGTTGTTCTTAACCTTGAACATCATTTTAGTCAGAAGACAATGATGACTCCAAATTTCAGGACAACACAACCGAGAGAAGACACGTTTTTTCGCTCGAAACGCCTCTGAAAGCTGGGGATACCATTTTTCTCAATGCGACCGGCAGCGGGAGTAAATCGATTATACAGTTAATTTCTCACGAATCTTGGGGTTACTCCAGATTGGCCCCCACTGGTGTAATAAACAGCCCCCAAAGCCGCGTTCGAACGAGTCCCCCACCAGTTGGTGGAATTATTTGCTAACAGGTCTCGAAACGATTCAAAGGGGGCCGCGTTTTTTTGATCAGATCTTACTTTAGAAAAATTTTGACTCCAATCAAATTTTAACCTTTTCGTTTTTTTATTTGTTATTTTTTTCTTCATTTTTGATGTAGGAAAAATATGACGTGTAACATGTGTTTGTAAAAATTTTTTTAGGTAAAAAGGGACGATTCTGGAATGCCGTGGGGGGCTTTTTTTGAAGGATGTAGGGGCGATTCTGTAATATGGGGACCCGGACAAGGCTTGCAATGAATGATTCTTGAAGATTGTCTAGGGTTTCAGAATTTTCCCCGAACCTCGTCAGAAAATCGTTTCACGAGATTGAAAAATGGGATATAATCAAAAAGTTTTTGAAACGTTCTCAATTCCAGCTTCATTTTCGATTTGTATGAGGGAACTCCGCTAGCGACCGATCGGAGTAAAAACGCTTCTCTCCGTATTATTGCAAATTTGAAAACGAGCATGATGGCTTTCAATACGAATACGGCGAGATTTTGAATTCATTTTTTTGTTGAAGTCAAAAGTGCCTTCTCGGACGCTCACGTTATGGTTTACACTTAATTTATCATTGAACAAGTTCGGAATGTAGGAAAGAACGTTACAGAAACTCCAGAGTGATCACTATGGGGGCATCCCTAGGGGCCCTTGAATGGTCGCCTATAGTACCAAAACCAACCCCTATAAATGCCGCTGAAGCTTGTAAAAGTGGCTGTTTTAGGGATATTAGTTAAAAAGTCCTTATGAGGAGTATGCTAGTCTGAAATTCAATCTGAATTTCTGATACGTCTTTCCATTTTTTATTTCCTGAACTCCTATAGGGACGACCTAAATTTTACCCCTATGGTGAGAAATTTTTTGTCTCTAATGCGGCTGTTTTTTCCCGTAGGCCCTCAGAGACCACTCTGGTTTTCTAACTACAAAATGGAGAACATGAACTATGAAATAGAGCGCAGAGTAGTCAGACTGTCCCAGTTAGTGGTGAATGAGATATGAACGGGAAAATCGTTACCTTCCCCTTTGAAAATAAACTTTGAACCTTCAGCCCGATGGAAAGTACAAGGAAGAGCCCAAGTTGTCTCCTGTCAAGCACAACGGCCCAATCAAAATAAAGATTCTGTCCGTCTTCCATGAATCTCGGGCTACATTCATTATTTCAGAGTGCGACAAATTGATTATCAGATTTACGTCGACGAAAAACTTTTCTGGACCTACAACTACCGTCGGCTATTACTAGACACAGTTCAAGCCATCGGAATCGAAGGAATCAAATTCACGAGCACCACAGAGAAGCAAGTCTAAGTCCGAAAAGCTTAGGAGACAGAAAATTTAGAAGACATATTTTATTTTTCTTTCTCGAATAGAAATTCTCGCTCTCAAGTTGAAGAAACAATTTCAGTTCCTGCCCGGCTTACTTTGGAACGCGGAGCTCGGACGATTTCCAGACCATCGTGATTGAAGGTGGAAAAGTCAATATCCTCTGTAAGTTGTAGAACTTTCTGGTCGCACTTGGAATGGCTTGATTCACGAAATAAAGCGACGCGTCGCAAAATCTTCCCAATTTTTGTCTATGTTTTTTTTCAGATGGCCCTACTCTGCAAGACAATAATGGAGGAGCTTCTAACGGCGGCAGAGTAGTCATCGAACTTTAAAATAAATCGAAGTTCTTTCAAATGAACTCCCATTCTTCCTGTTTAAAATAAAGTTTTGTTTTCAGCTGACATTACATACAATCACCGTCATCGGAACGGCAGATATTTCGCCTCTAAGAGCGTTAAGAGCAGGGCATATTAAAAGCGCAAGCTCGGTTACCGCTCGTTTCGTTACTGTTCTACTATTTTTCAACCCACAATACTTAAGCATTCTGGCTGCTGTAACTGCTTTTCAGTTCTTAGGAACGATTTATGGAATAGGTATCCATTGGAAATACCTCATAAATATGATACCAAGGAAGAGTGTTGATGGATCCAAATTTGTCAAGGATCCATTCAGAACGTTATCTGCTTGCGGGACAGTAAGGAATCTCGAACACATTTTCAACTTGTCATCCACTTTTACCCATTTATTTCGTCGGAAGTGTCAAGTCGCGGCGGGCGAACTGTAACTCAGTGTTGGAGCATAACGCTTATATTAAGCTGATTCTAGGATGTTCTATAGTTTTCCATTTCTAGTCTCATTACGTCATAGGGATCATGTGTAAAAGTTTCCCTTCTAGAAAGTTCCACAATCTTCTCATTTGTTCTCTACCTTTCTAGAAAGTTCCACATTGTTCTCGAATGTTCTAATGCTTCCGGGACAGATCTCTAAAACTCTGGAATGTTCCATATTTTACTCTAATCTCAATACTATCTAAACTCCACCTTTATTCGGGAACATTCCATAATCTTCGGGATCTCTTCCCTCAGCACTATATAACCCCTTGTTGTTATTGTAAAAGGGCTAGCATAGTCTAGTTTCTTGTTACTAATAAATCTTCTACTACAACGTCTTCACTGGCCACCTGCGGGCACAACACTCAGCTGAAAGTTAACAAAACTCCATATAACTTTAATCAAATGCTTGCAATCAGACTGCTGCGATTTTTATCTTGGTTTCGAGAATTTCTTTTTTATGTAATCAATTTCTTCGCACCATCCAGAAAGTTTGATCGAATATCCGGCATAAAAAAGTCAGCAAATCGGTGAAAGAACAAAAAAAAAATCTGCATCAGAAAAAAGTTAATAATTCATTCCGTATGATGGCAACTTGTTTTTAAATTTCAGTCACGGATCTACGCCGTGTTCGTGTATGGGGCCCTGCTGGCACCCTGGAGAGTGGGACCATCTGAAAGAAAAGATTATCAGAGAGTGTTATCAATTTAAATGGTATGTTTTTTGTTTAATGGAATCTCACTAACTTCTAGGCCTTACAGTTTTTTTTTGTATTCGAATAGAGCCGTTTATTCAAAATTTATTTCGTGGGTTTCAAATCATCATTTTGAGTCCAGCGACATCTTTTACATTAAAAGAACCATACTCTGAAGATTTCATTCGAAAAATGACCTTCTAACAGAGAAAAGTGATATTGAAAAAAGGAAATGTATGAAACTATGATTGGTGAACGGTATGCGAAAACTCGTGGAGATAAATTTTTTTCAAGTTCAGGAAATGTTTGCTGACAGTCACATGTGGAATGGATCGCGTTGCGGTCGATTCAAAAGCTGCTTTTACTTGATATCAATGCGTGCAAGCCGTTTTAAGTAGGGTGTACTTTAAAAGAGCTTCTGAGCGGCCGCCGCCAGCCGAGCCATTCCAAATGCAGTCCTGAAGTTCAACAACTTACAGAGGTAATAGACGTTTCCATTATCTACCGCGATGGTCTGAGACTCTCCCGCACTTTTAACTCCATACGGGGACGGGCAAACTCTGAAACTTTTTCTTCATCATATTTTTGACTCAGGAACTCCAGAGTGGTCCCTATAGGAGTAACCTGAGGGGTCCTTTCATATTCCTCTCTAAGAGCCATTGTATCTCCCTCAATAGAAGCCACTAAAGCTGACAAAAGGAACTCTTCGAAGGTCTTCTGTTAGTATCCCCGATGAAAGACTGTGCTCGCTATACGACTTTTTAGTATGACTACAGTGGTCCCTATACGACTTTTTAGTACAGTCACTTCATCTTTCGGACACTGAACTCTATAGGGATCGCTTATTTGTCCGTCACAGGGGTTGCTTTTCCCCGACTCCTTTAGGGGCCACTCTTGAGTTCCTGAGAATAACAACTTTTTCCTCTTTCAACCATAATCTTGAAACTCGCAATGTGGCCGAAAACTTGATTCCTTGAAGTCCAATGGCTTTTACAATGTTGAGAGATGGCCGACGGAAGTTGTAGGTGTAGAAAACCTTTTTGAGGTTGATGAAAATCTGGTAATCGTTATCGCGCACCCTAAATTCAATATTACCATTTATCAGTATGGAGAGTTTACAAAAGCTTCAGCTTGAACTGCGCACTGCGGGTGATGGGAGACTTTTTGGGCTCTTCAAGGTATTTGAAATCGGGCTGAAAATTTAAAAATAATTCTATAAGGTGTTTGGAAAATCGGCTCAGTGTGGTCAGCTTTTATATCAGATTGATAAAAACCGTGAAAAGTTCATTTTCAGCTTTTCGCGAAATGGAAAGGTTTTTTTCTCTGCGCCCTCCTAGTCTCTCAGCGACCCTCTCACGTTCACGTGCTGTTTTCAAGTTTTTCTTACCTCGCCGGCGAGGGAACAGAGAGACGCAGACACTTGAAAAATGTCAAAGAGGCGCGAATGGACTATAAAAATGTAGAAAACTTCATTGATTACCGGTACGTATTATGTCGTATCAAAAAAGGTCGGGTTAAGCTATAGTCAATGTTTCCCGACTTGAAAGGCGAGGGAGGCGTGGCAAGGGGCGGGACGCGTAGCGTGTGCGTTCGCGGTTCTTGGCACGAGTTCAATTCAACCGCCAGCGAGCATTCAGAGAGCTCATTTATCGCTCTTTTTCACTTCTTTTTTTAATTATTTATTGATTATGTTCATGTGTGCATCAAAAAATAGTAGACAATACAAAAAAGAGCGGTTGCTGAGCTTTTTAAATAGTCGGCGGGGATTGAATTGAACTGGTGCCAAGAACCGCGAACGCACACGCTACGCGTCCCGCCCCTTGCCCCGCCTCCCACGCCTTTCAAGTCGGGAAACATTGACTATATGATTTTTTTTTTTCTAAACGCCGCATATACTTTGGAATTGTTTTTCTTTTCATTCTTTTAAATCTCACCGTAATTGTGTTGAAAGTCACTTGGGATGTGTCCAAGTTGGCCATGATACGAAGGGAAATATTTTTATTCATTTCCTGCGCGGTCGGAGATCCTTCATACAAGTCGAGAACGAAGCTGAATTTCACAATATTGGAAAACAAATTTCATTTTTACAACGGAGCTGTTTGAAATTTCATTGGCTGTATTGAAAAATCTCAACATTTTGGACAAGATCTGATATTTTGACCGTTCCGGGTTACCTATTTCATACTGCAGCTTTGCTAAAAAACGTTAAAGTCTGTGTGTCTGGACTAGAAGTTAAACGACATTCCGCTGTTCCGGTGAGCACGGTCGGGAAACGTCTGTTTTTGGGAAGTTCGGTCACGGTTTCAATATTTCTTTTATTTCAGTTAACATTGGACCTCTCTTGTCCCTGATGTTCTACGAGCGAAATTCACAACTTCTCTGCCTAAGCCACAGCTCCTGCCGCCGTTTAAACACAGTTAAATCAATGAAAGTCGATTGCACATGTATTCTTACATTGAAGATGCAATAAACACTTTCAAACAGTTTTTTTAAACATTGGAACAGTCTACCTATCAGATAACAAATTGAAACGTCTAAGATTCCCAAAAGGCAAGACGCTCCGCGACCGCACGCACCGGAATAGCGGATTGTCGTTCGGTGAAATTTCAGGTCATGGCACTCAGACTATATATTGCGAGCTTGTAAACTTTTTGTTCGAGGGGGATAAAAATTCAATGGACAAAGAAAAAAAATCAACTGTGTGGCCACTTCGGCGACTCTGGCGTACGCGCTGATGTAGATGACGTCGCCAACTTTCAAAGGATTTTCAAGCGGGAAAACCTGCTTGCTATCGGTCTTGTTATTCTGAAATAGGAGTATATTAACATGCGGGGAAGTTTTTGGAACTAATTTTTCCTTCTCTGTGTTGTCAATTCATTGATTGTAATTAACGAAGGCTTTTACAGAATACACATTAAAAAAAACTGGATGTTATATTTATACTATAACTCGTATTATCAACTTAGTTCTAACTATTTTGTAATAAAACACTCACATAAGGATAGCATCGAATGCCAAGAGCGCTGGCCAGCGGCAAAAGACCGATAAAGGCCAATAGGACTTTCATTTTGGTAAAACCACGGAGTAAAAAACTTTTGAGAGGATCTCTTTTATCCTGATTTTGCTATTAAACATCCCACTGAACAATAAATTTTTCCAAATTCCAAAAGACGATAAAAAGTGACGGGCCTTTTATGGATGTTACAGATGCCATCTTCAATTTTTATGATTTTTTTTTTGCCCAAAGGATCCAAAATCTGTTTTTTTTATCATTGTTATAAAAGCTTTCTTTTGAAACTTTGAAACTTTTATTCAGCCTTCAGAGAATGTGCTGAATCATGAGATATTTGAAGAGCTGTTGGCCGGTTCACAAAGCTGTCGTTGATCAAGAACGGCATTTTGAACATCTCGCCTTTCTTGTGATAGAAGTAGATAATTTTTGACCGGGCCGACGATCACTGCTTCTCATTTCAAGTTAAATTGCAAACCACTACTCCCTGACATCATCCCTATGACGTCATCTTGATTTGGCGATTCGCACATGCAGCGATATTATTTGATTTATTTTTCACGTTTTAAATTTATAAAATTAGATTCGACTCGAAAAAATTTACATATTATTTCAGGCTCTTCCCATTCTTCAATTTTTTCAAGTAAATAAAATAAATATATAGCCAAATATTTAGATTACTCGCATGCTGAGCAGGGAAACCCCGCCGTGCTAAAACGGGGTCTCAGCGGGTGCCCCCGTATTAAACCCGTATAAGCCCAGCTGATAGAACTTTTGGCAATTTTTAGCCCAACTGAGACCCCGCTTTAGCACGGCTGGGTTACCTATTTTTCTTACACCCGTTGTTCCCCCGTTTTAGCCCAACTGAGACTAAAATAACCTCAGAAACACGGGTTTAATACGGGTACACCCGTTGAGACACCTGATCAGCATGCGAGAAAGCTGACGGAAGTCGGATCAAATCTCAGACGAGATCAGAAATGAAGACCGACCACTCGGTATGTAGAAATGAAATAATAATAATTGATAGAAAACAGTTTTTTTTGGTACGTTGCGTTTTCTGTGTTCAGTATAAATGTTTTTGCCCCATATATAAGGAGAATTTTGTTGGGATAGGAGAAAAAAGTCCGCTTACTTTTCGCTTGGTTTGAATGTCGTACAAAAAACGACTTTTTCATTGCTGAAGGCTTTTTTCAGGTACAAAAGATCATTTGGATCAAAAGCCCTCACTGTTTGAAAAAATTTTGAGAAAATCTCGAATTTGTTTTATGACGGTCAGAAAAACAAAGTCAACTTCGATAGAAATGATAAAAAAATAAGATTTTTTTGATTCTTCTATCCAAACGCATAAAAATTGAAGATGGCACCTGTAACATCCATAAAAGGCCCCGTCACTTTTTATCGTCCTTCGGAATTTTGTAAAAATTTATTGTTCAGTGGGATGTTTAATGGGAAAATCAGGATAAAAAAGATCTTCTCGGAAAAATTTTACTGTGGTTTCACCAAAATGAAATTCCTCTTGGCCTTTATCGGCTTTTTGCCGATGACCACCGCCATCGGCATACTATGCAAACCTTGGGTAAGTAGTTTATCCATAAAAGTTTAGGAACATAATTCAGTATTAAAAATTATAAACAGAAAAGGGAGTTTGGTTTCTTTTGATAGGCATTTAATCCGAGGACTTTGACTCGACTTTTTATTGTTATAGTCTGTGTGCCACGGCTTGAAATTTCACCAAACGATATTCCGCTGTTCATCCCGACCAAGGTTCGCAAAGACGCGCAGCGGCGTAGCGGAATGTCGTTCGGTGAAATTTCGAGTCGTGGTACAAAGGCTATAACAACAGATTAAAATAGAGTGAGATCTGAAAATCTAACTTTCGAACCCAAAAGTTCCCGGTAAGCGAGAAATTTCGATTTTTGATTTTGAAAAATATCTCACTCAGAAGACAAGAATAACTCCGAATTTCAGGACAACAAAACCGACAGCAGACAAGTTTTCACGCTCGAAACGCCTTTGAAAACTGGGGATACCATTTTTCTCAATGCGACCGGCAGCAGTAGCAAATCGATTACACAGTTAATTTTTCACGGTTTTGGTCAGATCTTGTCAGAAAATCGATGAACAAGATTGAAAAAAATAATATTACCAACATCAACAAGTTTTCTCGATTCCAGCTTTATCTTCGATTTGTACGAGGGAACTCCATTAGCGACCGATGCGAGTAAAAACGCTTCTCTTCGAATTATCGCCAATTTGAACACCACCATGATGGCTTTCAATACAAATACGGTTTGTTTTGCAAGCTAAAGCTGCATTTTTGGAAGCCCAATTTATGGTCACACTGGATTTTTCATTGAACAAGTTCGAAATGTAAGACAAAGGGTTTCTTAGAAACTCCAGAAAACCCTTGAATGGTCTTCTCTAGGGATCACTTTACCAACCCTTGTAGATGCCACTGAAGGTTGTTAAAGTGGCTCTTCTAGGGGTATTAGTTTTGAGCCTCTACGGGGAATATGCTAGTCGTCCATATCCCTAGACCCTATAGAGACCACTCTGGATTTCTTTAGTGCAGACCAAAAAAAATTACTATGGAAGTCTTAAACGCGTTACTTTTTCGATACTTTATTCCCTAATATTTCAAGTCTGGTTTCTCTACGCTCTCCTTTCCTCCAGCGACTCTCTCATTTGTTCTTCTTTGGTGAGAGAAAAGAGAGCGCAGGGAAGTCAAACTGGCTCAATTAGTGATGGATGAGATAGAAATGGAAAATCGATACCTACACCTTTGAAAATAAACTCTGAACCTTCAGCCCGATGGAAAGTACAAGGAAGAGCCCAAGTTGTCTCCTGTCAAGCGCAACATATCATTCAAAATCAAGATTTTGTCTGTCTTCCACGATAATCTCGGACAAAATTGATTATTTCAGAGTGCGACAGCTTGATTATCAGATTTTCGTTAACGACAAGCTTTTCTGGACCTACAACTTCCGTCGACCATTACTCGGCACGGTTAAAGCCATCGGAATCGAAGGAATCAAGTTCACGAGCACCACAGAGAAGCAAGTCTAAGTCCGAAAAGCTTGAGAAACAGAACATTGAAAAAGAAAATCTTTCTGTCTCGAAAAGAAACTCTCGCTCTCAATATGAAGAAACGATTTCAGTTCCTGCCCGGCTTACTTTGGAAGGCGGAACTCGCCAGATTTCCAAACCATCGTGATTGAAGGCGGAAAAGTCAATATCCTCTGTAAGTTGTAGAGCTTTCTGGTTGCACTCCACTTGTAATGACTCGATTAGCAAAATACAGAGACGCGTTCGACCTGAAACGACTTGCGCGTTTTGAAATGAGGTGAAAGTAGCTTAGCCAGCCGCAACGCGACCGCCACGTTGCGACGACCTTGCTTGGAAACTTTTTAGTGGACACTTTAGGGATTTGCCGATTTATTGGCTACTATAGCAGTCAAATTAATGGTCGCTGAAGTGGTTAAAGTTCTTCAGAAGTCTGAGTCAACTTTGAAAAATTACTAACCGAATTTTCGCTTAAGATGCTTTAGAGAAAAAAGATGAAACACTATAATTTACAGCATCATTTCAAGGCTTGTCAATGGTAATCTGTTTTCAGATGGTCCTACTCTGCAAGACCTACCACCAGTTGACAATAGTAAGGGCGGCATCGAAATTTAAAATAAATCGAAATTCTTTGGAACAAACTCTCACCCTTTCTGTTAGAAATAATATTTTGTTACATAAAATCTCACCGTTATCTTGTGACGTCACCGGAACGGCAGAGATTCAGGCTCTGAGAGCGTGAAGAAGGGCATAGTAAAGGGTTACCGCTCTTTTCGTATTGGTTCTACTATTTTTCAACGCACAAATGAGAAAGATCAATAACGGATTACAAAAGAAATCGAAAGAACGATATAGATTTCACAAACAGCTTGTGAGGCTAAGGGGGGTCTGCGCTCTCCACGAGCCGGGCGCTATCTCGTGCATTATCGTGTCAGGACCCTTGTTTCGATGGCTCAAGCCAGCCGCGAATCAGCTTCAGACGATTCACGGCTAGCTTGGGACGCAAAAGGCGTGGCCTGTCTTCACTCTCCATCAACCAGGGCACTGTCTCTTCTCTTTTCGTGGCAGGACCCATGTTTCGATGGCTCAAGCCAGCCGTGAGGCAGCTATAAATAAGCTCTACAAATAGTCGCTGGCGGTTGAATAGAACTCGTGTCAAGAACCGCGAACGAACACGCTACGCGTCCCGTCCTCTTCTCCGCCTCCCTGACCTTCCGAGTCGGGAAAAATTGACTTTATTGCCAGAGGTCTCTGAGGCGAATCGAATTCTCTCAACATAAGCGCAATTTTTTTGCGCGAAAGCGGCGCTGAACTCGACACGCGACATTTTACGGAGAAAAAGTCGGCGTGGCGTCGTCGAAAAAACTCCGTGAATGATATTATTTCACTTGATTGGTTAAAATTTCAGGTCAAGAAGATTGTTTTTGACAAAGTTAGGGACGAAAAACCAAAAAATACTCACTTATTTTTGCTACTGTAACTGCTTCTCAGTTCTTAGTAACGATTTTTTTAATGTAAAAGGTATCCATCAGAAAAATGAGGGAAAGTTTTTGAGGGACGGTTTTTAGTGGTTTGAAAGATTTCTCTTCGATCTCCTCGTCTTTCGACGACTCTCTCATGTTGAGGTGCTATTTTCATTTTTCTCTGACATCGCCGATGAGAGAACAGAGAGACGCAAACACTTAAAAAGTCCAGTCGCTGCGGACGAACTGTAACTCAGCAGAAAGAGAACAGACTTTCATAAACATTTCATCAAACGCTTGTAATCAGTAATCAAATTTTTTTCTGGTTTCGGGATTATAATTTTTTTTTTCGAAATCAAGTTCTTTGCAACAAGCAGGAAGTTTGATCAGATATCTGCCATAAACAAAATCGGCAAACCAGGAAGAGAACAAAAAATCTGCATCTGAAAAAAAATTTAACAATTCATTTCGTAGCATGGCAACTTGTTTTAAATTTCGACTTTACGCGGTGTTCGTGTATGCGGCCGTGTTGGCACCCTGGAGAGTGGGACCATCTAAAAAAGATTATCAGAGAGTGTTGGAAAAGGGGAAAATGTTATAAAACAAAATTGGAAAAAAAGAAAAGCAAAACTCTGGTTCGATGATTTTTTTTTTCTAAGTAAACGTGAAAGAAAGATTGACTTTTTCAAATTCAGGGATTTTTTCCTGACAGTCACACGCGGAATAGATCGGGTTGCGGTCGACTCAAAAGTTACTTTTAGGTGGTAAAAATGCGCGTAAACCGTTTTAAGTCGGGTGTATCTTAAAAGAGCTTCTGAGCGGCCGCCGCCAGCCGAGCCATTCCAAATGCAATCATGAAGTTCAACAACTTACAGAGGTAATAGACGTTTCCATTATCTACCGTGATGGTCTGGGAATCTCGCGAACTTTTAACTCCATACGCAGGCAGGCATTCTCTGAAATTTCGTCTTCATTCCATTTCTGACTCAGGAGCCCCAGAGTGGTCATAGAGCAACCTCCGAGGTCTTTTAAGGTTCCTAGAGGGAACCCCTATAGAGGAAACTGAAGTTTGCGAAATAAATGAGCGTTCTGTGTAAAAAATATCAACATAAGATAAAGTGACCAATTTAGTCTAATTTTTCAATTTGAACTCAAAAAAAAAAGACCCTATAAGGGCCATTTTAGATTCGAGGCCTAAGGATCAGACTCTGATCACCCCAATACTACCCTTGTAGAGACCACTTTTTTGTCCGCTATAGGGGCTGTTTTTCCTCGGACCCCTTCAGGGACCACTTTGGAGTTCCGAGGAAAACAAATTTTTATCTTTTAACTATATTCTTAAAACTCGCGATCTGGTCGAAAACATGATCCCTTGAAGTCCAATGGCTTTTACGATGTTGAGAGATGGCCGACGGAAGTTGTAGGTATAGAAAACCTTTTTGAGGTTGATGAGAATCTGGTAATCGTTATCGCGCACCCTAAATCCAATATTACCATTTATCAGTATGGAGAGTTTACAAAAGCTTCAGCTTGAACTGAAAACTGCGGCTGATGGGAGACGTTTTGGGCTCTTCGAGGTAACTGAAAGCGGGCTGAAAATTTAAAAATGATTATGTGAGGCATTCGGAAAATATGTTTAGTGAGGTCAGCTTCTATATCAGATTGGCGAGAAAAACCCGTGAAAAGTTCATTTCCACTTTTTCCCGTCACGCAACGGCTTTTTTCTCTGCGCCCTCCTCGTCTCTCAGCGGCCCTCTCACATTGACGTGCTATTTTCGCGTTCCTCTGACCTCGGCCAGACACTCGAAAAGTGACAAGTAGCCACGAATGGACAAATGTAGAAATTTTCATTGATTAACGATACTCATCATTTCGTATCAAAAAAAGGTTTGATTTTTTTTTTCCTAATTGTGGCAAATAGTTTGGAATTTTTTTTTCTTTTTCTTGAATAAAATCTCACCGTAATTGTGTTGAAAGTAATTTCGGATGTGTCCAAGTTGGCCATGATACGAAGAGAAACATTTTTATTTATTGTTTGCGCGGTCGGAGATCCTTCATACAAGTCAAGGACAAAGCTGAAACTCATAGATTTCGAAAAGCAGTTTCACGAGGCTGTTTAAAAGTTCATTGGCTTTATCGGAAAATCATAGATTTTTGGACAAGATCTGAGCTTTTGACCGAATTGAGCGATTCCAAACTGAAAAGTCACCGGACTACGTGATTATGTGTCTCGTATTAAATTTATCCCAACGACATTCCGCTGTTCCGGTGCGAAACGGAATTCAAACATTTTATAAGTTACCCATTTCATTTTGGGAAGCCGAGCCTTCATTTTTTTTTTTCCCACTTCAGTATAGTCTGTGTGCCACGACTTGAAATTTCACGGAACGACATTCCGCTGTTCCGCTGCGTGCGTTCGCGAAGCGTCTTTCGAATCTAGGTCACGCTTTCAATTGATTGTTACTGCTGTGGGAGCACATGAAAGTAGAGTACCTTAATAAAAGAAAAGAGTTAAAAGCGCGTCCAAGGTCCGCGAACACACGCAGCGGAACGTGGCACACAAACTATACTATACGTGTTTCCATTGAAACAGTTTTCCATCAGCAAAAACCGATTGAAAACGCGGCAGCAGATCCGCGACCGCGCGCACCGGAAAAGCGGATTGTCGTTCGGTAAAATTTCAAGTCGTGGCACACCGCCTATCTATAATAGCCATTTCCTTGTGAAGCAAGGGAGGCGGAGAAGTGATTGGGGCGCGTACTCGGTTCTTGGCGCGAGTTCAATTTAACCGCCAGCGATTATTTGGAGAGATCGTTCCTTTCATTTATTTTATAATCCTTTATTGATTTCTTTGATTTGCGCGTAGAAATAGTAGAATGAACACAAAAGAGCGATGTCCGAGCTTTTTAAATAGTCGGTGGCGCTTGGATTGAGCTCGCGAGTGAATGGGCGAGTGAATGAATGAAAATTAACTGTGTGGCCCAGGGGATCATACTGGCGATCGCGCTGACGTAGATGACGTCGCCAACTTTTAAAGGATTTTCAAGCGGGAAAACCTGCGTGTCATTGATCCGGTCATTCTGGAATCGGAATACATTTACTGGCTTTGGATTGAGTGGTTATTTTTTCAAATTAACCTGTATGCCGTGTTCAAAGTCGTTCCGAAAAATTTAAAATAACAGTAAGAAAGTGCACAGGAAAACCAAACTTTGGAGTGTCGGAATCGACTTTGAACTTAAGGGAGTGAATTTGGATGCGGAAATGATGCGGGAAGTTTGAGGATAAAGCCAGGGATTTCGAGCTCATTTTACCTCCTTCCTGTTTTTAATCCATTACTTGTAATTAACGAAGGATTATTACAAAAAAAACAAAAAAAAAAATACGAAAGTTGAAATTATTGACTTGGTTCCTAATTGATTTTTGATAAAATACTTACCCAAGAAAAGCATCGCATGCCGATGGCGCTGGTCAAGGGTAAAAGGCCGATTAAGGCCAGCAGGAATTTCATTTTGGTGAAGTCACGGAGTAAAAAACTGTCGAAGTGATCTCTTTTATCCTGATTTTCCCATTAAACATCCCACTGAACAATAAATTTTTCGAAATTCCAAAAGACGATAAAAAATGACGGGCCCTTTAATGGATGTTACAGGTGCCATCTTCAATTTTTATGATTTTTCGCCTAAAGGATCCAAAATCTATTTTTCGGCAACAATATTAAGAGAGCGCAAAGCCCCGCCCCTTTCCGTGACAGAAATTTGGCCTTTTTTGGTAATTTGCGTTTGCTGTGTCTAGTACAAACGCAAGAACTTTGGTGGAAATGTACAGAAAAACTTCCGCTTACGCTTGGTTTGGATGAGTACCAAAGGAGTGGAGAATTTTGTCGTTTGGTCTGAAATCGTTGTTTTGGGCGGTCTTTTGGTCGCTTGCCTTCGACTCTTAAAGTTCGGTTGCAGATCTTCGTCTCTTCGGCCCTCAGTACGTGTCAGAAGTGCTGAATTGGATTGTTCTTATTTAAGTTCTTCAGGAGAGTGTGGAAGCCTTATGGTCGTCGGCTAGAATAAAAAAATCAACTGCTATAGAATTGATAAAAAGGAAGATTTTTGATTCTTCCATCCAGAAGCATAAAAATTGAAGATGGCACCTGTAACATCCATAAAAGGCCCCGTCACTTTTTATCGTCCTTTGGAATTTTGTGAAATTTATTGTTCAGTGGGATGTTTAATGGGAAAATCAGGATAAAAGAGATCCCCTCAAAAGTTTTTTACTCCGTGGTTTCACCGAAATGAAGTTCCTATTGGCCTTTATCGGCCTTTTGCCGCTGACCAGCGCCATCGGCATAATATGCAAACCTTGGGTAGGTGATTTATTAATTGAAATGTAATTCAATATTTAGTGAGAAGGCAAAATGATTATGAATTTCAGGACAACAAAACTGAGAGCAGACAAGTTTTCTCGCTCGAAACTCCTCTGAAAGGTGGAGATACCATTTTCCTCGATGCGACCGCCAGTGAGAGCAAATCGATTACACAGTTAATTTTTCACGGTTTTGGTCAGATCTCGTCAGAAAATCGCTTCACGAAAACGAAAAGAAAAATTGAACATTATCAACTTTTTTTTGAAACGTTCCTAATTCCAGCTTCATTTTCGATTTGTACGAGGGAACTCCGCTAGCGACCGATGCGAGTAAAAACGCTTCTCTTCGAATTATCGCCAATTTGAACACCAGCATGATGGCTTTCAATACGAATACGGTGAGATTTCTGTTTTTTTTTGGGGAGTTGAAAAAATGCATTTTCGGACGCTCTCTTTTTGATTTACACTAAATTTTGTATTGGAAAAATTCGAAATTCAAGAAAGGACACCTCAAACTTTACAGGCTTTCGGGTCAGTCCCTGAACCACTATAGGGACCACTCAAGCTTTACAGGCTTCAGGGTCAGTCCCTGAACCACTATAGAGACCACTCAAGCTTTACGGGCTTCCGGGTCAGTCCTTAGACCCCTATAGGGACCACTCAAGCTTTACAGGCTTCAGGGTCAAATCCTGGACCCTTAGAGGGACCACCCGGGTTTTTTTTTTGACTCCAATAGGCTGTACCTATCCCTTTGACAATAACTCTGAACATTCAGCCCGATGGAAAGTACAATGAAGAGCCCAAGTTGTCTACAATCAAACGCGGCGGACCAATCAAAATCAAGATTTTGTTTGTCTCCCATGATATACTCGGAAAAAAATTGATTCTTTCAGAGTGCGACAAATTGATTATCAAATTTTCGTCGACGACAAACTTTTCTGGACCTACAACTTCCGTCGGCCATTACTCAAAACGGTTAAAGCCATCGGAATCGAAGGAATCAAATTCACGAGCACCACAGAGAAGCAAGTCTAAGTCCGAAAAGCTTGAGAGACAGAACAGAAAGAAAATGTTTCTGTTTTCGATAAGACTCCTCCGCTCTTATTATGAAGAAACGATTTCAGTTCCTGCCCGGCTCACTCTACACGGGAGATCCTGGATGATTTCCAGACCATCGTGATTGAAGGTGGAAAAGTCAATATTCTCTGTGAGTTCTTTAGTTGTATTCGGAATGGCGGGACTCACGAAATATTTGCCTCGTCCGACTTGAAACGACTTGCGCGTTTTGAAACTAGGTACAAATAAGCTATTTGAAATAGCTTAGCCAGCCGCAACGCGACCGCGTCCTAGAAACTTTTTGGTGGCCTCTTTGGCAATTTGCCGTGTTAATGGTCACTAAAGAAATCAAGTTAGTGGACACTCAGTGACTAAAACTTGTAGGCCTCTTTAAAAGTCTAACCAGGGAATGGTCTCAGCTCACAGGGGGACTTCTGAACGTGACCATGTATGTAGTCTTTTACGCTGATTTCAAGTCCGGTCTCAAAAGTTGCCAATGAGGTCTGTGAAAAAAGTTATAAAGTCTCAAAAGTCGGAAACCTCACAGTCTCCGATAGAGCCCCTTTTGAGGGTATGTAGATCTTGTCTGTCTGGTCTGGAAAGCCGTTCAATTTTTTTCCAAAAAAGTATATCTGAGAAAAGAACAAGATCTAAATACCCTCCAAAATTGAGCTCGATCGGAGACTGAAATTTTCGACGTTTAAGGGTCCATAACTTTTTTCAACGACCTCGATGACAGCTTTTCAAACCGGATTTGTAATCAGGGATTCCAGAGTGGTCCCTGTTAAGGTAACCTTAAGAGTTTTTGAAAGTTACAATCTAGGACGCAATTCACCTCTCATAGGGGCTACTGAAGCTTGCAAAAGCGGCCCTTTTTGGAGTTTTAGTCAGTAGCCTCTATGGGAGACATGCCAGTGGTTTCTACACGACTTTTCATCACGTCACTTCGTCTTTCGGACCTGGAACCCCTATACTTTTTGGCCAATAAAGGAACTGTTTTCCCCTAATCCACATAGGGACCACTTTGGCATTCCTAAGAAAGTTCAATTTATTTAAAAATCCCAAACCAATCTTTCGAATATAAAACTTTTGAGAAAAAAGAAGGTATACATACTACACAGCATCTTTCCAAGTTTTGTCGAAGTTATCTGTTTTCAGATGGTCCTACCCTGCAGGACATTCCATTCGTTGACAATAGTGGAGGAGCACCTCACAACGGCAGAGTCGTCATCGAATTTTGAAACAAATCGAAGTGCTGTGAATAAACTTTCAATATTCCTGTTTAAAATATTGTTTCTTTGAACTCAAAAAACTGATCAAAAGTTGAGTATAGTCGATTCACGGCTAACTTTGGGCGTGGCGTGTCTTTGCTCTCCATAAACCGGGCACTATCTTTTTCATTATCGTGTCAGGACCCATTTCCGATGGCTTAAGCTAGCCGTGAATCAGCTATAACAAAAAAGGAACCCTCGGTTCAAAATAATTATAGCCATCATTCGAGCCGTCTGATCCAAATTTCATCATTCATAAAGCTCTAACCGAATAAATACTCAAAAAACTGAAAATAAAGCTTTCTGTTATTGGAGAAAACTGTGGAAAATTTATCTAGAATCATAGAAGTTCGGCGGAATATCTTCTTGTTGGCGAAAAATGCGACATATTGTCGTGTCAAGCTGTGAAAAAGGGACTATACCTCGAGACATACGGTAGAGATACCAATGAATTTTTTCTTTTTGCACACTATTTTGTTATTTCTTCGAGACTGGAAAAAAAGCTGTGTAGTCCGTTCACCGTGAATTTCTACTTTCAATGTCTGCGTCTCTCTGTTCTCTCGCCAGTAGGTCAGAGAAACCTGGAAACATCACGTTGAAATGAGAGGGTCGCCAAGAGACGAGGAGAGCGCAGAGAAGTCACGCCTCATCGGGAAATCTGTCAGGACCTGGACTCTGAGGATGAGAATACCATATTCTAGAGAATCTAAGAATTGTTTTCAAACCTCTGAAACGCATGAAATATCTTTCAATACTAGCCGATTGTCCATTTTTCTTTTTCAATTTCAAAAAAAAGAAAAAAAAACCTGAGTTCGACCTATATGCCTCTAAAGCCCAAGTGGTTCCCATAGGATGATTTATTTTCGTTAATAAATTGAAAGACTTGTACTCTGTTGATATTTTTCATTTAGGAAACGGTAATTCATGGAAATTTTCGCATGAAAACGTTCCTTCTCGTAGAGGACATAACTATCCACTAGCTCGTTCCCTATAGGGGTCCTTAACTGAAACCCCTCTGAAGGCCACATTTCCAAGCTTTAGGGGCTTCTATGGTTGCCCCTCTAGAAATCCCCCAGAGTTCCTAAGTATGTCATGATCAAAATAGTTTCCTTGAAATTTCAAATTTTCTCGGATTCCCTAAAATTTTGGTTTTCTTTTCTATTCTCCGACGCCTGCGGCATTACGGAAAAATTTCTTCAATATCAGGAGGCTTCAAAGTTGAGAAAGAAAAAAGATTTCTGGCTTTTCCATCCAAAAAACTATCAAATATGGAAGATGGTACTTGTAACAACAATAAAAGCACTTTTCATTTTATTGTCATCAATAAAATGATGAAATTTCGAAGCTTTTATTGCTCAGTGGGAAATTTAATGTGAAGATTGGGATAAAAAAGATATTTCTCAAAGTTTTCCATTTCGTGCCTTCCTAGGAATGAAATTCCTTCTGGCCTTTATTGGCCTTTTACCGTTGGCAAGCGCCATTGGTTTTCGAAGCCGTGCGTATGTGGGTATTTTATTATTTGGAAAGCTGAAAATAGGTTGAAAATCGAACGTTTTTTCACTGGATGTCACTTTCAGCTTCATTATTTCGTGAAAGTCCGTCGTTTTTGTTTCGAATTTTTTTTCCTACAGGAAGAAGGTTACCCTCTTGGTTTACCTTCCCTATAGGGGTCACTAAAACTTGAAGAAGAGGCTTCTATAGTGTACATTCTGGTCGATTATGTTATGAACTCTATGGGAAGAAGCGTTCCCATGCAAAAAGCTCAATTATAGTATTTTATTTGGGCTGTTTTCCCCTAACCCCTATAGGCGTTCCTAAGCAAGAATGAAAACGGAGATAAAACGCGACAGCCATTCTCAATTTCAGAACATCGCAGTCGAAGGCTTGCAAATATTCGGTTTCACTCAACCTCTGGAGGTTGGCGACATTATCATCGTCAATGGGATCGGCAGATCGAACCTCACCCAGAAATAGTCAATTTTTCACCGTTTCGAATCAAAAACCGACCTTTTCCAATGTGTCGCTCATTTTCCGTATTTCAGCCTCAATTTCCTATTGTTGGAAGGAGTGCCCCTTTCAAAATCGTTATACACTGCTTCCCTCAGTATCAGTTCCGACTTGGACACCGGCATAATTTCCCTCATGACATATACAGTGAGCGAAAAAAAACTTCTTCGTGCAAATTGAGACTTTTTTGGAAAAAAAAATCACAAGATTTTGGAAAATAATACCTATATAGTCTGTGTACCACGATTTGGATTTTCATCGAACGACATTCCGCTGTTCCGCTGCATCCCAGTAGTGTTAACCCCCCGGCAACCCCTCCCCGGGCCGTCCCTCTGTCCGACCCCCTGTCACGACCATCCCCTCAATACCAGTTTTTTTCGCTGGTAGTATAGGGGTAGTATATTTTCTAATAGTTTTTCGATAATCTAAAAAAAGGGAAACTATAAAAAAATTTTTTTCCATATAGATTTTCCATGATTGCTCTCATTTTCCCGTGTGTGTTTTTCGCTTCTTTCTAAAAAAAAAAGGTAGTGTAGGCCGTCCAGTATTACTAGCTACAGTAATACTTGTTACAGTACTACCAGCTACAGTAACGCCAGTTACAAAATTTCGATAACCACGTTTTCCTAATGGAACAGTCCATCTATCAGAACGACCCAGCGTAACAGCGGAATGTCGTTCGGTGGAATTTTAAGTCGTGGCACACAGAGTATAGAACAGCACATTGCAAACCAATCTTCTTCTTATAAAAGTTTTTTTCAGGACTCTCAGGCTTTCGACGAAGAACTCAGAAAAGGGCCTATAAAGCGCAACGGAGATTTCAAGCTCAAGATTCTGTTTTTTTTAACCAGGATCTACCAAAAAATGAAACTGATTAATTCAGAGTGCGCCCAATTGATTATCAGATCTTTTTCGACGACAAGCTTTTCTATACCTACAATTACCGCAGGCCATCTTCCCTTGTGAGATCTATCGGATTCGAAGGGATGAAGTTCTCGAAAACAGAGCAAGTTTCAATATTTTTCTTATTTTTGACAGCAGGAAAGAGAAAAAACTATAACTCGGTCCTCAGTTACGGAAACCGGACGCGCGCATGACGTTTCTGAGCATTCCAAGTAATCACTTAGGAGTGTTGAAGCCCTGAAAAGATCACTATAAATGTTCAGAAACGTGCGTATGTTAATATAACCGCGCAAGGCTTCACCGGGCCTTGACGTGTTATTTAGATGTGTGTAGAACCGACATTGCTCTTGGATCTTTATTAGAGCAACTCAGCACCGCCAGTTGGTATGCGTGCTGAGCGCAAGAGTGACAATACAAGTAGGCAGCGTGCCATTGGCACGCCTACATGATAGTACATATGGCAATGAGGTCAGGTCAACTAGCGTCCTGTCACATTAACAAGTTCCGAGAAATCGATTTTTTTTTTCCCATAGAGCAAATTTACTGCAAGATACACTTTTGGCGTACACTCGGACTTTTTTTCTATCTTTTTGGTTTCTCTTATTTTTTTTTCTCAAAAGTAGGAACGTTTTTACTTTTTTCAAGTATACCGTTTCGAATGCAATGAAGAGCTTTACATATAACCCTATTTTTTCCAACTTATATTCGGACCTCGGTAACAAAAACCGGACGTTTCTGAACGATTATAGAGATCACTTAAGAGTGCTGACGCCACTAAAATAGTCACTAGTAATGCTCCGACCCGTCCTATTCGCGTTACTAAGGTCCGAGTATGACTTCAAGACACAGATACATTTTTTAGTGTTTACTCGCAAAACTTTGGAGAGGAGTTAGCCGGAACACCGAAGATCATCACAGTGCAAAATGGAATGGTCTCCGTTTTTTGTGAGTTCAACGATTTTCGTCTCGACTGAAAAAAATCATGACGGCAAGCCTAACAGTCGCCAAGAACTTGAAGAGGAATAACCCGTTCAGTTTTCGAGTGTCTCTTTTTCCTCTCACTTGGTTAAATAATCATGAGAACGAGAAAGTGAGAAGTCTTTTTCGAATCGCCAAAACCATTTCGAAAAGAGCAAGATTTCGAGTCAGCCGCGACGCTTTGAGCCTTTCAACTGAAACCTTGAATGCGTTTTTCAAGACGTTAAAAAAATTTAAAAAAATAGCTTTTCCATTCTTTTTTTCATTCAATTCAAATAATCTTCAAAGTCAACTTTCCTAGAAACTTTTTTTATGCTTTTCTTCTGTTCAACATTTTTTTGATTTCCAAAAAAATTTATATTTCTAGGGTAATAAATTCTGAAAAAAAGCGGTGGCCTTTTTTTTCAGAGATACTCTTTGGGTACTTTTGAACTCATTCAAAAGTGCGTTCAATTTTTCCTTTTTCTAAAAATCCGCTTCCAGATGGCTCTGTCAAAATCCGGACTTTTGCGCCGTACACTCCAGTTGTCCGAGCACCTCCGTCTGGACCGGAACCTCCTCCGTTGATCTAATTTTAATAAAGTCGTTGAAAAGTTTTAATAAGTTTGGAGAGGATCAAATTGGCGGTTTGAAAATGAACGGCAAGAACCTTCTATTATTCAAAAAAAAACACGAAAATCCCGCGGCGCTAACATTATTTGACATAAATGTTCATCGAGTATAACTTCGCGTTTGAAAGAAAAATCGTTGAATTCCTGCGAAATATGTGTTCAAATTATCACCTAAAAATTGAAAAATTTTTTTCTAATAAGCTGCCCCAATGATCTGAACCATTCGTTTTTCCAAAAAGAGAAATCTACAGCGAGATATCGAAACAAACATGGATTGAAAATAGACTTTCAAGACTTACTTATAATGCGCATACAAAAGTGCTTTGGAAAAAAAATTATGGTTATAGTCAATCTTGGGTTGCCGAAATAAAACAAGCATCGCAGTTTGTTAATGAATTTTTTGTATGAAAATTGAATGTGCAACGCTTTTGGGTAACCTATACCAATATAATCCCATATGAAGTAACTGAAAAAAAAAAGTTTAACCCGCAAAAACGAATTCATCAGGAGTACTGTGATAGGCGGCAGTGTACCGTCGCGTGGAAACAACTGCATACTATGTAATAGGCCCACCGGATTTTGGCATTGAGGGAACGTTTGGTTTGCAATGATTCTTCTTTCACGGCCCTGTTCAGTTTTTTATGTTTTATAATTTTAATACGAAAGTTAAACTGTTACAAAAGCAATCATACCCTTTCAAGTTTCAGCGAAATTTTCAAATTTCAAAAGAATCTTTTTCAACTCCATAATTACTCAGTTGCAATCTAAGTGTCTTTGATTCAAAGGTAAAAAACGGGATTTGAGGTGAAAGCAATATCTTGTAGAGTTCTCATTGCGAATCGAAGGTTCTATTCATAAAATAACAGATATGACTATTTTGAACAAAAGCGCGATTTTCTTTTCCCCTCTTCAAACTTTGAAATACGCTTTGGATCGGTGTACGGACAACTGTTTACAGTAGCCTTGCACGCGATGTTGCGGACGGGTCATTAGACTCGCATTTTGTGAGAATTGAGCTGATATCTGCTCCATATTATTGGTTTCTTCTCTGAAAAAAATCATTTAAATAAACAAAAAAATACACACTGATGATGAAGAATACGCAAAATATCGGTATCCCAACCGAAAGCTGTATAAATTCATCATTTTCGACCAGAGTAGCATTTTTAAATCAAATTTTTGATGAATATGAAGTTCTCATGACAACGCGCCAGTGTTAGGAGGTGCAGGACAATTTTTTTTCTTCTGTATAAGCTTTCTGTACTTCGAATACCCTGGCCAAGCGCTTCTGATATCGGATCAGATTGAACTTTTTCTTTTTTTCTAGAATTAAACGTTACTTCATTTTTATTTTTCGTTTTAAGATTTTTAAGATTTTCATTTTTGTTCGAGCTGCAGAAGGCCTGGCTCATTGCATGGACCTTTAGGCCTAAAATATTCCGTCATTTTGAAGGCGCATGGTCAGAGACAGGTCGCGCATCGAAAGGAAGCTTCCCGAAAGAGTTCTGTAGCTCAGAGGGAATTAAATTTTTTACAAGCCTGCCCGGATCAGGCTATATTTGACCTCGGAACAGTTTTTAAAACCGAAAACTCGAACTTTTTCTCAACTTTGTATTTTTGATCTGCTTGCCATTTTTTCCAAACAGAAATCGAAGGGAGCGGCAAAGCTCAGCCGGCATAACTCATTTCTAACGTCCGCAATGTCGTAGGTTCGAGTCCCCCCGAGGTCGACTAAGTCTTTCATCCCTCCGGGGTAGATAAAATTGGGAGCTGCATGCAGCGAAAAGGCTCAATCTCTGCCATCGGCCTTTGGAAAGCCGGCACCGTACTTTTCCTACGACCTCTCTTGTACCTGATGTTCTACTAGCGAAATTCACAACTTCTCTGCCTAAGCCACAGCTCCTGCCGCCGTTTAAACAGAGTCAAATCAATGAAAGTCGATTGCACATGTATTCTTACATTGAAGATGCAATAAACAGTTTTTTTTTAAAACAAAACAGAAATCGAAAAAGTTCATTCCAAAGTTTCAAATTTCGATGACGACCGTGCTGAGAGCCACTGGACCGATCTTCTTCTTTCCCGCTGGCGTCAGGTCGGAATCCAAGATAGTTGTGGCATCTGAAGGCGATTTTTGAATATGCAAAAATGAGTGACATTTTAAAAGCTCAGATTTTTGAGCTGAGACTATTCTGCCTTGAAAAAAAAAACATTTTCAATGCTTTTCGATACACGATCAATTGCTCCCAATTCGCTTTGTGTTTAGCATTTTCTATCGCGCAAGTTGTTAAAAGTCGGGCGCGCTCTAGAAAGACCCTCAAGCCATTCCAAAGATCGTTCAACTCACAATTGATCTTGACGACTCCGTTTTCGATCAAGACGATTTTCGAGTCAGATTTACTCGGCACTCCACGATCAGGCGAGCAAGCACTGAAATTTCTTCTTCAAGTGTACCCTGTAATTTTCTCGGAGCTCACACTGTGTTTCTGAACTTGATTCCGGAGATTCCGATGGCTTTGACGGTCTCGAAGCTGGGCTTACGGTAGTTGTAGGTCCAGATGAGCTTGTCGTTGACGTAAATCAAATAGTCGTTCTCGCGGAGCCTTGAATCCATGATTTTTCTTTTTTTGAAAAGAGAAAGACGATGAATACTTGATATCGAGCTTGAAGTCGACGCCGTTCTTGATGACAGTCTGCTTGGGCTCTTCAGGGTACCAATGTCCAGGTTTCTTAATTATTCAGGACATATTTCTCGAATTTTCTATACTACGGTTGCACGGGAAAGCTAGCTCTTCAGCTTTTCAACGCCTTAGAGCACACGTCGTTTTCAGATTGGATGACCTTCTCGATTCACTAACTGTTGGCATTTTTTGAGAATAAACGACCGTACGACGAAATGCTAGCTCCTACGCTTCTCGATGACTTGGCACGCAAGTCGTTTTAGGTTGGATGAGCCTCAAAGCGAACCCATTTCACTGGAACTCTTACCGGCAAGGTACTGAAGATGATGTTGCCGTTCTCCAAGTAGACTTTGACATGAAGAGAAATGAGGTTGTTCGGGTCGACCTTCTTCGGGGATCCTTCGAAAAAGTTGAAAACGAAGCTGAAATTTTAAGTTTCGAAATGAACTGATATTGAGCAATATTACTATTCGCCCTTGGCCTTAGCGGTTCCGGTGATGGTGAAGCTGTCGCGAACATTCAGTGATCCATTAAGAGGGATGATTTGCATGCCTTCATTCTTGCTATCCTGAAACTTGAATGATTGCAATTTATTCCAGATTTTTTGAAGGGATTCAAATTGCTGAAATGCTACTTTTGTTCTTTTATTCCAAATAAACCATATCAAAGTCAACGAATTTTCACAAATATGCATCAAAAAAACTAGAAGTCTCCTATTTTCAAAATATTCAGTTTTTCAGATGAATTTCAAGTGATAGGCAAAGAAAAACCGACCAAAGCGATGCATCGGTAAGCGAAAGCGTCGGCCAACGGCAAAAGACCGATAAGCACCAGAAGAAACTTCATCCTGCCGGAGCCGGAAAGTGTGAAAATCGCCTAGAAGGTTATCTTTTATTCCGATTTTCCCATTAAAAATTACACTTTGACATTAAATTTTCCAGATTTCCCTCATTTTATTCCGGACGATTAAAAAATGATGGCGCCTTTTATTGATGTTGCCAAAAACTTTTCCATTTTTAGTGTCTTTCAAGAACTTTGGACTTTTTTTGGCTCATAGAAAAGATGAGGAAGTTTCCAAAAAATATTTGAAATTTTTTCATCTCTCAGAATCGGACGTTTTGAACTAGAAAACAATACCCAGGACGCGAATCGTTTTGGCCTTGAATCTATATTTCAAATGTCGGAGCTTAATTTTTCACCGAAAGGCAAAATCAGGAGAAAGAGCTGGGATTTCTGTAAATCAAAAATGATTCGTGTTTGATCCGGTTCACCAAAAAATTATGTGAAATTTGATGTCCAAAAAAAGCGAATTTCCCATCTCACTCCTGAGCTAAATGGATTTTGAAAAAGTCAACTCGAATTTTAGAATCAGTTAGAAAAAGAAAAAAGAAGAAGAAAATCGTCACAGTTATTTCGGATCCTTCGAATTTTTGGAAACTTGTTGTAAGGAATTCCTTAGCTGTTTCTTACAAGGAAAATCCTTTTACCTTTCGGTTGGGAATTTTCCGAGTATTGGCAAGAACATTTTTTTGATGTACCAAATTTTCTGCAAAGTTCTACCTATACAACTTCTTTTTTGTGAAACGAGTTCTCGAAGTCGAAAAATATATCAATGGCTTTTGTCGGTTTTCTTCAACTTTATGACCTGTTTTCTTGAGAAACGGGAAGTTGTTCAAGATTTCGACTTTCATAAAATTTATCTGGTTCATCAAGAAGAGAACAAGAAAAGAAGAAAAGCAAAATTATCTTCTTCATTGGAATTATGAACTTTCCCAAGCTCGTAGGTCTTATTCATGAGCCCACCAAAATTTTCCACCCGCATTTTTTCGGTTCGATAATCTAGTGGTAACTAAATTTAAGAGCGGGAAACCGCGAAAAAGCTCAAAATGTTAACCGAACTTCAGTTTCAGTCAAAATATTTTCTTAAGAGTTGAAGTCTCTTTCTCACAATAAAACTGAAAGGCACGTAACTCTTAAAAATAATTTATTTCATTCAAACGCCGAACCATAGCTTCCAATTGACCTCATCCGTCCATTTTTATTTTCATTAAGCATAAGCAGAAGCCTTTTCTCCTGTGTGCTCACCAATTCCATGAAATTCAATGAACTATGATCCTGGTCATTTTTTGAAGCATTTGATTGATTATCACGAGAAAAATTTCCCAAAAAGCTTGACAAGCCCAAAAAAATAATATATTTATTACAACCGATGTGAATCCATTTCAATATTCGATGACAATGCTTTTCTTCGTAGAAGGTCCAACTTTCTTTTTGCCTTCGTGCGCCAGGTCGTCGTTCTGGAGAACGTGGCCGTCTTAATTTGGGATAATCGAGTTAACACAATTCAAGGAAATATAGTTTAAAATGAGAATCAAGAAAAGAAAAACTCACAGATAGTTTTGAATATGCCATTTCGGATCACGACGATCTGCGAATCTTCTTCCTTCGGCTCTCCAGTTTCCGCTGGGCATTCTCTGAGTTTAATAACTTTTATTACTGTAGTTTACTGTATGCTTCTCATTTTTAACAGTTTTGCTTTTGATTCCAAATCAAACATGAACAGTTTTGTAAGGCCGCTATCACCTTCTTCCAGGTCTTAAAAGTTGATTTTGTTTCAAAGGTGAATCGGGAGGACGATGCAAGTGAGAACCGGGTAGGTACTTATTACTTATTAGCTACTTTCATGGTACCGGAAAGCATACGCTCGTCAAAGATCTTACCCGGAAGCATCGCGATACCTCTCCGGAAGTATCTGGGTACCATAAAGATAGTTTAACATTTAACATTTAACATTTATTCAGTCCTCAGAGTAATCTTTTATCTGCTGAATCATGGAATATTTGAAGAGATGTTTGTTGGTTCGCGCAACTGTCGCCCATCTTTCACCAAGAACTGCTCGTAGGTCATCTCGCCAACGGGGTTTGGGTCGTCCAACTCCACGCGTTTTTGCCCATGGTCGCCATTCCACGATTTTCTTCGCCCATGTGTCTTCTCCCGTAGCGATCTTCTTTGCGAAAAGCCATTTTCTCTTCACAGCTTCCGACCGAACTTCGCGTAGCTTCAACTTTTCATAGAGCCAGGAGTTTCTTCTTCTGTCGAGCAATGTTACTCCGAGCATCCATCGCATCATTTTCCGCTGTGCCGTTGCCAGAAGGTTCCTTTCTTCCTTCTTCAGAGTCCAAGTTTCCGAACCATAGAGAAAAGCTGGTTCAATACACATGTTGTATATCTCGGCTTTGTGTATATTGGAAACGTTTCTTCGTGTTAAAGGCATAGGGGCAGTAAAAAATGGGGTTTCAGGTGAAAGCAGTATCTTGTATAGTTTTTCTTTGCGAATCCAACGGTGTACTCAAAAAAATTACAGATGTGACAACTCTAGAAGAAAAACGCGATTTCACTTTCCCGCCTTTTATTTTGAAAAAAGCTTTGGATCGGTGCTCAGACAACTGATTACAGTAGCTGTGCACGCGATGTTGCGGACGTCTCATTAGGCTCGCATTTTGTGAGAAATAACCGGCTATCTGCTTCAAATTGAGGGTTTCTTTTTCTGAAAAAAATCGATTAGAAAAACAGAAAAAAACATATTGATAATAAAGAAAAACACAAATAATCGCTATCCCAATCGAAACCTGTGTAAAAACCATCATTTTTTTCACCGAAGAAGCATTTTTGCAATCAAAGTTTGCAAATTATACATGAATATAAAGATTTTGTGACAAAAAGAACTTTGGTGACAACAGAAAAAATTAATGCCGTGTTCAAAGTAATTTCCGCGAAATGCAAAATACCCGTTAGAGAAAGGAAAAGATCACTAAATTTTGGAGAGTCAGAGATCATTTTGCATTTCGCGGAAATTACTTTGAACACGGCATAAAAATTGAAAGCAACGAAGAAAAAAGCGAAATTCCGAAAAATGGCGAAGCCTGTTGTCCATAGAGCAACTTTACTGCAAAGCGCCCTTTTCGCGGGAACTCAAGCTTTCCTTTCTCCGATTTTGAATTATTTTTTCTTCAAAACTAGGAAGTTCGGTACGTTCCCAAGTTTACCGTTCGATTCGCAATGAAAAGCTCTACAAAGTACTGCTTTGAACTGAAACACCGTTTTTTTACTGCCCCTATGCCTTTAAGTACGTTTTGAACTTGTGGAAGACGCTCCATGCAGAACGAATTCGGAGTTGGATTTCGGTTTTCGAGCAATCAGCGAAGTGGAGATGGGTACCGAGGTAGATGAACCCATCCGTGTAGCCGATAAAGATAGTACCCGGTCGCATACAAACGGCCACCGATTACCACACTCTGATTGACTTTAACTTGCTACCCGATATAGTCTGTGTGCCACGACTTGCAATTTCACGGAACGACATTCCGCTGTTCCGCTTCGTGCGTTTGCGAAGCGTCTTTCGAATCTAGGTAACACTACCAATTGATTGTTTCTGCTGTGGGAACACATGAGAGTAGAGTACCTTGATAAATGAAAAAAAAATTAAAAGCGCGAGCAAAGTTCGCAAAGGCGCGCAGCGGCACAGCGGAATGTCGTTCGGCGAATTTCCAAGTCGTGGTACACAGCCTATACCCGCTTGTATCGATCTCCCGATTCACCAGTGTATTTATTTTCCAAAATTTCTGTAAGTAAGCTCCCCTTCCAGACACATTTTTTCACTTGCCCACGTATGCTTCGAAACTAACATCGGGTTATTGAACTCGATATTTGCGATGCCAATCGCTTTCACTGAATCGAAGCTCGGCCAACGATAATTGTAGGTCCAGACGAGATTTTCGTTGATATAGATTTCGTAAGCCGTTTCGAGAACTCTGGATTTGTCGAACTTTTAGTAGAGAGAGTCTTTTTTTTTATAACCGAATCTTGATCTTGAACTCGGATCCGTTTTTCAAATCGGTTTTTCGGCCCTCCTCCCGCCACCATCCTCTTTTCTGAAATATCGGCTTTTCACAATTTTGACTGCCTGTTTGAGACCAAATTTTTGCAGACCGCTTAAAATTGCTCTTAAGACAAAACGTATTTTTACTATCAAAAAAGTTTGGTGAAAAACGACTATTCAACCTTCAGAAACCTCTGACTTTCTGCGCCTTCTTTTTTCTCCCTTCATTATTTAACTTTGTAGGGAATTAATTTCATCTAGAGCTCATCTTTATGAACGCTTTTGGATCCTTTTTTCGGACTTTGCGAGGCAAAAGAGAGCGCAGACACTTCAGACTGTCTCAAGGCATTCTGACATGGGAGGTCATTTTAGCGTAGGGTTCAGAATTTTTTTTTAATTTGCTCAAAAAATCTTCGATGGACTGGTAATCGATCCCACATAGTCGCTATCTGCGCAAACTTTTTGTTTTGGAGATATGATTTTTCAAAGTTTTTATTCTTAACCATGTGACGCCGCTTGGAAGGAATCTGGAAAAAAAAAAAGTTTGCGCAGATAGCGACTATGTGTGATCGATCACCAGTCCATCAAAGATTGTTTGAGCAAATTTATAAAAAATTCTGAATCCTACGCTAAAACGACCTCCATGTGAAGGCGCTCTGAAAAATTAGGTCTTGACTCACTTCAAATGTGGTGAAGGCGACGATTCCTAATTTCAAGTAAGCTTTGATATAAAGTGAGACGTATACGATCGGATTACTTTTAGTTGGAAGTTTTTCGAGAAGACTGACAACAGCGCTGAAAAGTAGCAAATTTGAAGTTATGAAGCGATTCTCTCAGTTTATTTTTTTTTAGTCCCAAAAGAAAAAAGGGGTTTCAGATAAATGAGCTCTTCCGTGCGTGTCGAACGGTATTCTTAAAAATGCACGGAAGCTCATAGAAAAAAAAAATAAAAAGTAAGAGAGAGAGAAATCGAACGGTATTCTTGGAAATTTACAGAAGTACCTTTTCGTTATTTATGGCGTGTTCATCGGAGAAACAGAACATGCTTCAAAACGAAAAATCGTGTAAATCGGCGCGCCAAAGTTGCTCCAAAACAGTACTAATTCTTGTTTTGAAGTAATTTTTTGCGTTTCGAAGCCATTTTCGTTTTGTCCGATGAACACACCATTAAAATCAGAGAGAAAAACGATGATTTTCCGCCAAAAGAGCGTTTTTCAGTGAAGTTGCTCTATGGACAACACGCTTCCCCATTTTTTAATTTTACGCTTTTTTTTTAATTCACAATGTTTCTATTGTCACCAGAGTTGTTTCCGTCACGAAAACTCTAATTCCACGTTTATTTTGAAGATTTTGATGGCAAGATGCTTCTACGGTGAAAAATGATGATTTTATACAATTTTCGGTTGGGATAATGACATTACGCGTTTTCTTATTATCGACGTGTGTTTTTTTTTTTGCCGTAATGAATTTTCAGATAAGAACCCCTTAATTTGAAGTATTTACGCACGAAATGCGACGTCCGCAACTCCTCGTGCACGTCTACTGTAAATAGTTTTCCGAAACCCGATTCAAAGCATGTTTCAGAAATAAATGACGGGAATATAAAAATGCGTTTTCCTTCAAAAATAGTCATTTCTGTGATTTTTTGAGTACACCGTTCGATTCGTAATTAGAAGCTCTACAAAGTATTGCTTTCATCTGAAACCCCGTTTCTACTGGCTCTATGCTTTTAAAGACACGGTGAAGATAATAGGTGGAAAAAAGAACTTGCGTTTTTGCGGTAGACTTGGCGATTCCATTGAGAAGAATGACGTCGCCAACTTTTAGTGGTCTACCTAGAGGCACAAAATGCGCTCCTTGGACAACACTCGCGTTTTTCTGATAGTTCAGATGATTTTGTCATTAATTTATTGATTGAAAGTTTTTTTTTCGAGTCATCATGGCTTGAACGTCTTAAAACCGCGTATAACAGCTCAAAGCTGCATTCAAAAAATTTTGAGAGTTTGAAAAACGAAGGTATAGTCTGTATGCAACGACTTGAAATTTCACCGAACGACATTCCGCGGCGTGCGTTGCGTGCGTTCGCGAAGCGTGTTTCGAATCAAGGTCACGCTTTCAAATGATTGTTATTGCTTTGGTGGGCAGGAAAGTAGAGTACCTTAATTAAAAGACGACCAAGGTTCGCAAAGGCGCGCAGCGGCACAGCGGAATGTCGTTCGGTGAAATTCCAAGTCGTGGTACACAGGCTATAACAGTTCTTGTTCTAAGAATCAATTCTAACTTTTGAAATCTGATATGTTTTGAAAATGTTTTGAAAAAAAACACTTGATGGACATTTCACCGAACTTACGATAGGAAATAAGGTATCTAAGTTTATTTATAAATAACTTGGCTCAAATCTCGAGCAATTTTCACGAAGTATGCATTTTTCTAGAAACCTAAGTACATTTTAACACGTTAAATAATAAAATGCTCACCACAGAAATACATCGAGTGCCGATGGCGCTAGCAAGTGGCAAAAGGCCAAAAAAGGCCAGAAGGATATTTATTTTCATGGGATCACAAAGTGAAAATTTTTAAAAACGAATCTTTTTATCACAAGTGCCGCATTAAACATTGCATTGAACAATAAATGTTTCGAAAAATCTCATTTTTTTAAAACAATAAAAGAAGATGGCGATTTTTATGGATATTTTGGACGTCCTTGTCTCTTTGGAATGCTGTCTTTACATTGGAAATATGAGTTTTTGAAAGCGTGCAGTTTGGATATTTTAGAAAATTAATCAAAAAAAAGTTATCATTAATAACATTTGATATGAAAAAGAGTCCTCAAATAGGATCAACAATGTTCAAACGTATGATACTGTGTGGAAAAACGGTGCTGCTGTTAGATTCACTATTTTTAAAAGTGCAAAGCTTTGGGAAGAATTGGCGATACGGTTTGTTGGACAAAATTGTGAAAGTCGAAGAAACGCCGCCGTGAATAGAGATAACTATGACCAGAAGTGGAGCCATCGCTGCAAAATTTGAATTAAATCGTTGAGTTCAGTTCAAATGAAAGGATACCTTGCATTGGAATTTTTTCGCTAAAAACTAGAGCCCCAGCAGCGATCGGAACGCACAGGAACAACATTGGGATAATCACCTGGAACATTTTTTTTTTCGATTTTTGAAGACTTGGTAAGGCTAACTAAGGCTGACAAGGTTTTTATTGCGATTTTCCGCCGAAAATCAGTATTTTTAGCCCCTATGAGTTTTCGAGAGAGTCCCCATTCCATTCAAGGTCTCCCAGCTGACTTTTGGGAGAGTATAAAGTTGGATTGTAGCCTGATAAAATTACGTCAGAAAATTTTGGTTTCCAGGTCGGTCACTTTAGCGTTAAACTGTTTGTTGTGAAAGGGAGCTTTTGAGTAGATTTTTAAAAATTCAAAGAATATTTTTTGAACTGAGATTTGATTTTCATTATTTTTCAACTTCTCGAAAAAGCCTACAGCCCCTTTCTTTCTATTCAAAATATCAACCTTAACCTAACTATCAAACCCACCTGAGCAGACAGATTATAGAAATAGAACTTCTGAAGCTGACGAGATCTGATGGACAAATGGCTGGTATGCTGGTTTAGAATATAGATTCCATTTGAACAAAAAAATCCGTATTGGAAAGCTAACACAAAGCTTTGACAGACGGCGAACCAGCGCATTTTTGAAGATAAATCCAAGACGAAAGCACAGGAAGTGAAAATTCGACTGGGAATACATTGAAGCATCTGTAAACGGTGAAATTCATTGTCCTGAATACGAAGGATATATATACTTCGACGACTTCAAGCTTGGCCGCATCTTGATCGGCAGGAGCCTGGGATATGATGAATAAAACACCGAAAATGAGGAAAATTGCGTTTGTTAGTAGGTAAAGAACACGGTAGCGTGTTTTCAAACGTAAAATACTATTCATCGGTAGGACAATGTGATGGCGGTGCTCGAAAAGGGCCAGAACGGATAATTGAACACCTGGAGTTACGAAATCGTATGGTTATTTTAATGGGTGCTTACTCATAAGCGATATGGCTCCAATAGCAGTTTGGATATTTATTGGCACTCCCATTGATTGAAATAAACCGATGGAACATCCTGCCATCGCGGGAAGGTAAAATAACGGTGTCAACATGATTGGATACAATATATCCATTATCAGGACACTCAAATCGATTTTTTTAGAAAGAAGATGTATAAAAAAGCTCTCACCACGCTTGGTAGTTCAATAAAAGCCATTTATAGTGCTTCATTGTCGCCGGAGATAGAAATAAAATACAGCAGAACGCCGCGGAATTGAGCAGTAGAATGTTTGGAAAAACAAAGTTTTCAACAAGCCTCAAGTTTTTCTCATTCAAAATATCGGCCTCTTTCTCACAAGAAGAATGATTCAGAGCAGAAGCTGAGAGGTCCATTTTTTAGTAAAAAGCACGATGAAACTGACTTTTCAAATAAAAAAGGTGAATAAGAAGCTTCCTTAAATTCCCCGCCCCCTAAGAAGCACAGGAGAAATTTAATCAATTTTTTTTTCATTTTGAAGACGGGTCCTGCGAAGCGGAATAAGTTTTGAAAACAGAAATGCGTGGGATTGTTATCTCTTATTTTCTACTTGAAAAATCAAATTTATTAGTCACCACTATTTAGTATGCAGTAAATGTTGAATGAGACACCTAACTTCACTTCTATAGCTGTGAAAAACAAAAATATATGGTAAAACTTAATTGGTTTCTACCAAAAAAATCTGTTCCTGGTAACCAATGATGGTGTTAATTTTAACAATTTTGGCCATAAATATTGAGATTTCACTATTTTGTTACTGCTTCACAATGGAAATTTTCATCAAGCAGCTCTATAAAATTTTCACATGTAAGAATTCCGTTGAAACAACTCTGCTTCTTTTGGAAACTAGGGGTTTCAAAATAAAAGTTATAGATAAGATTTCTCGTTATGGTTTGATGGCCAACAGTGAGTAGATTGAAAAATTGTCCATTATGACTAGTAGGAACTATGACCAGAAATGAAGAAGTTGCATTAAAAAAGGCGACTCAGACTAATTCTGAAAGGGTGTTATGAAGGTAACCAGCAGGAGGTTGGGGGGAAGTTGGAAGCTAGAACTTCTTGAGGAGGCCTTTGGAAGGCGTTCGGAAAATAGTTGAAAGGTCTTCGGAAGCTAAAAATGAGATGTGGCTGCCAGAAGCCTTCCAGAAGTCTGCTGGAACGCTTCTGGAAGGCTTCCGGCAGACTTTTCTTCTAAGTAGAAGGTGTTGGGAAGCTATGTGGAGAGCATTTGTCCACTTGCTGCAACGGCCTTACAGAAAACCAAAAGCAGAAACTTCCTAACTTTCTCCTGAGGAGCTTGAATTGGAAATATTCTCGGTGCGACCAAGATGTATGGAAGAATTTTTTTTTACCAATTTTTTCCCATCTGAAACTGAAAACGAGCGCAGTGAGACTTTTTGACTATAGTTCATAGGGCCGAAGAAAGATCTCTGAAGGATCACGAAGCTTTTTCATAGTATTTTGATGGATATAAGAGCAAACAGTTTTTTGTTAAGTTTTTATTTTGAAAATTAAAATTTATTCAAACTGGCGAGCTATCAGTAGTAGCAGTCGTCATCTGAAAAATGCATATCTTATTTTTTTCAAGACTCTGAAAGTCTCACAAAGGTACTCGACAACTCCGTCCGCAAAAATCGTGGTCATCCTCTGATTAGGTTTGGTTTCGGTATATTCGTCTTCTGGGCAGTAGCTGAAAAATTATTGGATGTTTGATTATCGCACACCGGATCAAGTTCCTTGATGAAATAAAAATGAGAGAATCTGGGAAACAAAAAGTTTGATATAGAATCTGTTTTGAGCCTTCAATTTCAAAATTAGCTTTTTTCCCGTTTTGAAAGTTGTTGAGAACTTTGCTTTTTTTCCCAAAAGAAAGTCCACGAACAGCTTATAAACTCACAAAGGTTGTGCAGTTCCGAGGTCCATGTAGTTCAACTCCACCGATCGAATCACCGAGTAGTCGGGGTAATACTTGTTCGGATATTTAGTGATGAAAAGGCCGTCCTTGGAAATTGCATACCCATCCGCTTGTACCCTGATTCCATAAGAATCAATACCAAATTTGACTAAACATCTTACTCGATTTTCACGATGAACGGATCTCTCGTAAATATCTGCGGCAGACTCATCCCATCTGGTATCCAGTCGTTCTTTGAGAAAAACGTGTTTTGTTGTCAGAAATTTTTAAAACCGTGAAGGTACTCAGAACAAGTTGATTGCGATCCCAACGGACTACGAAGTGCAAAGGGATGCCTGTAGGGAAGGCGAATAGGTTGATAGAGAGCCTAGAATTCAGTTTAAAGTTACTGGAAATTTTCCGGTTCTGACTCGGCATCAAGCTGGTATTTTTTTATTTTCAGTTACAACTATAAAGATGCCCACAATGAATTGTGATCAATTCAGACTTTTCTGGGCTTCCTCGCACAAGAAGCCGTTATGCCTTGAGCCATTTTCGGCGCGACCATACGCAATAATTTTTTAGCTAGTCGTGATTGAGACCAAAAATTGAGAAGGTAATGAACCATGGGACGTTGGGTTGAGATTTAGCCTGCACGATAATCTGGTCGCCGACTTGAAGTGCTCTACCAAGCGGGTATACATTCTTATCCGACGGCTGGAAAATAGTTGAAGTTATTATTTTCCATACCTTCAGTTATCTAATATTGTTTTGGTTTTTAGATTTTCTTTTTAGCATTTTGAGAAAAAAAAACGAACCAATCGCGAACATCGGTATTCTCCACAAAAAATTGGAAAAGTGAAAGAAAAAAAGAAGAAGAGCCAGTAGAAGATTCATCGCTTTGTGATGTGACAATAATTCTTCATTTTTTTAAGATCTCCTCCATTTTATGACATATCGTAAAAAAATTTCTTTTTTTAATGTTCGTGTCATCTCTTTTTCTTTTTCCAGAAAGTAGCGATTTACCAGGTGAACCAATGGCAACAACATAAAAATTTTATTTTCAACGCTCGAGTTTGCTGCAATTTACAGTAAATCAGTAGTAGCAGTCATCATCTGAAAATATTAACGAACTTTTTTTCGATTCCTCGAAAAACTCACAAAGGTACTCGACAACGCCATCCGCATAGATCGAAGTCATCCTCTCGTTGGGTTTGTAGTTGGATTGCTCTTCTACTCCGCAGAAACTAAAGTTGAGATGATTAGCGCAGAGGATGTGTGTTTGGTTATCGTTCAAAGAGTCGCAGGATCAATCTCCAACAGCTTTTTGAGTCAAAATGGGAAGTATTTGATTCGTAAAAATTATGACTATAAACTAACTAAGGATACGCCATCCCTATGTCCAAGCCCTCGAAACCAATCGATTGAACCGAAGAAAAATCGAAAGTCCTCCTTGGATATTTAGTGAGATAGGCACCGTCTTTGTAAATCACATAACCATCCGCTTGTACTCTGAATTCAAAAAAAAAGTCCATTCCAAGTGCGGCCACGTTTACTCGAATTTCAAAACAACAGGGCCTCTCGTAAACGTTTGCGGCAGACAGATCTCGTGTTGCCAGGCGTTCTGGATAATCAATTGAAATTTCTTAGTAGAGGCTTTTTTGAAACCCCCGCAACCGTGAAGGTATTCAGAACAACTCGATTACGATCCCAACGAACGACAAAGTGCAAAGCGATGCCAACAGGGCCCGCGAATAAGTTTACCGAGAACCTGAATTTTGAACTAGTTTTTTGGTTTCTCCATCCTAGGTGCGAGCAAGATAGTGTGTCATGTCTTTTATTTAGTAGCGCTAGACTTCGTAATTGAGAAAAGAGTAGGCTAACCATGGCACGCCGGGATTCGGAGTTCCATGAACCAGAATTCGGTCGCCTACTTGAAGCGGCCTTCCAAGCAGAATTGAATTCAGAGCCCATGGCTGTAATAAATGATTTGAGATGTGAACTTGATGAGCCAAAAAATTATAACTATTTTGAATTACTGCATCCTCTTTCTCCTTATTAGCCATAAAAAGAAGAAAGTAACTTGTTAACACGAAAGATCTTCTTATCCTTTTACGGATAGTAACGTTAGGAAGTTAAGTGATCCGACGATTAGCTGATTTTTCTTTAAAGAACAGTACGGCGCCCAGCTTGTCCAGGGCTTGGAGCACAGAGAAAGGAAAATGATCCGGCCCATAGGCTTTACTTAGACCATGGTTTTCAATTCTCCGCTTGATAAGTTGTTACCATGGAAACTTCATCAACTAAGACTTTTGTCACAGTTAAATAGAGTCAACGAACCAAGCACAGAAGAAATAAAAAGGTTCGACCAATTGCAAATCGAATAGTGAACTTGGAAACTTACAGAAGTTCCTAGTTTTGGAGAGAAATTAATTCAAAGGCGGAGGAAGGAAAGTTTGAGTTCCCGCAAAAAGGGCGCTTTGCAGTAAATTTGCTCTATGGACAGCAGGCATCGCCAAATTCCGGATTTTCACCTTTTCTTCGTTTCTTCCAATTTTCAATTTTTTTTTTGTCACCAAAGTTCTTTTCGTCACAAAAGCTTTCTTTTCATGTATAATTTGCAAACTTTGGTCGCAAAAATGCTTTTCTGGTGACAAATGATGATTTTACACAGGTTTCGGTTGGGATAGCGATTATTTGTGTTTTCTTTATTATCAATGTGTGTTTTCTGTTTTCTTAATCAATTTTTCAGAGTAGAAACCCTTGATTAGAAGCAGATGTCCGGGTATTTCTCACAAAAAGCGAGTCTAATGAGACGTCCGCAACATCGCGTGCACGGCTACTGTAAACATTTGTCCGTAGACCGATCCAAACCATTTTTCAAAATTAAAGGCGGAAAAGTAAAATCGCATTTCTCTTCTAAAGTCGTCACATCTGTAATTTTTTTGAGTACACCATTCGATTCGCAAAAAAAGCTGTATGAGATATTGCTTTCACCTAAAACCCCATTTTTTACTGACCCTATGCCTTTAATTAGAAAACGGTTTCCTTTGACAAGTAACTGTTCGAACCTCATTAATCAAAACTTTTGCCTCAGTTATATAAAAATCAACGAACCAATCGTGAACATCGGTAAGATCCACAAAACACGGTCGTAGTGAAAGCAAATAGAAATAGAGCCAGAAAAAGCTTCATTGCAGCGTTATGTGACAAGAAAGTTTTCTCCTCGTTTGACTTTTTACATTTTTATGTTGCCTCGTAAAACTTTTCCATTTAATGTCACTGTCGACTTTTTTTGTTACATAAGAAGAAAGTGTAGAAAGAAAACATAAAAGTGGTTTTTCAGAAAACAAATGAGGACGCAAAGAAATCCGCCTGGTGGTTTAAAGTTCAAATTGTTTCACTTCTGACTCCTCTGTGTCGCATTCGGGATGGATCAAGATAGGAGTTGCGTGATGTGTTTCATGGCGCACCCGACTTCAAACTACTTGCCCGTTTTCCGGATTTTTTCTTAAATTAATCTGGTACCTAGAAGTTTCACAAATTTCTCTTCCACATTTTGATCTGAAACAGGAACTTTACCAAAAAAAAGTTATAATAAATCTATTCTATTCTACCTCGCACTAGTCCTCATGAGTCTTTTCCGAAGTATTCCTTCAATTTTTCCAGAGATCGAAAAGAAAAATAATAAACCATTCATTCATAAACGCAATTGTTACAAGAAGAACTGTTCTACAAAATTTTTCGCATTCCATGAAAGGAGTCTCGATAAGAAGCAATGAAAAAAAAATTTATTTTCAACGTTCGAGTTTGCCGCAATGTTAGGTATATCAGTAGTAGCAGTCATCATCTGAAAGTATTAAGAAACTTTTTTTTTGATTCCACGAAAAACTCACAAAGGTACTCGACAACGCCATCCGCATAGATCGAAGTCATCCTCTCGTTGGGTTTGTAGTCGGATTGATCTTCTACTCCGCAGAAACTAAAGTTGAGATGATTAGCGCAGAGGATGTGTGTTTGGTTATCGTTCAAAGAGTCACAGGATCAATCTCCAGCAGATTTTTGAGTCAAAATTAAAAGATTTCCGATTCGAAAAAATTATGACAAACTTTAGAACTAACTAAGGATTTTCCATTCCCATGTCCAAGCCATTGTCCAAGCCAATCGATTGGACCGCCGATAAATCGAAACTCCTTAGTGGATATTTAGTGAGATAAGCGCCGTCTTTCGAAACCACATAGCCATCCGCTTGGGCCCTGAACTCAAAAAAAGGTCCAGTCTGAGTGGGATCGCACTATGTACTCGATTTTCAAGACGAAAGGGCCCCTTGTGAATATTTGCGGCAGAATGATCTCTTGTTGCCACGCGTTCTGAAAAGTCAATTGATCATATCTCATTCGAGGGCATTTTTAAACCGCCGCAACCGTGAAGGTGTTCAGAACAACTTGATTACGATCCCAACGAACGATGAAGTGCAAAGCGATTCCAACAGGACCCGCGAATAAGTTTACGGAAAACCCAAAAATTGCAAGTTACCCTACTGAAATGCTGTGGCTGCACGTGGAATGGCTCAAAGCGTAGCGGTCGCGTTGCGCTTGATTCAATATCAAGCGGCTCTCTTTTATACAGGGGAGAGTATTCATTTTTTTCTCTCCCATAGTTTGACTCATACCGATTCGATTGTGCTCAAGCTCTGCTTTGCCTCTTCTCCTCGAACCATTCCAGGTGCGATCAAGATACTTTCATGCTGGCCAGGTATCTCAACGAGTTTATCCGTATTGAGCCTCTTTCAAAGCTTTTCAAGCACCAGTTGTCATTGTATGAAGAAATGGGAGACCCAACTGTGCTCAAACGATGGTCCAGCTGTGGTACAAAATGTCGAAAGGTTCTACCAGCTGCGCGTATACGGGTTCAATACGGAGGCACCCGCTAACACCACGTGTTAGCACGGCTGGTCCTCTACCAGAATGCCAGCGCCAATAATCCGCTGCACGGTGCAAGTGGTAGTGCGGCTCCTTGCGTTTTTTGAGACATTTTGGTGCAAATTGAGTGGATGCGCACGATGCAGCAGCATGCCTCCTTAAGGAAGTTCCATTTAGCTATTTAGCCATATTTAGATGAAGCTAGAGCTCTTGCTGTTTCGATTCAGGCAAGCCTCCTGATCCAATTTCCCTTGTCCAATTTTAATCGAAAAATGATAAATATGAATAACAAAATAACTATAAGTCCCTGCACCGTGCGCATGCACTCAATTCGCACCGAAATGTCTAAAAAAAAACGCGAGGAGTCGCACTACCACTTGCACCGTGCAGGGGGTTATTGGTGCTGGCACCGTGCGCCTTTCTGATAGAGTCTACGCTCATCAGAATGTGAGTAAATTACCAAGCTTTCATTAAAATTTTTGATTTGAATAGAACTAGATTCAAAAGTTGGTGAAAGAATCAACTAACCATGGCACGCCGGGTTTCGGTGTTGCCTGAACCAAAACTCGGTCGCCTACTTGAAGTGGCCTACCGAGAAGCATTGGATTCAGAGCCCATGGCTGTAAATAGGACGGTTAAGTAGTTTACTTCATACTTCATCTTTCAAGAATCTCTGACCCGTCTGCGCTCTCTTTTCCACCAATGGTGATTCCATGAAAAAAGAAAATCACCACGGGAGCTTTTCCGTAAAAGAGGAGAGCATCGAAAAAAGCAAAATGGTTCGGCCAATAGACCTTTCTTGGAAAATGGCCCCTATTTCGTAATTACTTGCTTGACAAGGTGTCACTGTTCAAACGCGTACTCGTTAATTGATATTTTCGATTAAAATAAACGAACCAATCGGGAACACCGGTAAGATCCACAAATCACAGACGTAGGGAAAGAAAATAGAAAAAGAGCCAGGATGAGCTTCATTTTGTGTTATGTGACTAGAAATTTCTTTTTTCCTTCTGACTTTTCATTTTTATGATGCATCGTAAAAAAATTTCATTTAATGTCTGTGCCATCTTTTTTTACATAGGAAGATAACGCCGAAAAAAAAAACAGTAATTTTGAACCCCGACAGAAAACTGGTAGCACTGAAAAGTCAGATTGTCTTTTCCAAAGTTGATTTTTTTTTTTTCAAACGGTTCTTAAGAGATCACCCCTCGAGTAAACTTTGCACAGATTTTGGCTTTTTTTCCGTTTCTTAAAAAAAAATTTCATGATCACATTTGGAATGGCTAAAATGGGATTGCAAGGTTAATGAATTTTCATGGCGCACTCGACTCAAAACTACTTGCGCGGTAGAGTACTTGGAAGTGTTAGAGAGGGGGATCTCTATTCAAAAATTTTCATCACTCTTGAGACTTATTTTATGGTATTGAAACAATCTCAAACGGTTCGAAACAGAAACTTCAACTTTCATTCACATTTTGAACTAAAACAAGAACTTTTGCAGTATCAGTTCTGAAAAAAGAAGGTAATTCATTTTATACCTCTCAATACTCCTTTTCACCCTTTTCCAAAGTATTCCTTCAATTTTCCGCAATATAGAAAGACAAATTAATGAATAAAATATTCATTTGCAAGTGCAATTATTGCAATAATAACCGTTGAACGAAATGTTTCACAATTCAGGGAGATCATTAGAATGATGAGAAATACACGTTTGGGGCAAATTGGTCCATTATGAACAGATCCAAATCGTACTTGTAATCGGGTGACAATCGTGGCAATCTTGGCTTGAATTCAAACTTAAAACGAGAATAAATATGGACAAATCGAAAACTACAACATAATTGAGCTAAAAACAAGGAATGCTCGTCATTGAAAAGCTAGAAATCGAGGTAAGAGTTGGCCAGGTAAGGGTAACCTGAGCAATGGTCGTGTTGAGATGGTCTTGAGTGGAAAAACAGCTCGGGGTACTGTAGCTTGATGAAGCGGCTTTTGTATGCAAGTTTGAAGCGACGGAAGCCGAATATCCGTGTTGAACTGGATTCGAGATTCTGAAATTATTTCATTTATTTTATGGAAGATATTTTTTTATCATTTTTGCATGTTTTCAATGATATCATTGAATGAAATCGATAAAAACTAACCGGCCAATGTCATTGACTCCAGAGAAGTTCGGATTTGCAGCGCTTGGGCCGCCGTTGTGAAGTTGGGCCTTTGAGGAATGGAAAAATGGACCGGGAAATGGTCGACCGGCACCTCGAAGATCATTTTGTATAACGTTTTGTATAGTTTGAACAGTTTGTCTGATGAAGGACTAAACAATTGGCGAGAGCCGGCCGCATTTTATAGGTCCGGCAAAGCCACGCCTCCTCGAGCTCCGCCTCGGCTCCACACGTTCTCTGGATTTTTTTTTCTTCGAGCTTTTTCTTTTGGACTCAGGCGGAGCCTGGAGGCGGGATCGAGAGTTTGAAAGGAATATTTGATAGTTTGAAGATTGGAGAAATGTGTGAATAATTCATACTTTGTTTAATAATAGCCTGTGGGATTGAAAATTGAAGAAAGAATAGAAAAATTTTTACATTGAACGGATAAAATAGGCCACGTTCAAGGTTTATACTTTTATGATAAATAATTCGGGGCGACTTAAAAAAAAATTTTTCAGCTGAAAAACTGAGGCTCATGTAAGTTTTTGAATTCAAAAGCGAAGTATGGCCGCTTAAAGGGAGAGGCTCGAAAAGGGCAGCAAAAAGGCAGCAAAAATAGTCCCTTCATCAAGCCTTCCACTTTTTTTTGGGATTTTAAAGGCTCGAGAAATTGTGGAAAAAGGGAGAGGCACCAAAAATGGTGCATAAAAGCCGATGAAATGGCGCAAAAAAGCAGCAAAAAAGGACCCTTTGTCACCCTATAAGGAACATTTCTATGGAGCTGTTTTCCACCCTTTTTGGACCTTTTTGAGAAACACATACTTTTTTTTTAATTAAGAATAATCTTTACCAGTGACTGTGTATGAACCAAAATGTGCTACACTAATAAAATCGGAAGAATCAATGACCGAGCTTTTCAGCACCCTTTTTGCAACCTCACTCTTTCTTCAACCTTTTTGCGGCTTTTTAGCCCACCAAGAATGAAAGGCTCAATAAAGGTCGCAAAACGGAACTATTTTAGCCGCCTTTTTGCACCCGACTTTGGCGGTGAGACGCCAAAACTCCAGAATGAACATTTTGATTTATTTTTCAATTTGTTCTTTCTTAATAGTTCATAGGAAAAACAACAGAAACGCCGTAGCGCGACATGTCGTGTGCCTGTTTCCACTCCACAGAGGTCACCAAAGGGTCAAAGAAGTGTCGGTAGTGGAAAAGCCACGTCTTCACAATCCCCAGCCGTCACACACACAAGGACGGACATGTGCTAGAGCCAGTTGACTGGTATCGCTAATATCAGGAAAAATCCTTGCCTCATCGACACCGACGATGCTCAAGCGGTACCAAGGTAGGAGGAGAAAGATATAATTTTCCGAAAAATGTTAAAGATCACACTAACCACAGACCCTCCCCATTCACAGGGGGCAACAACAACTTTCAATCTTTCGAATCAAACAATGTTTGAAAAACAAAGGAGATCAAGAGGCTTCTCCTTGAATATTTTCTTCAGGTCCACGCCCATTTTTCTTCTGAAATTCGCGAAGAACAGATAAACATTTGGGCCGAAGAAGCCCTAACCTAGAGGGCGGAGCTGAAGACTTCCATTATAAAATGCGGGAAATTTGATTCAATTCGAGATAAAGGATGATCTTCGAAGTGCCGGTGGACCACTACCCGATGAGCCAAGTTTCGGCGCGGCTCGAGGAGCTCCGACCCAAGCTCAAGCTTCACCTCGGAGCTCAGGCCAAGAGGACCTCGACCCGGAGCCTCATGGAGCCTCTCAGCGCACCAGGTTAGATTTTACCTATTTTTCTGTTTATAAGATATTTTCTTTCAGTATCACGAATCCAGTTCACCTTCCCATCCTTGGCTGAAAAACGAAGCTTGCCGACGTTCCGAGCCCAAGTTCCCATCCTAAAAAGAGCCGACACTGCTCCCGCTCTTCCGGTTGCTCCAGCTCAACCACCGAAAAACTCACCGACCTCGACTCCCAAGAAGAAGCTCAAACCAACTAGACAGAACACGACGATCGGCCTTTTGAGGCTACCCACTCAGATGCTGGTCAGTATTGCCGCCCTACAATGACCCTGACTTCAATTTTGAGCCCTCTTTCTTTATTTTCGGATCGTCTAGAATGTTAAATTTGCTCCCTCAGAATCTCAGTTTCTATAATTTTCTTTAATTATCTGAAAAAAACCTTTGAGAAGTTCCTCACACAGTTATACCATGTTCTAGTAGATTAAGATCCTTATTTTTCAAGATGTATCCCATTTTCAAAGCCCTAGAGAGGCCACTCTGATCTCGAACCCTCAAGTAACCACTTCGATCCTCCCGTGTTTGTAAAATATCCCCATTGTTCCTTGTTATATTAACTATTGTTGTTAGCCGAGCTAGTTTCCGGTATTTATTGTTGATTTTCCCAATTTCCTCTATTTCTTTCCGATTTTTCTCCTTTAAGGGTAATTCAAAGCCGTTGTTTTGTAATTGAATCCAATCGTTTGCGCAATAAACTTGTTTTATTCAATCATCGAGTCTAACAAGAAAACGCTGGAAAAGTCTCGAAAGCCTTGGAATAGCAAGCTTATTTTTTGCTTCGAAAAAAAAGGAAGACCTTGAGATAAAAAAAAATGTGGAGATTAAGTTTTGTTTGGTTGGTTTTGGCTAACATTTTGGTGAGGAAGCCAAGGAATAGAGAATAAATTGGGGTCATGATTGGAGAAGACATACATTTGTTTCAATTTTTAAATTATTGTTTCGAGTTGGATATTGAATCTTTCGGTCACAAGGAAAAATGGCTTGCGCTGCGATTCAAGATTCTACCGTCGCGCAAGTAGTTTTGGGTCGGGTGCAACTACTGAACAATTCCAAATAGTTCTTCATGAAAAAAAAAGTCAAATAGTCAGATTATAGTCCGTTTTTTCGCAACTTGAAAGGGCAGGTTTTCTCCGCGCCCTCTTTATCTCTAGACGTTTCTATCTTGATTACGTACTATTTCCATGTTTCTCTGACCTCGGCGGTGAGGGAACAGAGAGACGCAGACACGCGAAAACTGTAAATTTCCGGCGAACGGACTATAGACCTTTTTTGTGAAATAGTCTAATCATCGTGATTCCAAGGATTTCAAGTTTTGTGACAAGCAACCGATGAATGAACTACGAATGTAAATTTGAAAAACTGCCCTATTTAACCATTTTTTTAAAAACTTTTTTGAATCCGTAAAATCGGTTTTTGTGGGAAAGCGTTTTTTTTCTACAAGAACGGTTCAAGACGCCAAATTTTCAACTTCCTTTTTGCATGAGTCAACACAAATCTGACCACAACTTTTCTTGTCCTAAACTAAACTTTCAAACCATCAAAGGCTTCGCCGAGAAAGTTGAGAAGCCCCCAAAGTTCTTCCTTTTTTTTCTTTTGTTAAATCCAGCATGGGGCCATTTTTCAGTTCTTAATTTCCCGGTTTCTAATTTTTTCTTCTTGAGGAGAGAAGACCTTGGCGAGCATTATTCTGTACTAATAAGTTTGACCGGCGGCATGCTGAGGATTAATGTAGTTTGAAAGGCTTGAGGATTCATTTTCCGTTGGGAACACTGGGCTTAGAAAACAAGCGAAAGTGTCTAGAAACTTGAAAAAAAAAAGAATTCGATGCCAAAGACGGAAGTGCTCAAAACGGTAATACAAAGGGGCGACTGCAAAATGGCTGTGAAAAGGGTTCCATTTTGCAGCCTTTCTCGAGCCTTTTTTTCTTGGTGGGCTAAAAATCCTCAAAAAAGGGTGAAAAAGGTTGCTGAAAGTCTTGGTCATTGATAACTTCCGATTTTTTTTTTCGGAGTTATCGAAGAAGTTTAAAGAATTATATGTCACAGTAAGAACCTATTTAAACTTCATGACCGCATCAGGAGTGGCTCAAACTTGGAATGGCTCATTTGGGAAGGCTCATGACCGCATTTGGAATGGCTAAAACTTGGAATGGCTCATTTGGAAAGGCTCATGACCGCATTTGGAATGGCTCAGAGTAATCCGAGAGGTTTTGAAAATTATATGTCACAGTTTGTCCATATTAAAAGTTCATGACCGCGTTTGAAATGGCTCGAATTTGGATAATCTCATAACCGCATTTGAAACGGCTAACTCATTTGAAGTTTCCGATTTTAACTTCAACAAGATCAAAATTTTCCTTTTTCTCTACTGAAAAGAACAAGCCTGGAAATAACAAACAGAAAAATTCATGTCCAGTGACGAAGTCATTGTTTTCACACAACAACCGGATGACACGTGGAACTTATCTCTTTTATCTCGAAAAGAGTCCAAATATGTATAGCCTGGATTACCGATAATCCTTTTGAACCCATTGGATTTGGTACCAGCTACGTATCGGCTTTTGGGAAAATTCACAAGGATAACAAGTGCATGTAGGTAAAAGAGCCTTGGAGAAATATTTTCCATCTTTTTTGGAAGAAAATTTATTTGTGCGAAAGTTGAAAAAGACTAAAATATAAGCTTCGTTCGAAAGAATTGCTGTGGGAACCAGGACCCTTTGCAATTTTGCACATGAACTGCTCCTGAATAATTTTGGAGCTGAAGATCCCTTATAAATGTGAAAACTGAAAGTCTATGGTCGCCTTTGTAGTTGTTGAAAGCGTTGCGACTTGTTTGAAACTGCTCCCGACCAGAAACGACTTGCGCGTGGAAGCATAAAAAAGCATCCAAAAAGTTGCGCTTTGAGTGATTTAGGCAAAGTCGGAAGGACCCTTTACGGGCCCGTTATGGATCGAAAAATTTCCAATAATTGATCCTAAACAGATGGCAACGGTTTCCTTTTCACTGCCTTTTTCCGTCCTTTCCTCGGCCTTGATCCACCCTTTTTGGACCCTTTTGAGAAACACAATTTTAAACTGAGAATAATCTTTACCAGGAGCTGTGTATGAACCAAAACGTGCTACAGTAATGAAATAAGAAATAATCAATGGCCAAGCCTTTCAGCACCCTTTTTTCACCCTTTTTGAGGCTTTTTAGCCCGCCATGAATGGAAGGCTCAATAAAGGCCGCAAAACGGGAGCCTTTTAGCAGCCATTTTGCAGTCACTCTTTTTTTTGCGCCCTCACTACTTTTTAGTCCACCAATAAAGAAAGGTCACTAAAAGCCGCAAAACGGATCCCTTTTCGAACCCTTTTTTCACCCGCGCTTCCAACTTTGACAACGATTTTAAATGCGGCCTTAAGCCCGAAAAATCACGTAGAAAATCATAATCTCTTCTCTTTCATTAAAACTCACTACAAATCTTCAAAACTTCCAAAAAAAATCACCCAAAACCTAACCTTTAGCCTCGAAAAATCTCATCAAAACACGCTCAAATTTGTACGTGCCCGTGCCTTCATAATGTCTACAAACTTCTCTTTTTTTTTCTCACATGGGAAACTATAACTTTTCTGGGAAATCCGAATTATCTACGCATAGAAAAAAAAACGGCTTAAGCTTAGCACTTGAATTAGCACCTGTTGAAATTGCCTTTTTATTTGGCTAGAAAAAAGAACACCTGCTTTTTTGCACGCTTTTCTAATCCTAGGATTAGAAGTGGCGAAAAAAAAAGAATTTGGCGGATAACTATTTTTATAGCGCTTGGAAGTAGAATACAACAAGACAAAAGATTGCTTTATTAGGTATTTATTAATAGTAGGCTTCAATGAACGTTTCATTCGAAAAAGGGGAAAATTAGCAAAAGCTTGAAAAAAACTTTTAGTACGATGTTCCAGTTTACGGTATTTCAAATTGAAAGATTTTGAAAAAATTTCATTCCTATCTACTTTTTTTGATATTTTCATTAATAATATGCTTCAATTGGGACTAGGAATTCAAGAGCTCTGGAAAAAAATCTGAAAGCTTTTATCAGTACGATGCTCCAGTTGACGCTGATATTTTTCGAATTTGAAAAAATTTTTATATTAGTACGATGCTCCAGTTGACGCTGAAATTGCTCGAGTTTGAAAAAGTTCCGATAATAGTACGATACTCCAGTTGACGCTGATATTTCTCGAGTTTGAAAAAGTTTCAATATTAGTACGATTCTCCAGTTGACGCTGAAATTGCTCGAGTTAAAAAAAGTTGCTATATTAGTACGATACTCAGGTTGACGTTTAAATTCCTCAACTTTGAAAATTCCCAAAAAAGTACGATACTCCAGTTGACGCTTTAGAAGAGCGCCAGTGCTTCAGAAAATTTTGAAGTTTCAAATTTTTCAAATAACTATATGATGTTCCTGTTGACGGTTCCGCGTAGCATTTAAAAACTACGGGACTTAAAAAAGTGTAATTTAAAGATACGACGCTCCAGTTTACGCTCCTTTAATAATACTTCATATCAGAAAACTCTATTCTAAAAAAACTCAAGAACTTGAAAAATATGATTTTATCGATTCGACGCTCCAATTTACGATATTTCAATAATACTTCACATCAGAAAACTCTATTCTAAAAAAAACTCAAGAACTTTAAAAAGGATGATTTAATCGATACGACGCTCCAGTTTACGCTCTTTCGATAATACTTCATATCAGAAAACTGCAGACATTAAAGAAACTCAAGGACTTGAAAGATTATGATTTCATCGATACGACGCTCCAGTTTACGCTCCTTTAGTAAAATTTAAATTTTAGCCCAAAATCAACGAAACAAGCCGTCAGCTTGAGTTTTAAAAAAGCTCCAAAAAAATCACCATTCACATGATTCCAAATATAACATCGAAAAATGACTTCAAATCTCATTATATTCGATTCAAAGCCTTTTTCGAAGCCTTTTCGTGGGCTTTTTGCGTTGAATTGCCGTCATTTTTTCAAACATTATAATACGTGAAAGCTCATATGACCGTTTGACGAATGAAGTGAAACCCCAAAACAGCCTTTGCTGAGTTGGAATTTATAATTAAATTGGTTTTTTTCCTTTTTTTATAGTTTATCTGAATAGAATTATGTGTAGTTAGAGGTCGGAGATAAAAAAAAACTCAATTTCGGAAATTTGGAAAAACTTTCTAAAAAAGGCTGAAACCAGAACCCTGACAAAACTGATTCAATTTACCAATAATAATTATTATTATCA